TTGACCTAAACTTTTAAATTTGTAAGCGTAGTTTGTCAGAAAAACCAAAAAATTGCTTGAAACACCATGCCAATTTTGCCAAATTGGCGGGAAACCCAAATATTTCACACTTAAACCTCAAAAGCGCAAGGTAAAAGTTTTTATGGGTACCATTGGTTGAACAAAGAATTCATTTAAAATTTGTGAGCTGGTACTTATCGGGGTGGGTTAAAAAGTAATACTTTCTTTGTAAAGAGTTTTTACTGACAATGAATTTTAAATCAAAACGACACTAAACTAGAAAGACAATAACAAAAGTGCCTCAAAAACGCCAAAATATAACTTACAACGATTAGAACAAGATAGAAATACTACTTATAATTGTAAGAACACTATAGAAATTTTGTTTTGTACAATGAGGGCGATATCTAACCTCTATAACCATATATAACTCACAACAATACGTAGATATACAATATAAATATCCAAAACAGAGCAATTAGGAGTTGAATGGGTTTAGTTGAACAATTATTATTGGATATTAGGGGTGTTTAATTATTTTGGATGTCGCGACAAAAGTTACTCTCAAGTGTTACCCAGTTCCGGCGATCGGGTCGTTTACCGCAGTAAGTCGGCTCTTTACCAGAATTACCATGGTATTTAAATAAAACGGTAGTTTGTAAAAAATGCTGTCTAAGAGGTAGTTTAAAGCTTATAGGTCAGAAACGGGGCTTTTAAAGGATTGTAGGCTTAGGTATATAAAAGTAGTGCAGCGAAGTATATAGTATTTGCGGGCTATGGGTTGTAATAGTAAGGTTATGGTAAGTGTTGGGGTATAACTTTTACTATGGTTTACCTAAGCCAAGCCAATATTTAGTCGTATATCTATCCAAATCTAGCTTACAATCAGCACATATCAAAGGCTAGCCTTTCCCCAGTTCTATTCATAACAAAGCCTAGCCCATACCGAGCCCTCTGATTATCTTAGCTTATCCACTGCCCTGATACATACTTATCTAAAGCCTCGCCTCTACCCAGCTCTACACTTCTCCAAGCCTCGTCTCTATCCCGGTAAAGGGTATTTGTATGGTTAAGATAATTTTTTGCAGTATAGTACGTCTAAAGTGTAGTATGTACTTTATCGTGTATTTTGGTTTCAAGTACAGTAAGTTTACAAGTGATTCATACTGTAGTTTTTCAGTTTGTCTTTTAAAAGTTTACTATTGTTTTACATAGGATAATCTTTAAATTTATAGCATCGTAATTTTTAACTTGTTTAAATAATTCTGTGCCTCTTCTCAAAACTAATTTTCGGAGTTGGAAGCACAGAATATAGTGAACAAACTTATAGTTTTATCGCTGAAAGTTTTGACGCCAGATTTTAACATCGCTCTAATTTTATAAAATTACTGTAATTTTGTAATTATTATCAGTTTTTAGACTAACAGTTCCAAAATTACTTTCTGTCTCAAAAAAATCGCTTTCTGCCTCCCAACGTATTTTACCACAGTAATCATATCATAGTTATCATACTATGTTAATCAAACCTAACTAATCATACCAACTCTTTACCCTAACATAACCATTTATCAGGTTGTTCAAATAATAATGTGCCTCCTCTAAAAACAAATTTTCGTCAAGAGGCACATAATTATTTGAACAACACAATACAATCTTCTAGTGAGACTAGAAACCTCTTCAGAACCCATAAAGTTTAGGCGATATCTCCCACCAACGACTAATTAAGATGACAAAACAAGAATTAATCCGGCCAATTTAAATTGTCACAAGATCTAGTACAATATAATCCGCTAAATAACGTTTTAATCTTAGTCTGAATTGCGCTAATCCACAATTGTCTTTGGAGTAGGACCTGTACGGCATTCAATACGTATTATAATTTAATGGCAATGGTGTTGAGCTCGTACTATGACACGAGTTTATGGCTTGAGTTGGTACTATGGTATTGCTTTAAGTTCTGAGCAGATTTTTATGAATGTTTGGGTGCTGACCAGGTTTTTTGAATGGTATACGACTTTTAGTGCCTATATTTTTAGATTAGATCAGTGCCGTGTAGACCTGTAAACCCCTAGTTTTTGGACCGGCCCTCGGGCCAACTTTGACAATTCGACCCTTTTTAAAGTTGCTTGGAACTTGCCCCTTTTTAAGTTTATTAGAAGGCAACAATTTTTTTGAAGGACGTGGGCCTCAAAAAAAATTTTTTTGCAGCATAACAAAGTTTTTTAATTTTTTTTCCAAAAACATTTCAAGCCTCGTCCGCGTGCCAAGCCCAATCTTTAGGCCCGTCCCGTTTTACCTTTATCTCATAAAAAGTTTGTTAGAGTAATAAGAGTAAGACGATAAACAAGAATGTTAAGAAGTATTATAATTTTCATTTCTCAAAATTAAAACTTTAGAAAACTGTCTTTCAATGCTCATGCCATTCCATTGGTGACCTCCTTTATCGTGCCAATACCTACAAATTTAAGCCTAGTAAAAATTCATAGAAAATTATGTAAAAATGCGACTTTGTAAGGCTTAATCTTTAGTAAATGAAAGCCCATAAAATTTCGTTTTTTAACTATAGAATTTACAAATTTTGTCCCAAGTGAAGCCATACCTATATAGTTTTATGATATAGTAATTGTTTACAATTAATTTACTGTTAAAGGCAAATTTTTGGCAATGTAAAACTTTTGGTATCGTTTGTTTCTACTAGACTTGTAAAAGGGCCGGGCACAATTTTTTGGCCTTCAGGCCAAAGGCTGTGCCTGGACCGGATTTAGTGGGATTTTTTGCCAGCTAGTGCCTTCAAGCTTTGCCTTAGTGTGCCGTAGTGTGAGTGGTACAACTAGAATATTATTAGGTTGTTCAAATAATTCTGTGCCCTCTCTTACTCTTAAAAGGCATTCTTGAGGTTAGAGAACGCAGAATTATGCGAACAACCTAATAGAACTTCAATACTTTTATGCCTATTATTAGCTGACCTTCCTTTACCACAATATAACCATATAAAGCAGTCGTTAAAATCAATTAAAAACATTATTTTTAATTCTATTCAAAGAAAAATCAGACATGCCTGTGGGCAGTTAATTCTTTATCCGTTAAACCGGTTGTTTTTCCACCCTAAATTTAAATATTTCACGTTTTAACCAGTGATTCCCCACACATTACTACGTTGTCGTCTAATTTCTATTTATGCAATATCCAAAAACAACATAACACTTACTATATCTACTATAATTCAGTGATATTACTTTGTTTTGAGGGCCTTAAAGTAAAGCTTCTAGACCTTTTTTTAGAATTTTTGGGCTAGGCGGGTACTTTAGCACTTTTTGAGAGTTTTAAATTTTTTTCTGTGGGTAATACTTTTTGCCCGAAACGGGTACTTTTTGAAATTTTTTGGATGTTTTTGGCCGAGGTGGGTACTTTTTGGAATTTTTGTCCCGGGCAGGTCCCTTTTGGAATTTTTGAGATTTTTGTGTTGGGCGGATACTTTTTTGCGTTTTTTTGAAATTTTTTTTGGGCAGCTACTTTTTGGACTTTTTTTAGGTTTCTGTCTTAGGCAGGCACTTTTTACAGCTTTTTTGAGATTTTTTTCATAGGCGGGTACTTTTTTATTTTTTCTTGTGACAATAGTACACTGTTCGATTGAATAATGATTTGCCGTAATGATAAATTACAGTGGAACGTTATGCTTGCCGTGATTTTAAAATATTAGGTTTTTCGAATAATCCTGTGCCTCCCCTTAAGAAATTTTCGGGGTTAGAGGGCACAGGATTATTTTAATAACATAAAATTTTCTACCATACCCTAAAAATTCCTTTTTTTCAATTTTACCACGCCCACAATGGTTTTTGTGACATTTTTACCCTGCGTGACACTCTTTATAATGAATTCACAATACAACCTGTATTTTACCCCGCTCTGTTTTAGGTACGTTTGGAGCCGCCAAAGACGGAGCCATTTCGAAGCCGCCGCCGGTCGGCACCCTAATATTAATCCAATCGTAATCAACATTCGGGTCTAATTGTAATAATTTTGTTATTATAAAAATGTAAGTTTTAACCTTTTATTTTGGTTTTAAATTTTTATTTTTACCCCTCCCCTCCCTCCCCACAAAAAGCCTGTTCAAATTACTGTATTTCGGAGGATAGCGTGAGATTGTTGAGTTACAACCATTTACTTGACCTTTTTTTGGTCAGTTCAGTGCCAAAACCTATAACATACTACTCAAACAATGTCTTTACATTAAACATAGGTCTTGTTTTTGTAAAAGTTCGACACAAAACACTCATATGTTACCTTTTTCCTCCAAAAAAACACGCGATTCCTCTTGATTTCGCGTGCCATAGCTGATTTACAGTCGTTTTTCAACGTTTTTTCGTTATATCAATGCCAAAAAATATAAAATACTAACACAAAATGTCTTCTCATGAAGCCCATATCTTGTCTTTGTAAAAGTTCAATTGAAAAATACTCGTATTTTACTTTTTCCCTCACAAAAACCACGCGATTCTTCTTGGTTTTCGCCTGCCATGGCTAATTCATGGTCGTTTCTCAACGTTTTTTTCGCAATTTTAATGCCAAAACTTACAACATACTATCATAAAATGTCTCTAAATTAGGCCTAGATCTTTTCTTTGTAATCGACGATCAACAAGCCAATCGTATTTTACCTTTTTCTTCCCAAAAAACCCACGATTCCACACGCCTTTCGTGTGCCATTGCTGATTTGCCGCGAGCGCCTTCGAATTTCCCACGATTTTCGGTTTTTTGAAAAAAAAGAAATTTCGAACTCGAAATTCTGGGACTATTGGTCGCAAACCGTGGGCCGATTTCGTTCAGTCGAAATAGTTTTGGCGGTTGAAGCACGGTCGTTTTCACCTCCGCGTCAGAAGCCGGACGTCGAATTTCGCACAGCTACGCGGGGTACTGTATTTGCGCCCGGGGTGTAATTTTGTTAAGCCTACTAATTGTTATAAAACTTTTAAAGCCCTTCCATTTTAAGCGACAGAAGCATGGACGGGATTATGAGACGTGGGCCTCTCTCCGACCTTACTCAGTACATTAATCCGGACATTAATAAGTAAGTTGATCGTATTTTATTGTTCTTATTGTTTTAGGTAATATTCTTTGGGGTATTTTCTTTATGAGGTACTAGAGATGCTGTAGATTGTTTTAGAATTTGAAGCTAGCTAAAATTGTTGGGTTTCGGCCGTTTTTGTGAAATCAGAAGTTTAGGTAACACATTGTTAACAAAAGTCGGAGTTTTGCAAAATTCTGGCCAATTTTTCTATCTTTCAGCTTTAGTTTTTTATTACAATGAAGAAATAGTTAATTCTTACATTTTTCATCTTGTTTTACCTAAAAAAACTTTCGAAAGCTATCAAAACTTCAATCGTTTTACGATCTTTCAAAAATTCTGCGTGATCACGCTCGAAAAGTGCCGTTTTGAAGTAAAACAAACCTAAATTTATAAAATAAAACGTTCTTTAACATCTTTTCTACCTAAACAACTTACTTTTCTCTTGAAATCATTTCAAAATCCAGTAACTTTATGCAAAATCGCAAAAGAAACACCGAAACTTTCCTCGTATAACATGTCCGGACAATTTTTTGTTTTCGCTGAATTTTTGGGTAAAACTTCAAACTTTTACAGCCAAATTAATGTTTATATTTTCAGTACTCGTGTCCAAAATGCAATGGGAAACCATGCATTCGGATTTCCGCGCAAAACGGCCAAACCCGACACTTACAAGACGGTGATGTGCCAGGCCTGGCTGGAGTCGATGAAGTGCTCGTTCGGCGAGAACTGCAAGTTTGCTCATGGCGAACACGAGTTACGACCAGTGAAGTGAGTTTATTTTCCTTGTTTCGTGAATTTTTAGGAAGGTATTGACTTGTTTTGTGCGAATTTCGGTCAATTTCGCTGTTGTTGTAGATGATTTGATGTTATAGCGTCTTCTCTAGTTTTTTGGTCGGAATTTCTTGAAATTTTGTTGGAAATGAAGCTAAACTCATTGTTTGATCTAATTCTATCTATAAATTTCAAAAACCTTTTCCAACTTATGAAAAACGATTGAATTTTGCCCAAAAATGCCATGAGACAAGTGTAATATAAAAATCTGTCGAACTATCTAGTATTTTACAGTTTCAGATTCGGCACACAGGTTCGCAACAACCTCAAGTACAAAACGAAACTTTGTGACAAGTACACGACGACTGGTATATGTCCGTATGGCAGTAGATGTCTGTTTATCCATCCGGCCCCATCTAAAGCACAAGCTAACGGATCGGTAGGCGAAACTGGTTCTATTCTGGTAATTTTTAAGATTCTTTTTGAGGTTTTTGAATTAATTTAGGCGTTCGCTACAAGAATTTATCTTCTTTTTATATAATTTTAAAATGATTTCTGGTCGTTATGAATGTTTTAAGCTATAAATATGAGTTTTACTAAAATAATATTAACTTGCACTTACTAAACATGTTATTACTTGTAGTTCCCGCCCTGCGACGAAAGCTCCGGTCTTCAGCAGCAGCTGGAGATGATCCGTCAGCAGTACGGACCCAACTCACTGCCGGACGTGAAGCCTCAGCCCCAACCTCAGCCCCAGATGAGTCACTTGTGGAGTCCGAATGGATTCTTTGAACAGAAGATGCAACCTCAACGACCAATCCAACCTATCCAACAGCCATCGCAGCAATTGTTCAGCTCACGACGTTCCTTCTCGACTTCGTCAGCGCCCTCCTCTGCTTTTGGCTCGTCGAATTCTCTGGGCTCGAGTAACAACGCCGCCGCATGGCCATGGAACGACGACCTTTCCCTCTCCTCGCTGAGCCCACCCTTCCACGGAATGCTGGGCCTACAGAATGAGCTACACACTGGAGTCTCGAACACCTTTTCGGCCGGGAACCTTCATGGCCTCGACGCGAATCACCTGACTTTCCACACTTCGATGCCAGCCTTTGGCCCGCAACAGACGAGCACGTTCGCTCACAACTTTGGCATGATGAGATCGACCCCGGCCTCGTTGTCCAGCAACGACGACGAACTGATCATTAACAGCCCACTGAGTGGAACTGAAGAGCAAGGCGAACAACTGGCCAGAAGTGTGGCCCGAGCATTGGAAATTGATTTATAACAGGAGGAGGAGAGAGAATAGGATCCGGATTACTGTGTACATAAATGCTCTGTCCCATGTTTAGTGTTGTCAGTAGGAGAGGCGGGGTCTTGGTTATGTTATAATAGGAGTGATTGTAACATAAGTTTGACTTTGTGCTCTCCAGTCTTGTCTTGTTAGTATTAGGACCTTGTTGCATTAGTGGCATTATTAGATAGTATCTTTTGGCTAGTTCTACTATGTTGACTAGCTTACCTTTAGGTTGTTTATCTTCAGAGGTTGTAACATGTCTTTTGCGATGTATTGATTAAGGCAGACAGGTTATATTGATGTACAAGGTAGTAGTTACAAAAACTTTTATTGTTTTGATCCTACTGTACCTATCAAACTATGTACTTACCTGCTACCTTATACACCATACCGTAACCCCCACGTCTCGTTTTGTAAATTTAATAGTAATTATTGTATATTAATGATATATAATTATATTATTGTTGTTGTAATTAACCCCATCCAAGTCTTTTGTCGTCGTTGTGTTGGCCACCAAAGCCACACGCTTAACCACAACTACACCTGTCACGTGTGTAACTCTTTCTCTTTTTGTTTGTCTAACGTTGAAAGCATATTTGGAACCGCATTTTGTATTAATTAACGGAATATTAACCATATTTCTATCTTGTATCGAACACTTTTTTAACTTGGTATTATATTGTAATAAGAATATTTAACCCAAAGGCTTGGAGTTGATTTGAAAAGTGGATTTAAGTTGGAACATGAAATATTGATTGGTCAACGTTGCAAAATTGGCTGGGCTTATTGATTAAACATCTCTTAAGATCAAGACGTTGACATTTTACTTTAACTCAAGTTTAGTTTCATATTGTTCAAGCCTTTTGTTACAGGAATGGGTTTGTTTCTTTGATTGTTGGCCACGAGATTATGAAATTTAACCAACAAGGAAAGTGCCCGACTTGCCCCGCTCTGATTGACTTCAAGTTTTTTATAATGAAAGGTCATGTAAACCTTCAGCAAAGTACTATATCGCGCTTTCCAGGAAATCTTGAGAAAATCGAGATAAAAAAATTATGTTTTGAATTTCTTGCCACATTAGAATTGTGTTTCAAGCTCATAACTTTTATTTTTAAGCATTTTTCTTTTATAAGTATATTATACGAACAGAAAACCTTTGAACAAAGCGAAGTTTTTAAATTTTAAAACGTACCTTATCTGTAACGTCAAAAAATGCTTGCAACACAATGCCAAATTGGCAAGAAACTCGAATATTTAAAATTTAATACACAAAAGCGCAAGCTAAAAAGTTTTATGGGGATTATTGGGAGTACAAAGAATTCATAAGAATAAGAATTTTGGGCTGATTCTGACTGGGGCAGGTTGAGTACATTCCTTGTTTACCAAAAATTCATTATTTAAATACATTATGTCTATAAAATTTTAAATTCTTGAGCGTTTTGTTATACAGAAGTGTCACTGTTCACAAAAAATTATATATATATATATTATAAAATATTCAATATATATAATATATTTATACCACAATGAAACATTTAAAACAGTGTGTCTGTGTATGTTTTGTTTCTCTGTTTGGCGTCAAAATGTGGAAATTCTCTTTTGTTGGCAAAAAAATCTTCTCATGGCTTTTTTCAGCCTTATCTTTCCATTTACGTACTGCTAAAGTACATACGAAGTGTTCTTTTTTTGGGGAAAATGCAATTAATGTATTATATAAACTTCATAAGGGGTTTTTTGAAAACATTTTTGGGTTTATAACTTTTTTAAAACTTTTTAAAATACGAGCGTTCCTGCGATTTTTGGTTTAACATAGGTTTTTAAAATATATTACAATGTTGAACTTGTGTAATGAATAGTTCGGGAATCTATTAGTTGTTGTTTATAAGAGTTTTGGTATAAAGAAGTTTTAAACGCATTGTTTTACATACTCCTATATTATTCTATTCTTCAAGATTTTTTTGGGCCTTGAACTCTGATAGCACCTTACTTTTAAATAAACATCTAGCGGGGGAAAAAGAATATTATTCTTGACCGTTCTGTCTCGACCCTTTCAAAATAAACTTGAACTCTTGTCAAGTAACTTGATATACGCGGAACTCGTTCTTCATTCTGTTTTATAAAAATATAGGTTTTAAAATTCAATTTTATTCTTCTTTTTACGTACAGTGAAACTTTTGTATAACGGATTGCCCGAGGATTTTAACTTAATTAGTTATGGAGACGGTTTAGTACTGAGTTATAAAGGATGTTTGGTACAGAAGAGTTTTAAATGTACTGTGTAGTGTTGGCCGGGATTTAAAAGTTATTCGTTATATAAGGATTTCGTTTCTCAGTGGTTTGTCATACAGGAGTCCTACTCTATTATATTTTGATGGTTTTGTTGAGTAGTAGACGAGGATTTAAAAGTTGTTTGTTATACAACAATTTTGTTATAGAAGAGTTAGTTATACAAGTGTTACACTGCATACTATTCCAAATTAAACGATTTTGTTTTTGGTACACTTGAAATTGCGCGGAGATTTGGTATTACATACTACGTTGTTTTTGGAATACACAAGCGGCGGAGGCCGGCAAAGGTTTTTTTGTTTTGAGAATTGCCTTATTTGGATTAGTACTGTTCCAGAAAGATGTAGTATAGTAATATACTAAATAGTTGAGACCCACCACAGGGTTTCGTACTATACTAAATAAGTAGATGAGTACCCCAATAAGTAGAAAAGTGCCCCCAAACAAAATTTTACTGTATTTATAAATTATCAACACATATGTTCAACGTATTTTACTTGTCAACCGCTTACTACTTACTTTTATCGCCTATTTGCACCTTATTGTAACTACTAAACAAGTTCTACATCCATAATATCAAATCGTCTTTATTAATACGTAGCAATTGTTACAACCATGCCATCTTGTAGTTGTTTTGTTTCTGCTTTATCGTGTTCCCTTCCCAATGATAAACGATCTTTTTGCAATTAGTTTTGCGTCCAAAAGTGATCGAACCGGGAAGTAAACACGTGGGCATTAGCTATCTCCAAACGTGTATAACACCACTTATCATTACTGCAAACAAAGCCAGTTTCTCAATTTGTAAACAATCGGAATGTGCTTTTGTATAATACATATGACCAAATGTTTGGTCTCAAAATGTTTTTAAAAATTTAAATTTAATATTTTGAATCAGCTAAAAACTATGGCTAAAAATTTTTGTTGGATAGGGCAGGACTGTGTAAGACAAAGCAAGGTAAGGCAAGACAAGGCAATTTTGAGCAGGAAATGACAGGGCAAGTCTGGTCTAGATTGGGAAGGCGAGGGCAAAGCAGAGCGAATCAGAGTAGGGTAGAACAAGGCAAGGCTCAAAAAGCAGATAGAGTCAAGGCAGAGCAGGGTATAGTAGGCAAGGCAAGACAAAGCAAGGCAAGACAAGGCAAGACAAAGCAAGGCAAGACAAGGCAAACCGAGGCATGGCAAGGCAAGGCAAACCGAGGCATGGCATGGCAAGGCAAGGCAGGTTAGACTGGGCCGGGATGAAACAGGCAGGCTGGACTAGGTCTGACATATTTTTTTACAAATTGTAATTGTTTATCAGCTGTAACTAAAACTAATAAAGTCAATTATCTATCTATTTATACTTTACATTGCTTTTTTTCTTTTCTGATTATCTTTTCCCAAACAATGGAAACGTTTTGGAACATTCGGAAACAAAAATCAAGAGAACGGTCATAAATCAAGGCGACCTCGTGCTTGCTTTCGGGTCCGATTGGTCTTTTATCAAATACGTATTCATGTTGACATTCTCTTATCACGTCATGCAAGGTTGGTTAATTTGAATATTTTTAAATATTTAATTGTATTTTAAGTATAAATGAGTTCTATGCCAGGCTTACGCTTACAACGGAAGGAAGCCCACTAGGCTCGGCCCTGTGCTAAGCCAGACTAAAGTAAATTTGAAAAAGGGCTTGGCCGGAACATTTTAGCCTTCCTAGCCCAACATTGACTAGTATAAAATGCTTGATTTTAAAGTGCAAATTCAGAACAAAAAGCTCTGGCTAGCTCTTCACAGTAAAGTTGAAAAATTTATTTCCTTATGTGAATTAACTTTGTAAAAATCAAAATTTTGTACTTTTCCAATTAAAAATTCGTTTTAGTGTTTACTCCTTTAGATTTGTCTAGTCATTGTTTTTCTTCAAAAACAAGCTGTTTCAAAAAAGTTTATTTTTTAATCAAATCATAGCTTACTATAGAACTAGAATACGTTTTGAAATGTCCTACTGAATACTTTTAATCCTATCATCTTAAAATTGTTAAGCAGCCTTGGCGGTAGTAGCGGCCGCAGCAGCACCAGTAGTCTTGGCAGCTGAAGTGGCACCAGTTCCAGATGGAGCTTTAGTACCGGCTTTGGCTGGGGCTTTGTGGGCTGGGGGATGTTGGGCTGGCTTCTTGTGAACTGGCTTCTTACCGTGATGGGCAGCTCCTACATACAACTTTATAGTATAGTAAAATGAATTATTGGTTTTTTATCAAAAAGTTAATACAGATTTTGAAAAGTATTTCAAAGTAAATAGTACTGTATCTTTTGACTAACAAAGTCTGTCTTACCAAGAGCAGTAACAGCCAAAAGAGCCAAAAGAAGGATGATGAAGAATCTCATATTGGAGTGGACAAAAAAGTTAATCAATGATGTGATAAGTTTGTAAATGAAAGATTTGGCTTTTATATAGTCAATATTGTACTCGGATTTGAATATTGATGATACTTTTCTATTTATTTATTAATTTATGTTTTGATTGATATTATTACTATATTATATTAATATTTGTTGATCAAATCTATTAAACTTATTTGGTTATCTAGGACAACAGACATCAACAAATATACTTTAAGCTACCAAAAAATAAGTTTTAGTTATTCAAACTCAAGTACAATATTTACTATATAAAGTCAAAATCTAATCTCCAATCGTTTCATTCAATCACTTTTTTGTCCACTTCAACATGAGATTCTTCATCATCCTTCTTTTGGCTGTCGCTGCTCTTGGTAAGTCAGACTCAGTACTGTTAGTCAATGTTAAAAGTGTCATTACAATTTACTTTAAACTATCTTTTACAGACTGTACTAAATATTTTATAAAGAACCAATAACCCATTTTACTATACTATAAAGTTGTCTGTAGGAGCTGCCCACCACGGTAAGAAGCCAGTCCACAAGAAGCCAGCCCATCACCCCCCAGCCCACAAAGCTCCAGCTCACAAAGCCCCAGCCAAAGCCGGTACTAAAGCTCCATCTGGAACTGGTGCCACTTCAGCTGCCAAGACTACTGGTGCTGCTGCGGCCGCTACTACCGCCAAGGCTTCTTAATAAGTCAACTAGGATTTAAAAGCTTGGCCAAAGAAAGCCAGGATCGCTAAAAAAGTTATTGTGTCATCTTTTTTAGATTTGTTACCTAATTTTAGTCAAAATAGATTAAAGAATAAACTTTTATCAACCAATTATAATACACCTCTATGATTTCTGATATAACCACAAACCCCCCACTAATGCCCTTACTATTAACAGCAAGAAACACCCCGATTCCTTTCAAACAAACCCTAAGGCCATGTGTTTATTGTAAAGCAAACAAATTCTCTTCGATCAAAGCGGAACGATAAGCACGCTCGTTCTCCGTGCCGTTCTTTGTGTCGTGAGCACGTTTTTCGCTTCAAACGAAAATAAATTTATTTTCCATCTCTTTCCCGATTGTTGTAACAATTTTATCAATGGTTTGTCAATCTTAATAATGGTTTGTAGATAAAAGTGCAAAAATATGTTATAGGCGAGTAGGCAATGTTACCATCAATCGAAAACAATTTACTTTACTGTTTTGTCTTACAGAATTAGAGATGGGGAGTAAATGTGGCTGAATATTATTGAATTAGGTATAAATAGTATTTTTAAATGTTATTTCTAGTTTTTAAGCAAAATTTTTATTTTTTTATTTGATTGCACGGTGCAATCGATAAAAAATTTTGACGCACAGTGCAATAAATGAAGTGTTCAAGATGCACAGTGCCAACTGTCCAAAAATTTTTAAATTAAAAAAAATATTTTTTTTAATTTAAAATGACCTTCTATTAGCTATAGTATATTCAAAATAGCAACAACTTTTTAAAAAATAATTGTCCCATCGACATAAACGTAAAAGCATTGGCGGTAGTCCATAGCATAGTATAGAACTAGAATACATTGTAAAATGCCCTACAGAAAACCTTTTTTAATTCGATTTCCTTTATTAAGAAGCCTAAACGATAGTAACAGCCGCAGCAGCACCAGTAGTCTTGACAGCTGAAGTGGCACCAGTTCCAGATGGAGATTTAGCACCAGCTTTGGCTGGGGCTTTGTGAGCTGGGAGGTAGCGGACTAACTTTTTGTGAACTAGCTTCTTACCGGAGTGAGCATCTAGTACAGATTATTGTAGTTACAATAGTTTTTTAGTATAACTAGACCTGAAAGAGCGCCAAAGAAAATTTGAAACAAGCCGGGCCCGAGGTCCAAGGCCATGGGTTGCCCAATGTTCGGCATGGTTTTTTTACAGGTCTACTTATAACAAACTTTTAACTTTTTAAAAAGAAAAACAATGATACTATAACTTTAAGCAGTTTAAATTAAACCTAAAGCCAAAATTATTTTTAGACGTCCAGAAATATACTTTTCAGTCTACTGTAATATGACCGAGTCCCCTTGCCCTTTCATCACCTAGAATAAGTGTTTTGATTCCAAATCTGTTTTCCCCTCTCCAAAGCCGATCTTTAAGACGGGTGCACTTTAAACGTGAGCGGACGTTTCAGGAAATACTTTTGCGAAACGTGACCGCAACAAAATATTTGTTTTTGTCTGCTTTATTCTATTATACAATTACAGGAGGAACCTCAGCTAATTCAAGGTTGATTTTCCTACTAAACCTAGCCAAAAACAGTAAAAAATAAATGTAGAGTAATGTAAACAAGTTGGTTATAAGAAAAACAAGTTTGTTATTGCTAAAGTTACTAATAAGCTGTCTTCAAGTTTAGGTTTTGGGTTTTTGAGGCCAATTACAGTAGGCTTTAAGCAAGGCCAATTACAGTAGGTTTTGTACTGTAATGTTGTTGTATTAGTTGAAAGCAATATTAAGTTTGTTATAGAATTCGCTTTCGGCCCGGGCTTGAAAGAAATTCACGCAGTCCAGGCCCAAAAATCGGCCAATCCCAAAAGCGAAGTTTCAGCAACAATTCAAGAAAACAGCACCATCTGTAAGCATAAATTTGAGCAAGAGTACTAAAATTATTAAAAATGTACCAATTTAAGAAAACAGTACCATAAGTGAGCAAAAACTTGAGCAATAATACCAAAATTATGAAAAAAGTGTAGCACCAAGCTTACATATAACTATCAATTATAAAAATTGTACCAGAAAGACTATATAGCAACCAATTCATAAAATGTACCAAAAAGGCCCTATATCAACAAATTTAAAAAACTGTACCCACCATTTAAAACTGTACCACCAAGACCATGATTATCAAGTTTGAAAAGTAGCGAAACCAAGGAATATCTTATCACACAAAAAGTCATCCGAAAAGACCAAAAACAGACCAACGCAATTGATAAGAGTAGTAGTTTAGTACATCTTGCAATAAAAATGAGTTTGTGACAATCACAACTTCGATCAGTTGTTGGTATTTTACATTTTTGGGGAATTTTTGACTGTTAATTTGTTCAAATAATTCTATGCCCCCTACCACGAAAATTTGTTTTAAAAAAGGGCACAGAATTATTTGAACAACCTAATATTTTTGAGGGTTAATATGGTTTTTGATAGTGGGAAAATGAAAATTTACGTAAAATTTTTTAATTTTTAAACTGTAAATCCTCTTTATAACTACCTTACATTTTAAGTCATACATCACCTTCTCATTACTTATTCATCACTTACTCACAACCATATGTTACCACATCAGTGAATACTTTCTATAAATCAACATAACAATTACCAGTGTTTTCGTCAATCAGTAGCTTCTAACATCTTCTATTATCACTGTTATCATAGACTTTTCCGTCTCTCCTTTCTTCACACTATCTACTCGTAGGTAGTGTGAAGAAAGGAGATAGATCTACGTCTCAAACACCATTCGATATTATTACACTTGACACGAATTCAGTATTGATCACATTGGTCTCACAATACATTATATGTATCATAACAAAAGTGCAATGTCTATAACATTGCAACAAAAGCTTTACAATTGCACAGTTTGACGTTATCAACATCACAAAGTCATTAACAACATCACCTTAAAGTTATCTTCATCTTAACATTGATATCCTAATTAACTCCTCTTCCCCAATAATACGTCCATCTTCACATTGATCTGCCCTTTCCACCAATACCTAACTCTTCACATGAATCTCCACTTTCACGGCAACCATCCATCCTTCCTCGATATTGAAGTAAACACCATTATAACCGCTTGCTGCTAATCGAAACAAGAGTTTTTGCTCAAAAACCAGAGATTCACAGCAAAAAACGATCACTTCCGTCCTCATCCAACGTGTCAACATCATTCACGCCACGATGAGAGCATGCTGTTTCGGAGAGGCTAAATTTAGAGATCAATTTCTTGGTCTTCCTTCTGCTCTTTGAAAACAAATGTCTTTTTTCGTGTATAATATCCTTTTGAACTCTAACTTGTTCTTTATAGTGCTACTTTGATGTCTGTCGTGCTAATTTGCAATTTTTTATGTGATGTCTTGGGTCTTTTACGTCTCTAACCTTGTTTTGCACATTCTTTGTTATCTTTTCTAATGGTTTACATTCTTTTTCGACTCTTTATTACCTAATCTATCGCTTATTAACATTAATTTCTATCATACTAACGTTCTTTGACCTTTTCTTTGTCTTTTTTTCTCAAATCTATCACAATATCCTCAATGTTTCTCTAATAAAAATGATCTTTTCTCTCTTTATCATGTCTCATGTACAATATCAAACGTTCTATCAACTCTCCTTTATAATTAGGTAACAATCCATTAGAAACCCTTGACTTTTCTTCTGTATCCATCAATAGAACATTCATCTTGCTTTATTCCTTCTTTCCATCCCTTTCTCTCCTAAAATTAAATAACAACTCATTAAAATCCCTCACCTTTCCTTTTGTCTCCATCAATACAACCTTTCCTCATCTTCATCCTTCTCCTCAGCTCCGCCTCCACTTCCTTAACCATCTTTCCACCTAAATTACAACAAAAATGCCAATAATCACGTAAAAACTTGGACAAAAACACCAAAATCACATTGTGAACCCCGGAATCGCGAGCAAATCGGGCCATTCCCGCCCCGAATTCGTTGTGTTTGTGCGTTCTTTGTGGCCGCCGAAGTTTACGAATCGTTACAGCGTCACATGGCGACCACGAGGCTGCACCCGCTGTTATCAATCTGGCGGACGAATCGCCTCATCGGCTCCAACCGGCTGGGCGGCGCCAATCGCGGGCGGGGCGGCCCCGTCGTGGCCTATAAAACCCCATGGCGGCCATTCTCAACAAGTTCACAGCTCCAGTTCAAACAAGCCCGCTTCCGACGAGTCGACCCACAAGAAGTCATGGCCCAAACCGTTCCAGCCACCCAAAAAGCCGCCGTTTTCGATGAGTTCGGCGGAAAATTGGACATCCGTGAGATCCCCGTTCCTGAGATTGGCCCGGACGACATCTTGGTGAAGGTGCAATATTCCGGAGTATGCCATACTGACTTGCACGTGTGGCTCGGCGACTTCCCTCTCCAGACCAAGGCCCCACCAATAGTCGGTGGACACGAAGGAGCTGGAGTTGTGGTCAAGGCCGGCTCCAACGTGACCAACTTCAAGATCGGAGATCGTGCTGGTATCAAGGTAGGTACAGCTTCAAAATGGCATTTTTATATTGGAAACGTCTTCAAAAGGATAAAAAAATAAATTCCTGGATTATTTTTTGAATTTTTTATTTTGGCCGCAGAATTTCGCAATGGGAATCATTTTCAAATTGATTTTTTTTATTTTTTAAATTTTTTTTTGTAAAATACGAAATTTTATTCTGTTTTCAAAAATTTAAAACATAAACCTCAAGCTTCGATAATTAAAATTCCAAAATCTAAATAAGTTACCTAATCCTTGATGTTTTAGTGGATCAATGGCTCCTGCTTATGCTGTGAACAATGTAAACGTGGTTCCGAGCCCACTTGTGACAAGATCGTGCTCTCCGGCTTCACCAGAGATGGATCTTTCCAACAGTACGCTGCTGTCAAGGCCACTGAAGCCGCTCCAATCCCAGATGGCGTCGATTTGGCCAATGTTGCTCCAATTCTTTGCGCTGTAAGTTTTGTATCCAGTGGTTTACTATGGTAATTTTTGTTGTAAATGATATAAAAGTACCTTATCTTACAATTTAAAATAAGTTTAAATATAAGGAAGTTTGATTTTTAGCGAAAAAGAGCTTTAGTATGTTGTAGTAGGTATCAAAATTTCAATTTTGAATAATTACTGACCGTTTTTCATAATTTTGAGTAATATTTTACTTATTTTTTCAATTTTCAGGGTGTTACCGTCTACAAAGCTTTGAAGGAATCCAACGTCAAAGCCGGAGAAATCGTAGCCATCACTGGAGCCGGCGGTGGCCTCGGATCTCTTTGCATTCAGTACGCCAAAGCCATGGGAATGATCGTCCTGGCCATCGATGCTGGAAACAAGGAAGAGCATTGCAAATCCTTGGGAGCTGACCTCTTCATCGACCCCTTCAAGACCAACGACCTGGTCAGTGCTGTTCAACTTCTGACTGAAGGTGGACCTCACGGTGTCATCAATGTTGCCACGGCCGCTCGTGCCATGGAGGAATCGGCCAAATACGTTCGTACTCGCGGTACTGTCGTCCTGGTAGCCCTGCCACGTGATGCCAAGATCACCTTGGACGTGTTCTTCACCGTCGTCCGTGCCATCACCGTGAAGGGATCGTACGTCGGCACCAGACAAGACACCGACGAGGCTTTGGGCTTCTTTGCTCGCGGCCAAGTCAAGATCCCAACCGAGGTCGTACCATTGTCCGAACTTCCCGCCATCTACGACAGAATGCAAAAGTACCAGATCAACGGCCGTGTCGTCCTGGACCTGTGGAAATGAGCAATATGTACAGATTAACCTATATCAAGTCGTAGTTATCACTAATTTGTAAATTGTTACTGTAGATATGTTTATAACTGACTGTATATTGTTTTACCGGTATTCCTCACTGATTTCAATAAAATTTAAAATATTTAAAAGTTTGGGGTTTTTGGAAATGTGAGAGTTCAATTTGATACCTAAATTAATATAAGTTTAATATTGCACCGTGCAGTTCAGATAGCTTACAAAAAAAATAAAAATCAGTTTGATGCATAAAGAATGGCATGTTGTTTCTTGGTTTATTTTTTTCTTGAAATTCACGCCATTCTTCTTCGATCAACTCCAACACAATGCATATAGATTGCAATGCCATTCTTTTTGTGATATGCGACAAAATATTATAGTTCCATTCTTTTCGCATCAACTCAGTAAACCAAATTGATTAACAATATAATTTATCGATTAAATCGTAAGAACAATAAAAATAATTTAAAAGAAGACAATATCAAGGTTTAGGTAACACCGGCAATAAAGTGGGATTAAATCACAAAAGGTTTGGTTAAAAAATAAATTACTATTCAAATGGGTTGTATTATTAAAGTCTGAGTTTTACGAAAAGAAAGATTAACTATTTTAACAAGAAAAGGTTTAGATTAAGAAAGATATACTATTAGACAACAAACTATTGCTATTTATGATAAAATTAAGCCTAAGGGCTTGTTAGACAAAAAGGATGTTAAAAAAAAGATTTAACTATAGTAATTATACAAAGAAAAACAGTCATGATGACAAAAGAACAGCTAAAAATGTGTCATTATGATAGTGAACATCTAAAAAAGATGTCAACTACAACGGTGAAAATCCAAAAAAGCTGTCATAATGACAACAAAAAATTAGAGGGTGTCACAAAGACTATGAGTAGTAAAAAAGCTGTTATTATGACCATGAGACATTTAAAAATCATGGTATAAAAACATAGTTAGAAAAAAAAACAGTCATGATGACGGCAAAAGGGTCATGATAATATATAGGCCAGAAAGGTGAAAGCCCTAGTAATTAGGAATCCGACTTGCGTAGACAAGGTTTCAAAATTTGAGGGAAAGGTTTTGAGGGTTGAAACGGATTGAAATTTCGACACATTAAAGCTTTTTCAAAAAAATGTAAAAACTGTGAAAATGACTATTTAGGTCGATTCTTTTAATTTTTAAGCCTAAAACCTCATTTCCTTTTGAAAACATCAAGCATTAACATATCAAAAATTCAAATCCAATCCATCTCCCCACGAAACCAGGTATAAATCACAGAAAATCTCAAAAGTAAAGGTTGTACAACTACTCGCTGACTACTATAACATAGTCGTTTAGCCTTTTGTGAGCTGAGGTGGATCGTAGCGACTCAATCTGTTCATCAAATCACGGTTCTGGGCTTCGATTTTCTTCATCTTGTTCCGTAGGGCCAGGTTATCGTTGTAGTAGGACTGGCATTTGCGCTCCAGACTGTCAATGTACTCTTTGCGTTTTCGGCGACTTTCTTGGGCGCTTAGCTGAAAAAGTGATGTTATTGTGAGGGATTGGCGTTGGAAATGAAGGTTTTTAATTTTTTGAAATGAAAATTTAGTTTTTTTTTAATTTTTTTACCTAAAACCACATTTTTTCATCATTTTGTACCGAGAATTATCTTTTTCGCTTTTTTGTTACCTAAACTAATATTCTTTCTATAACTCTCCAGCATAAAAATTTGGTCTTGTTACCTAAACTACCAATTTCAAAAATTTTACACAAAAAATGTCATTTGTTACCTAAAATTCATTAAAATATCAATATTTACCTTATTTTTGATTTTCCTGCGTACAATCTTGAGTGCTTCCTCCTGTTCTTTAGTCAATGGAAGCGTGGTGGGGAGCTCGTAGCCTTCCTGAATCAGGGTTCGTTTCTCTTCGGCCGAAAGTTGAATCACTCCATTGCTTCGAGGGTTCTGCAACTAGAACATCAAGGTTAATGTCATACCAAAATTTTTAAGTTTTTCAAATTTTCAAAATTTTTAAAAATTGTTACCTAAAATTTTTTTTTCATTTTCAATTTTAAAAACTAAAAATTTCTTACCTAAATTATTTTTTCATTTTTAAAATTTTAAAAACCAAAATTTGTTACCTAAATTTTTTTTTTCATTTTCTCTAACTCTTTTTTGATCAAGATGTCTGCAGATGTAATTTTTTGCATTTTTTATAAAGTTTTAAATATAAATCACTATTGTCGAAAGGAATTTGTCTTGGAATGACCTCAATAACAATTGAACTAGAATTGGTGAGATAACAATCAAAGTCGGGCTATGTACTCTGCTATTAAGGCTACCTAATTGTGCGCCAATCTTTTTAATCTATTTTGAAATGGCATTAAATTTTGCATTAGGTTTTTAAAGAGTCAATGGTCATAAGTCTCAAAGTTTCAAAAAAGAAATCTTTTTACGAAAAAATTAAAATTTTTCAAAAAATTTTAAATCCCTATTTCTGGTAATACTAAACCGAAAAAAAAGTGGCAGTACTAATCATAAAAACCTCAAAATACCCCTGAAAGTACCAATAATAAAGCCTTGAACTATGTTTTAAAAAGTTACAGTAAGACCCAAAGTTACAATAACACTCAATACCTACATTACCCCTACCTCAAAATCTACCATAACATATCCCAAAATCAATATTATCCTGCCACTCACCTGGTCAGTAATCAGTCGATGTTTCACAGCCAGATCGTGCATTTTCGACCGAGTACGAGAAGGCGGTAGTGGTGGCATGATTTCTGAGTCGTACTCGCATTCGTACTGTCTGACTGCCCTCGGTGCTGGGTACTGCTTGTAGTCTGTGTGGAAACCTAAAACAATTATCTTGAGGTTTAAAAAAGAATGGCACTAAGTTTAAGTAAGCTCAGTGAAAGTCGCACTTTGAGAGAGAAGAAGTGTGAGGTATAAGTACGATAAACTACTGTAGCCTCAAAAATACTTTTTTTTAATTTTAGCGTTTTATACCTCAATATATACTATAACATCTTTAAAAGTTTCAAACCTATAACTAGGTTTAAAAAAAACTTATGTTAAAAAGAATGGCGTACTACATTCCACTACACCTTGGCGTTAAAAACAATTTCTTATCAATTATAATTTTAAAAAAATATCTTTTAAACCATCCTTATGGTAAAATACACCATTTGTTTGAATTTCAAAACAACCAAAACCAAAGCATCTTTTCCTACCACATTCATAATATACAGCCAAAGACATTAATCTTACCTTCAACTCCAGGCGAATGTTCATAACTGTAGCTTTTTGAATCAGAAACAATCGATAACGGGCTGTCAACTCGGTCTTCCTCTCTCTCAGTCTTTATCACAATCATTTCGTGCTGTTCATTGTTATTGTTAACATATCTGGTGTCCAAATCTACAAATCCATTGACTAGAGCTTGGCTCAACTGGCTTGGACTCAAATCGACCGACTCTGGACTGGGCAAATACGAAGTGGAAGAGCATGGTGAAATACCATCGGATCCGTAGTCAGCATAGTTGTAGAAGGGCTCTGGAATGATGGTTTTTCATTTTGTGTTATCAATGGTGGCATAATATAGCATTACTTGGCCAAAACTAATTTTTTTAAAACTTTTCTCAAGTTTTCAACAAAATTTCAATTTTTCAAATGTTGTACATGCCTATTGAATGAATTTTTATACAATCTATACAAATTTGCTTTCACACACATTGCTTTAAAAGGCGTTTGTTATTGCTAAAACAACACATTTGAATACATTGTGATCAAATAAGCCTTGAAACAGCAAAAGTCCCTACGCATCTGATCAAACAATTCAAATTCTAATGGCCAAAACAACTGAATAAACACAAAAGTTATGATGTAGAAGACATGAAAACTGTCCAAAATGTTTTTAGCGATCTTACAAGCGCAGATACATAATGAAATTTAGGAAGTTATTGGAAATTTTGACAAATAACATAAAAGAAAAGTGCATTGTCTATATCAACATCGCGGTAAAAAAATAGAATAGAACAGAGAAGTCATTGTATCTAAAACTACAAAAAACTTAAAAAACTACACAAACTCGAATAAAAATATATAATAGTTTCAACCAACAGTCAAAAAGTTATGGCATATCATACACACTCCAAGCATACTGATCGCTTGGCAATGATAATATAAGCCATATCTCAAAAACTAAAATAAAAATTTAAAAAGAAGTACAAGTAATCAGTGTATCATTAGCCATAATACTATACTAAAAACCAAAAATTTTCGGTATAAAGTCTTTGAGATAACAGCTATATTAACCATGACAATAACACCTTTTGATAAAATTTTTATAAAAAATCTTTAAGATTTGAAAATTGCCATTATTAATCTGTAGACTATAGGCTACCTATTACCAAAAATTCAAAAATATTCAACAACAGCCCTTTAAGATATCAGGTATATTAACCACGCCACCTCAAAATCACAAAAATCGCAAAAGAGCTCTAAATTTAAATTTTCACCTAATAAGCAAATAAAATTCGACTTACCGTGAGAATTGGCGTTATTAGCATTCGTATCAAAAATATAAGTGAGTTCACCGGGGACAGGATCGTTAAAAAAGACGTCATCCTTGACAATCGGCGTCCAAGAGTCGTCCATCGCCTAAAACAACATGAAAATAAATCAAAACATAAATGAAACAATATGGTTATCACGTAGAATAATTAGAGAGTTAACAAAATATCAAATACGTTAATTTCAATTCGTTTTAGCGACATTTCAAACGAATTTCGACGCACAAAAGTTAAAATTCGAGAAAAAAGCCAAAATTCCATCAAAAAACCAAAAACCCGCCTTCGAAAATAGTCAAAAACAATCAAAGTTTATGCTCAAAGTGTTGACATAACTAATATGATGTTCGACATGCTAATCCTTTCAGGTTTTGAGACACAAGTGCATAAAATTATCGAAAACCCAAAACAATCGACTGTTTTAGCAAAAATCGACTAAAATTTATTGAAAATCGACGGAAAAATCAAAGTGCTGTTCTTGAAACGTGCTCAACATGCGGAATTGAACTGGAACTGACCTTGTTTTCAGTATTTATACTCAAAAATTATGCAAATTCCATGTTTTTGATGATTGTCTAGAAAACCCGTCATTGGCTTTTAGAAAATGCGTCAGACTGACTTGTCGTAGGAGCTTGAAAATAGACAAAATTTTTAAAAGGTTATCAAAGATAGAAAAGTAAAATAGTTAAATAAAAATATCTTAGGTATTAAAAAAGTTAAGCATAATTGTAAAATACGTCAGCAAACTTTGTGCTCAACTGTACAAATAGAATATATAAGATAAAAAAAAACACAGTTAGAAGAAAAAAATCTACAAAAGTGTTCAGATGGTCATCTTGAATATAAACAATATAAAAAGAATGAACTTTGTTTACTTTGACTCAATTCCTCGGCAAAATAAACAAATTTTCCGGAAAATTATCGCGATTTTATTGCTTTTCAGTAAAAAATATTTATATCCACCCTACCCTACCCTACTACTTTTGCCGTACTTTTACTTTACCCTAGTCTTATCTTTGCTATAATCTAGCCCAAAAAAATGCCTTATCATTGACATACATTTACCCTACCCTGCTTTGTTCTTCTTTTTTTACCCTACCCTACAATAAGAGTCAGCACGATATACTCACTAACACATGTCCGTACCTACAAAAACATGCCCATACCTATGTATAGAAAACCCTTTGTATTTATAAAACAGCTATCACTCTTTACCCTTCTCAAGAATGAGAAGCTTCTCAACAACCTCCACAGCCTTTGACCAAGCCTTTTCTGCCACAAATCAAAGCATTTTGTTTGAAACCGCTAAAACACAAAAAAAACATTCGAATCGAAATCCTTGAGCCAAGAAGGAGCCCCAATTTGAATGCAACTCCACTCTCGAGATCACCAAATCCAGGGAAATAACAGCGGAAAGGTGGGGAGAAAAACCGCAAAAGGAATCGGCCAGAGTTTTCCATTTAAACGCGAAAGGGGGGAGGGAAGGGAGAGGCAGATTTAAATCATTTCTGAAGGGAATTATTCCAAATGTTACAGGGGCGGGTGTGTTGTACACAAGGCCCGCCACAGTCCGAATTCGTGTCTTGAAACAATGGAAATGATTTGAAAATTTTAAACTAAAGACGGTGGGGTAGAGGGACATAAGGCAAGTGTAATATATATAAAGAAATATATAGAACAATTTGTTATATTCAGGGCCTGGCGCTGGGGAAGGGAATGGACGGGGGGGAAGGGAACCCCCTTCCCCAGAAAAAAGTTCGAAAAAAGTTGAACGTGGTCCCCCCTGTAGATTTTTGGAAAAAAATTTTTTTCGACCCCCGCCCCCAGACCAAAAGTCCCCGCCCGGCCCTGGCTATATGTATATATAGAATAACAAAAAATAGTTTTTAACACTAAAAATATTATGATAAAGTAAAATTATGTTTTATTATAGAGGCAGGATTAAATAGGAGAGTAAAACGGATTGTGCCAGCTCTGCCTGCCTACTACGATCCGGCTGGCTTGGTTGGCATGAGCTAAAGTTGAAAATCCAGGCTTAAAAGTTGGAAAAGCCAAACTTTTTTAATTTTTTAAATTTTTAAAATTTTTTTTTTAAAACGGGACGAGCCAGATCGGGGCCTAAAATTTTTAAACCGGACCGACAGGGGGCGGGGGACAAGGGAAGCGGAGAGGGAGGGGTAGTAAGAGAAAAGTCAAGGGAGGCTACACTCAAATTTTTAAAAAAAAAGTTGAAGTTCAGCGCGCCATTCTTTACGCCTCAAAATAATGTTAAACTTTTGAAATAAAAAAAAACATGATTAAAAAATAATGGCGCGTCTAAAAAATTAGCCTAAAAATTTTATTTTTTACCAGCCATCCTTTTTGCATCAAAGTCTCAAAAAATAATTAAAAAAATTTTTTAAATCCGTTGGAAATTTAAAAAAAAACTTCTTAATTTCAAAATTAAAAAAAAAAATTTTGGTCATAATAAAAATGAAAAAATTCTAAAATTGGAAGCGTTTTAAAAAAATAAATGTAAATTAGATTACACTTTTGTACAGTTTAGCGACTTCAAATAATTCTTTTTTTTTCGTTTCTTTTGAGAGTTTTTAAAAATTGCAGTTCGAAATAAAGATGAATAATATGTTTGTTTCAAAAGACGCGTAAGGCAACAGGTTTTTCTGTCTAACAAATTTAATATTATGTTTTATGTACAATATCGTCATAAAATATAATATACATTGAGAACGATACACTGTGAAAGATCAGGATATTATAGTACATATAGTGGTAAAAACTGATAATCAACATGATAATATACAATAAAGTGCCGTTACACAAGAACTCTCATATAACGAACTCTTCGATACCAAACCCTTGTTTGAGTTCTTGCCCATGCCCACATGGACTGGTCTCGCCCGGCCTCACTCGGCTTCTTTCAAATCAAGACAAGAGTGGGCCTTTAGATGTCAGGAGATCGACCTGACATCACATATACTTAACTAATTGAATATTTTTTAAAATTCTACTTCTCAGCTAATCATCGACTCGTATCTTTCAATTACCATAACTATTCTTCCATAAAAACCTACGCCGGCTCGAGACGAGGGTATCGCTCGTACCGCCTCTTTCATCTGCCAAAGAGCAGTTTAAAAATGAATGTCCTTGGCATTACCTAATTTGGAATGTTAAGCTTAGTTAAAAACTACAAATTAAAAAATTGTATTCTGTTCATCAGGTTGCCCAAAGCTGAATTAAAGTTGGCAGCTGTGAAAAATTTCGAAATTTTTTTGCTATTTTATAACAGTAAATCAAGCTAAAAATGACATTTTCTGAACTTAAAAGTAACAAAAATGGATTTATTTTCAAAAAAATCGATTGAAAAAATTAAATTTTTAGGTAACAATAAATTTAAAAAAATAAACTTCAAAACATCTATATAAAATATAGTATTCTTTGTGTTTTATCAATAAAACACCTACGTTTCAGCCCTTAAACTACGAAAAAAGGCGAGTTTCTCTTTGCCACACCCAAATGCATAGTAATCTGAATGATGTGATCATGCACCTATTAGAAACTTTTTATCTTTGTTTTATTCCAAAACCTTATTTTTCACCTTCCCTAACCTATTACTAAGTGGTTCAAATAATTCTGTGCCCCTAACTTTGAAAAACTGCTTTGAGAGGGGGGCACAGAATTGTGTGATCCACTTAATAAAAACCATTTTTCACCTTTCTTAATCTGTTATTAGGCTGTTCAAATAATTCTGTGCCCGATAACTATACATAAAAAGTTTCTTTGAAGGGAACACAAAATTATGTGAACAACCTATTAAAAATCAACCATCACCTCTTCAAGATCAAGTTTACAAACCTTCCTTTTCTTGCAAAATCACCCTCCTCTCCCCCCCCCCTTCACAGTCTTCCCTCCTCCAAACTGCTCTCGGCTCGTTAACAATATTCGCCCTCAAGGCCTTCTGTAAAGCGACAAAAGCCGCGCAGTACAAGGCGCGGGCGTTATCAGATAGAGAGATCCGAGATCTTGATGTTATCGTCAATTAATTTCGAATTGCCCTTGTTTTTGGGTGTGTCCTAAATATTAAACTTGGAGAGGAGTGTAGCACAATATAAAACTTGGGGAGGGGTGTATATCAATATAAAACTTGAAGAGGATGTATATCAATATAAACTTTTAAAAAGGGGTGTAGCACAGTTATTTAGTGTTAATGACTTAAATTTCGATAGAAATGTTTTGATTACTGATAAAGAGTTGAGCGCGATGAAATTAAAATTTGGAAGAGACAAACTGCATAGTTAGTTTGCATTATTTTTGGTCATTAAGCCTGCTTTATATTCAAATGGTTGGCAGCCAAATGGGAATTGATCTAATTGAAAATTGATAAATTTTCAAAAAAAGAACTTTTATTTGAAGAAAAGTTAAAAATATTAATTTATATCATCTAGCCCTTGTTCTATTTCTACCAAGCGAAATACGGAACGAGTCGGGCCCGAGACCTGATCTAATTTTGTTCAGGCCAAGCCAGAATTTTTTTTCGTGCACGCGGGCCGGGCTTTTTGCACAAAGCCATGATTTTTAGGTCTGGCCGAACCTAAATTTAAATCAAGGCCGGCCCACTTCTCATGTCTACCTAGCGAGGTAAAAGTAAGGGTAAACGTAGGAGTAAAAGCAGGGGCGGACCTAGGAATAGAGTAGATATAGGGATAGAGGCATAGGCTAGAGTAGAAGTAAAGGTGGACACAAGGGCACAAACAAGTAAACACGTGCAAGGGTAAGAGTATCCCACGCCCAGAGCACTAGCCCAGAGCCCTAGCCCAGAGCCCTAGCCCAGAGCCCTAGCCCAGAGCCCTAGCCCAGAGCTCTAGTGCTAGCCATGAAAGTTCCTTTTTTTAGCCCTACCCAACTTTTGCCTTACCCAATCCAAGCTTTACATTAACCAAGCCCTAGCCCTAAAATGTCGATAAAAATATCAAAATAACAAACTAAAAGTTAACATACACAAGTCAATAAAACAATGACCCACAAGTTTAAAAACTGTTGTTATTCATTTTTGTCGCGATTCATATTTCCCTCCAAAAAGTGACTAAGCTCTCAAGAACCGATCGGCTACATGGAGTGATGATGACGTCAATTCAAGCCCCACCCAAACTAATATTATGTTTGTCTTTTTGATTGTTAACCAAATTAGAGTTGTGAAAAAAAGAGGGCGGAAATCGTTGATATGATAACATTTTAATGTGTAGGAAGATAGTAAAGTACAAAAATTGAACCATTTCGAAATGATTGGGATGCTATGTACTACAAATTAGTAGTAAAGTAGAGAAAGCACGAACAAATAAAAAAAACGTTAAACTAGCTCCATAATAGACAACATTCACCTTCTTAACACTGACCAAACCTTCCCTTACCTCAATAGCACCCTGTAACTTCTTTATCTTAACCTCCCCACCAGGTTTATCTTGGATTAGGTTGTTCACTTAATTCTGCGCCCCTTCTCAAACTAATTTGTGGGGTACAGAGGCGCAGAACTATGTGAACAACCTAACACGTCCTCATCCTTCTCCCTTTTACTAAACTTCGCACCTTTCTGCCTACAAGGGATAAAAAATCAATTTTCAAAAATATTTTAAAAAATTTTAACTTTAAAATAACAACATGTTTGTGCAGACAATAATAAAACTTTTTGCTAAGATTTATTATGATAATTGCCCTAGTCAATGTTTTAAAAATAAAATGTTATTTAAAAGCCCAAGCCAGACTCAACAATATGCAAAGCAAGCCTTGTAAAGCCTATTGAAACTACGGTTTAAAATCGCAAAAACTTGATCCGCCTTGTCTTAAAACTTTTGTTTTTTCTCGAAAAAACCAAAAAAAATGAATTATGCAAATCCTTTCCGCCCTCGTCCTTTTACCAATGTTAGTGCGACGCCATCAGCGTTGACATGTACAATATAAAAAGTTTTTATCAGTAGTAATGTTTTTTTTGATCATGATAATGACGTCTGTAACATGATACTAAAAATGGAAAAGCCGTGCGGTAGAATGGGGGAGGGGATAGGGACAGAAAAGGGTTAATTGTAGATGAGAAAGGAGTTGTAGTAGACTTGGCATACGGGCCCGGCTTGAGCAAAAGTAAAGCAAGACGGGTCAGGCTGGCAGGCTCCGGCCTGTCTTAAAAGCTGAGTCTAAATGGTATTGTCAATATCCTCCTCTCCAAAGGAAAGACGGCCATCAACACTGCAATCACCTTCCCAATCAGCGCCTCTGACACTGGGTAAACCTCTATAAAAGTCCAAAATGCACCCCAATTTCAAAAACTATACAATATAAAATCAACAAAAAAAAAATTCTCAATCAATATTAACATTAACATAACGTTCGGAGTAATAAATACAATAAAACAAAAAATATTGGCGGATTATCTTCTCGACGAAACTATTCGAGAGAGTTGCTCTACCCTCTTTCCAAGTATAACACCACTTTTGTAAAAGTAAAAGTAAGAGCAGACTAAAATAAGTTTATACAACTGCTGATCCTCAATATGTTTTGTAAAAAATTATATATGTAGTACAAAGAGACAGTATTATAATGGGTAAGGTAAAGACAGAGTAAAGACAACTATAAGTTAATATAGAGCTTTGGCAAAGTTTAAGGCTAGGGCTAGACATGAGAAAAGAGCCAAGCTTGACTCAAATTTAATAGGTCGGGCTGGGTCAGAAAATCAAGGCCCGGCCCGCTTGCACGTAAAAAATGCAAAATTCAGGCTGGGCCGAGCCTAGCATTCAATTTGGGCTAGGGCTCTGGGCTAGGGCTCTGGGCTAGGGCTCTGGGCTAGGGCTCTGGGCTAGTCAAAAAATGCAAAACTGTTACAAGCAGAGGTTTGTAAGAGAAGCCTGAAGCTTTTTGGTTAACCTAAGAACAAGCCAATAATATGCTTGAGTTTGTGAAGATTCGAACCCAAGCTGCTCGCTTTAAAAGTTTCAAAGCTCTACCCCTGCACTACTTGCGTTGGTGATGAGATGTGGTTCTTTATGGTACAAATGGGGTACAAAAGGTCAGAAATAATTTTAAAATATTAAAATTGTTAAAGATAGGTTCAAAATTGCAAAAAAAATTTAATTTTTTGAAATTTTCGGCCAAAAATTGAAAATTTAAGTCCCCTAAAGCAATGTTAAACATCCCAAACTCGGAATTAAAATTCTGTACATACAAAAGGCGAAATTAAAATGCTGAAAAAGAACATTAGGCCAGCAAATAGTCTAAAACAATATAAATGTTTTATTTGATCATTCTTCAAACCAAATGCACTTTTTGGTTGTCCTGGGAGAACCGAGGCCTACAAACATGAGCAACAATGTTTTTGCATGTTATTCAAAGTTCTTTTTCGGAAACATATGCACCTTGTTATGATTTAGAGTGGAGAAGTGTATTAGATTGTTCAAATTATTCTGTGCCTATTAACTCGGAAAATTTGCTTTTAGAGAAGCGCAGAATTATTTGAAAAACATAATATTTAAAACTATTAAAACAACGCTAAATAAAAGTTTTGCTTTTTCAAATAATACTGTGCCCCTTAACTTCGAAAATTCCTTTGGGAAAGGCCCATAATTATCTGAACAATCTAATAGTTGAAACTTTGCGCTTAATTTTGAACAATTTTTCTTTTGAAAATGGAATTTGTTACCTAAAAATTTTGTAGTCTTCAAAAATTAAATAACTTTAATTCTAAAGATAGGCTCTTGATAAACAGGTTTCCTAAATACTCCGGCTCCAGAACCGAAGCCAGAAAACGTCGAATTTTAGTACTAGAGCTCCAGAAAATGTCGAAGTTCAGCAGAGCTCTAGCTACAGGCTTTCAAAGCCGTAGCTAAAATTTAAAACTAATGCCGGAGCCGAAAATTTAAAATTTGGAAACTCAGGTTATATCAGAGTCAAAGTCAATTAATTTACAGCAATACAAGCCAAAATACGTATTCTAAAATTGAAAAAACCTTCCATCTTTTCATAAAACAATAAAAAAATTTTCGAAAATTACAAAAAAACATTAAATATTAATTAAAAAATAAAAAAAAGGTCAAAATTAGTCAACTTTATATTAAAAAACCAAAGAAAGCTCCGTCTTCAACTTCCCGAACTGTAAATTTTCTCCATTTTTACGTTTTTTGGCTTTTTGGGCGAAAACAAAGGAAAGCGGACGTCCACCTAGGATGGCCCAGAGGTTGAGCGTCGGTGCACTGGCGTGAAATCCCTTTGGTTCGAGTCGACGACCGGTTTCAACCTTTCGGAAGGCTTGTTTAACACGAAAAAAATGCATTTGCGTCTCTTGCAGGTAGCTACTGCAAGAGTTTTGCACTTTTTCCAATTTGAAAAATGTCAGTTTTGTATTTTTTTTATTTTTAGTAATTAAGAAACTCATTTTTCAATGAATTTTTGCTTTTATAAACGCTATTCTTTAATTTTTTATTTGTACTTAAATTTTTTTTTATTTTACAAAATTGCTATATAAGACAAAATACAGTAGAACTTTTGTATAACAAGCTCTCACATAACGAAACTCCTTTACAACGAATAAACTTAAAATCCCCGAGCGATTTATTATACAGAGTTACACTTTATTTTACCTATAGCAGCCTCTAACCGTAGCCTTAACTATGAACAAAGGATTTTAAAATAGCAAGTTTATTTAAAAATATTTAAAAAAGCCAAGAATAATACACAGGAAAACCTGAAAGACTAGTCAATTTTAGTATAATCAGGGATGATATACTTAATGTTGAGATAGGAATGCCGACCGCCAAACTTCTGAAGGCAATGTAGCGTAGCTGTAACTTCTTCCATGTACTTTACTCTGCGATTTGTGTCAATATCAGTGTCGAATTTGGAAATGAATCTTGTACCTAAACTAGTGATGTAATACATTGAAAATGGCATTGTACTATCTTTTCTATTGAGAAGCTGTTGGGTTTTTCAAAAAATTTTGTGTTTTTTTCAAAGGAAATTTTTAGATTTAATGAGCACAGAATTATTTGAATAATCTAATACTATAATTTCAATCTTTATAATTAACTTTACTGTACTTTTTGACAAACACAGTAAATTTTACTATTATTTCCATTTTTACTGTTATCAAAAAAGTCTTGTCGTTTTTCAACACAGAAGACAATACAAAAAAGCGACAAGACTTTTTGATACTCTGTTGGTACTGTTAAAAAAGATAAAAATTGTGTAAAATACGTCAAGGCGTTGTTTGTTATCATTTAAGATTATAAAATTAAAAAACATACGAAGCGGAGGCAGTAGATTGCGATAGAATGGGATTAGTAACGGTCCGATGCCAGTCAACGTTGCTAGACGACGGATCACGCGGAGCATCTCTACGCGTTTTTCGTATTTTTTCGACTCCAAACCTTTTCGTATGTTTGGGACCTACAAGAAATTTCACTTTTTTACTACAAAAGTTGCTCATATCAAAGTTTTGAAAGACAGAGCTCAATAGCTCTATATTAACTTACAATTTGAGTCAGTGTTTCAGCGACAAGTTGTGGAGCAAAATCGACTGTTAATAAATCCGAAAATCCTTTCAAAGCTACATGGTTGAATGGCTAAAAATAAAGTTTTTATTTTTTACCACTTTAATTTAAAAAAATATTTTAATATATACTAGAAAGCAAACCGCGTATTTTACAAAACAAATTACTTCATAACCTTGCTAATAAGACTTCTAGTTGCCACTTTAAATAGCCTAGTTATAGCTGTAATCCTAGTTTTCCTGTCCTACGTTAAATAGCACTACCCTAACTTATAAAAAAAAATCTTTTCTTACCGACTTCTCCAATGGTAATCCATAAGAGAATCGAATCAAAGCCTGTTGAGCTTCATTGGCATCCAACGAAGCTGGGTCCACTAACCATTCGATGCCAGGCTTTCCATTCGAGATGATTCGCACTGGAAACCTCTGATCTTCGTAGAATTTCAAAAACTGAGCTTCGTTTTCACTCTAAAATTATGTTTTTAGCATTTGGATACTTTTTTAGCTTACTGCTTTAAGTAAGTTGTACGTAGTGGTCTACTATGCTTAGCTTGGTCTTTCCTCGGCCACTAGGTTCAGTCCGAGCTCGGAATGACCACGACTATAGAGCCAAAACAATTTTTAAAGAGGTCGAGCTAGGCCAGACCGTGCATGCCCAAGAGCCAACTCTAAATAAAATGACACAGCCTCTTAAAATTGTAAAATAACATACCAAGTTAACTGCCGATGGCTTAGCATTAGCTGGAGTAAACGGACGAGTATGCTTTTGTTCTGATTGGATGGTAAAGGCAGGCACCTGTGATTAGTGAAAATATTTAAGCAATACGTAAAATTGAATGTAAAATACGATCTAATTACAGTAAAACAACTTTAGCGTGACCCTTAATATTGTAACACCTTGGTAAATTCCTGTTTTGGACTCCTGGGTTTCATACTAAAGAGGTTTGGCTGTGCTTGAATTTACATAAAAAGAATATGTTTCAGGTGAACATACGTCTACTTTGCAATGTAAATTTAGGCATAAGTTGTAAAAACTTACTTTTCTCAACGAATGATCTCTTCTTTTGTAGAATATTTGATTTCTTTTGTTATCAGCGACAATATTTCGACTACAATCCACTTTGAATTTAGGTGAATAACTTCTGAATCGTGGGTTGCGACATGGTCTGGTTACATCATATGATATCATATTTAGTAGCAAATACTCTACTTTAGTAATAATTATTGAATTTTGTACAGTGTAACTCCTGTATAAAGAACTCTTGTTTACAGAACTTCTCTATATTAAAACTCCTCTATAATGAACAAATTAACAATCCCTGAGCGATTTGTTAGACAACTGTAATGAACTTGTTATTGTATTCTAGATAAATATAGTAATAAATTAAGTCAAGGTAAAATACGACTTTCGCAGTGTAGTTCTTAAAAAGACTGTGTTTAGAAGAAACAAAAATGTTTTGAGACGTTTGACCGGAAGTGCATTTGAAACATGCAAGAAGTTACAAGTAGCAACAGGTAATCAAGCGGAAAGTACTCACAAAGTACTTGTAAATCTAAAAAATTTTTTTTACCAAAGTAAAAAAAATTGTTAGTAAAGTTCTTTATAACTAGATTTGTTAAGAGATTAGATCGGGCTCAATTTTTTGGCCCAGCTCCTTTTCAGCTTGTTTCGACTTGGCTTGACTGGGTGCCTTATAAAAGGGCTAGCTTCAACAAACATAAGATGCGTTTTACACTTTTCTTAAATAAAATACAGTGGTCTCTCTATATAGTACACCATTTGTATAAATAGAAGAATTCTTATAGTAAACACAAAATGTCGGTTCCTTTTGCTTATACAGAGAGAGTACTGTATTTCGTTGCTTGACATAAGCTGGGTCCTAAAGAACTTTAAGATTTTCTTAATTCCTACGCCAAGTCTAATATTTTTTGCCCTAAAAGTCACAGTAAAATTAAAAATTTAAGGCTATTTGTTAGATATATCTGTTTCTTAGTTTATTGTAAATCTTTCCATAAAAAGACATTACGATTTTGTTTTTGAATGATGAGATTAGAGCTTCCAGAACTCGCAAACTGGAGAAAATCCTTTCATTTCCAGTCGTTTTTCTCAATTTTTGTAACAAAAAAGGGCTTTACGGTTGAACTTGTTTGAATTGACTTTTTTTTATATTGAATTTTGTTATTCCGGTCAAAAAGTTTATAGAACTTCATTATTTTTATGTTTCTTAGCAAAAATTAGCTGGGAAAAGGAAAAATTTAGTGCTGAGGGGGTAAAAATTTGCAAAAATTGGCTAAAAATTGACAAAAAATATTCCTAGCTACTACTTGGCCAGCAAAATTTCATTTTTTAAACTATTTTCAAATTTTAACTATTTAAAATTTAGTTTCAAACCATTTTAAACCAATGCCACACCAATTAGTCCACTTACTTGGTTGTAAATCAACATTATTATTTGCTTTTGACCTTGAGTTTGAGAGCTTTTTCGAATCAAATTTAACCTTTTTGGAAGCAAAAACCAGTGTGGCAGATGCCATTACTTTGCGATTGTGACAGAGTAATGACAGCTAACATACGGAACGGTTTGCGATACGAAAAAGAGAAAGCTACGACAATATTTTTTGAGGTATTTACTGTTTTTAAGGGTGTTTTGGGTAATAATTTTTTGATTTTTGAGGTTTTAGTGTTTTTGATATTGTTTTAAGTAACACTTTTTTTATTTTTTGAAGTTCTCATTGTTTTTGGGGGTATTTTGGATAATACTTTCTGATTTTTTAAGGGCTTTATTGTATTTGATTTTTTTAGGTAACACTATCTAATATTTTGAAGTTTTGAAGTGATAGGATGGATAATATAAATTTTTACAGGTTTGCTAAAAAGTGTTTAAAATTGATGTTGACTGCTTTTTATAAATGAAATTTAAAATTTTTGGTTATCTAGACCACTTTTATAGGCTTATCTTACAAGGAAAGTACCTAGCCTGCCCCACTCAGAATCTGCTCAAAATTTCTATATAAATTTTGTGTATCACCAATAATACCCATAAAAAAGTTTAGCTAGCGTAAGTTTGAGGAAATTTAAACATTTGAGTTTCTAGGCAATTTTCTAAATTTGGCGTAGTGCTTCAAGCACCTTTTTTAACTTTATAGATAAGAAAAGCTTACAAATTTAAATATAGGTTCATTTAATGGTTTTCTACTAATACATTTCTACTATCAAAGAAAAATAATTAAACGTCAAAAAATGACAAAGTTATAAACTTGAAACACAATGCCAATTTGGCTGGAAATTCAAAACTATTTTTGATCTCGATTTTCTCGACATAAGTACTTTGTTGCAGATGTTGTATTTACTTGATCCTTCTATATTAAAAAGTTTGAAGTCAATCAGAGCGGGGCAGGTCGGGCACTTTCTTTCTTACTATAAAGTTAATATATATACAGTATAAGCTAACATAATAATGCAAATAAAAGTTATTTATTACCCTTTTTTGATGAAAAATCTAAAAAAACTTAAAATTTTTATGACAATACTATTTTGATAAGAAAATGATGTTTTTTGAAAAAAAAAGATAAAATATTGTCGTATCAACTAATCTTTTAATGTTATTAATGTTAACACAAACAAACGAGGTGGTCGCAAACATTGTTACCTTTATTGAACTAGGCGTTTGATTCAAAAAGGTTTACAAACTTTTTAAATAAAGAGTTTCTTGGTTTTAAAAAGTTAAAATTTCTTTTTGACTTTTTAAAATTGTTTCTTTTGAAAAGTTTGTAACTTTTGAACTTCTGTAACTGCCATTTCAAACTGAAATTAGTTAGAAACGTCTCACAAACCAAATGGATTAGTTGTTTTTGGTCAATGAATGATTGTAAGTTGTTTTTTGGATTGAATTTTTTCATTTTTGTGTAAAGTTGGAAAGGAAACTTTCTATACAGTAAAGTGCATAAATTGAAATAGATGTAGTTACAGTTTTATTGTCAACTGATTTGTAATTAAAGATTTTTGGAGAGGGGAGGGGGGAAGACAAAAGGATGATAAGAGATTTTTAGAGGGGAGAAGAGGATGATGAGAGATTTTTGGGGTAGGAGGGGGAGGATGTTGATAAGAAGGCTTGTAGGGAGAGTGATAAAGTCGGGGGTTAGGGTAGGCAAAGTAGGGTGGTAAGGGTGGCATTTACTGCTGTGTGGGCTGATTTTACTCTAGAAGAAGAGGGACAAAGGGATCAAAAAAAATGTTTTTTGAGTATTAACAGACACAATCAAGTGCAATTGAATAATTTTTAATTGGTTTCTTTTCTAACTTATTTTACTCTACTCTAATCTTTTCTACCTTACTCCACACTACTCTACCCTGCCCAATCTTACCCATTTTATTTCTGTTTTGCTTATTTTTTCTGCCCGGCCCAATTTGTACTTTTATTTAAAATTTTTTAAAAAACAAGGTTAATTTCCTTAATTTTGGCAGATTATGTTTTTTATGTTGTACTTTTTTGATGATGTTATTAATGTTTATAGTTACTTTTGGGGTCTTATAGTAACATATGAGTTTATTATTGTTTAAATTCCAGCTGATTTTTAAGCTTTTAATGCGATTTTCATTTTTGTACTTCTGAAAGTTATTATTTTTTAAACGATTTTAATTTTTTGAAATTTCGAACTTCCACTTTCCTCTTTTTTAGAATTTTTTAAAATTTCAATTTTTAGTAGAAAATTAATTTTTTAAAACGTCAAAATGCGGCTAAAACGCTTAAAAACCATTTTTTTAAAGTGTAACAATATTAGGTTGTTCAAATAATTCTGTGCCCATTAACCCCGCAAATGCTTTGAGAGAGGGCACAGGATTATTTGAACAATTTAATAACTGAAAAATAAAAAATATTTTCAAAAAAAAAAAATAATTAGCAAACTTTTAAATTTTTAAAATTTAAATTTGGCTTGCAAATTCGAACAAAAAACCCCGCGGCTGACAAACATTTGCGAACGCACAACAAAACGTTGACAAAGATGATTTACAAAGCAAATTCAGATAAAAGGTATTCGTTTTGGGTAAGCGATCGCAAAACGGTTTAATCAAATTACCGCGCTTGTTCATTTTGTTTTTAAAACAAAACTACTACTTGTTCAAAGCAACATACAACGTTTTTTACATAGTAAACTTTTGGTTTTGGGTATAATATACAGAATGCGCCAAAAGTTCTGTTACAAAACTTTACCGGTCGTTTTCTGTATACAGTAAAACGTATTTTCCGCCTATTTCAACGTTTACAGTGGCACTCGTATATAACAAATTGCTTAGGGATTTTAATTTTGTTTGTTATAAAATGTATCATTTTACATACAGAAGTTTTAAATGCTGTGCGTAGTGGTGAACGGCAATTCAAAAGTTTTTTGTTATACGGAGTTTGTTATAGTAGTGACCGCTTATTGAGAGGCTATTTTTCTTTATAGATAACAAAGTAAACTGAATGGATGACTTTTTACTTTATTTGGTTGTATGAAATGTTAAAGATGTCTTGGGTTCACTATTGTTTTTTATCTAAAAAATGACAAAGTCTGGCACGTTTTGAAACATTAATCATTCTGAGTTTAAAATCTTAAGTTTTGAGTAATTTTCATTTTTAAATAAAAAAAAATACAGTGAGACCTCTAAATAACGAATCGCTAGGGGATTTAAAATTTGTTCGTTATGAAGGGGTTTCGTTATACAGAGGTTTTAAATGCACTGTGTAGTGCTGGCCGGGGATTCAGAAGTTGTTCGTTATACAGAGATACCGTTGTATAGAGATTCCTTTTACAGAGGTTCCACTGTATTATCTTTTACAACTTTAAACATAAAAAAAAGGTTTTTTTTACTTCAAATGATGAATCAGTATTACAGTGTAAGTGCTATATAACGGAAATTTATACAGGAGTTTTACTGTAATTTTTTTATAAAATGACAATTAAGGATTGATCTGCACCTTTAATACTAATAGATTCTTTTTTATGTTAATATTATAGTTTATTAATTATCTTTTTGGTAAGCTAGGGTCGGTATGATAAATTTTGTATAAGTAATTACAGGGGGAGGGAGAAGCTTACTTTTTAAAAAAAATTTAGAGTGCATAACCTTTTTGCTATTACCCTTTCTCCTCTCTTTACTCAAACTCTCACCTTCTTCCCATTCTTATTTTTTATTTCTCTTTTGCTATATCATACGGCTACTGGTTACAATGATGATTTATCAACCCTACTCTACCTTACTTTACCTTCCTCTATTCTACTCTACTCTACTTTTACCTTCACTTTTACTAACTTTAACATTTATGTAGAAAACTATTTCAAAACTTACCTAAATTGTAACCTTTAAAACTAAGTTCAAGCTTACCCACCAAACCCATTAATTTTGTAATGACTCAATATGACAATTCTCGACTACCGCTTACCTGAAACAAGTTTTGCGCGTTAATGTTTTTATCGATAATACATTCGTTTTGAGGTTGTTACAGCGCCGTCAAATGGAGTCCGATTGTGTGGAGGGTGGTGAGTTTTTAAAATGATTTCAATCAGCTGGCATTAAATTGCACTTTTCTCAGACTTTTTTTTAAATTCAGGTTGCGCGCGAAACGTCTCCATAACCAAAGTGGTTTTTTTCCGAGATGTTATTGATAGTGGGCTTGGAATAGCATAGTTTCTTAAATAAGTTCTGTCGGTAATGACGGGCAGGTAAATTAGAAAGTGGGAGTCTTATAGTATTATATGGCCAGGTCTTGGCCCGGCTTCCTACTAGGTTTGGTTTTGGTCCGATTAGAGACATTGGCCGGCACATGTAGACCGCAGAATCGGGGCCCAAACAGGGAGTCAGGACATTTTTTGATTAGTGGATGGGGGAGGGGGTAAAAATTTTTTAAATGAATAGAAGAAACCGTTTAAAAACTGAAAGCTTTTTGGTGGACGGAGACAATTTTTACCCCTCTTACTGTATGTTCGTATAATATAACATTGATAACTATTTTTAGTAACCGACTGTTTTGCGGATGACCGAGACTCAATGAACGATTTTGCCAAGTATTTTAACAATGCCCATCTCAGTGATATTACACTACAAGTGGGACCGGAACGGTATGTTTTTTTGCACTCAATTATTGTTTATTTTAAAAATATAAAGGACAGAATGAAATAAATTAATTGTTTTAAAAATGTTTTTTTAAGTATAATTTTTTAGGTTTCTAGCTCATAAAATAATATTGTGTAAAAGTAGTGAGGTTTTCGACCGGATGTTATCGAATGATTGGCAGAAAGGAGTAAGTAAACGCTAGTTTTTCTCTAGCTAAGCTTGGCCCTCTCACTGTCCAGTCAATGCCTTTTTCAAGCTCTACTATAGCAAAATGCTAGTTTAACACACCCCTACAACGTTCATCTTGTCTTTTTGACTCTTCCTAACCCTTTTGCTACCTCTATTATATTTTGGCCTTACTTTAATTTTTCCTACACAGCCCTACTCTGCCATGCTCTCATTTCGCTGTTCCTACTCTGCTCTATTCTATTCTACCCTAACTTACACTAACTTGCCTTGCCTTACCCTACCCTACTCAATATACTATTTCAGGAAAGCAACCTAACTTTGAATGAAGATGGTGAATGTCAGAAGGTTTTCTCCGATTTTCTCCGTTTTTTATACTGTAACCATATCTCATTGGATACTCAAAACGTACTGCCATTACTAATGTTGGCTGACAAATATGCTGTAGCTGGTCTGCAGACTGTTTGTGTTCAACATGCGATTGAAAGTGTACTGCCACAGATATGTTTGCGACAACTTATTCATGTTTGGTTTAGGTAAGGGCTTTTTGTAGGCTAAAAGGGGTCTTAGAGTTCGTACAGTATAGTCGACTGGTTGGAACCTCTAGAAGACCAATATCTATGTATTTCTTTAGAATACACGGTTTAATTTTGGTCAAAAAGTCTTTAGAAAACCCTTTATTTACAAAGACTGCTGCAAAAACGCCTTAAAAACGTCATTTTCAAGCTTTTCTACGTACTTTTTGACCAAAGTTTGTACTTATCAACCAAAATTTTAAAAGTTTACGTTGTCATTGACATTTACTGTCACTTTTTCAGGTATTCAACAACGACATTCCATGACAAATTGACGGAAAAATGTGTGAATCGTGTAGCCGATAAGTTTGCCGACCTGATATCCTCGGGCGATTGGGAAGAAGATTGGCTAAATTTGGACAGCGACCAACTCATTGAGCTTCTGAAGTCAAACGAATTGAGCTTGGACAGTGAGGTTTTTTAGGTTTTAAGATACTAATAAGACTAGAAAGTGTAGGGCTTGAAAATAATGAAAGATTTTTTTAATTAAAAAATTTCAAATAAAAAAAAATTTTGTTTGCAATTTTAAAATTTAAAAAAATTTAGACGAATTTAAACTATGGACAGCATATTGTCGTTGGCTTCGATCTCCAAAGCATCCCAACCGTTTCAATGATCACAACCTGGCTCAAAAGGTGTTACCTAAAATACGATTTCCGTTTATGAGTGCTGAAGAGTTGGCAGACGTCGAAGCTTCTGAAGAGTTCAAAGCCTATGATGATATTCTACGACCATTGACCCACCAGGCTTTTAAATACATTTCAATGCCTCTGGGCAGTCGGGAATCTAGGCAGTAAGTGGGTTTTGTTTTGGGTACAGTATTGGCTTGAATTCAAAATTTTACGGCATTAGGTTGTTCAAATAATTCTGTGCCTCCTAAGCCTGAAAATTTGAATAGGGGGCACAGAAGTATTTGAACAACCTAATATGTCAGGTTGACTTTTCGGTACTATCTAGTATATAATATGTCATATTAGATCGTTCACATAATCCTGTGCCTTCTAATTCCAAAAATTTGCTGCAGTCGGGAGTCTAGGCAGTAAGTGGGGTTTTCTTTTGGATACAGGGTTGAATTGAATTCAAAATTTTACGGCATTGTGTTGTTCAACTAATTCTGTGCCCCTAGCTTTTAAAATTGATTTGAGAGGGGGCACTGAATTATTTGAGCAACGTTATACAACAGATTGACGCTTCGGTAATATCTAGTATAATATGTTATATTAGATTGTTCAAATAATTGTGTGCCCCCTGGCACTGAAAATTTGCTTTGAGAGAGGGCACAGAATTATCTGAAAAACCTAATAAATAAGCTTTAATTTTCGGTAACATCTAGTATAATATGTTATATTAGATCGTTCACATAATCCTGTGCCCTCTAATTCCGAAAAATTACTTTGAGGGTTTCTTTATTATAAGTAATCATTTACTATATATAAAACAAAACGTACTCTCATTTAAACCCATTTCCAGAGACTTCAACGGCCTTCAGTACGTGCTCCGTGAGTACAAAGCCTATCGCTGGGACAAGCGCATCCTCATCGATGGCGAACAACTGTCCCAAGCCCTCCAGAACCGTAACGAATTTCATGCCAATTTCACTACGAATGCCAGTACCGTGCCGAGAACACATTGGGAATGGCAATTGACATTTCGAACTGCGCCCACCACCTCCAGCTATCTCGGTGCTCAGAGGGAGCTGGGTGTTGATCTGACAGCGCTGGATATGGATCAACAGAGGGCTGTTGAGTTCACTCTAATGGTCATTGATGATGAACAGGTAAGGGACATTACATCTATTAGGTTGATTTTTTTTCAACTTGTAAAATACGTTCGAATAATTATGTGCCTCTAAGTTCAAAAATTTTTTTGAGAGGGGCGCAGAATTATTTAAATAACATAATAAACCAGATTGACTTTTCGGTACTATTTATTATAATATGTCATGTCAGATCGTTCACATAATCCTGATCCCTAAACTTTGCTTTGAGAGGAGGCACATAAATATTTGAACAACCTAATTTATCAGGTTGTCTTTTGGACAATATCTAGTATAATATGTTATATTAGATTGTTACATAATTCTGTGCCCCTTATCCCAAACAATTGTTTCGAGAAAGGACACAGAATTATTTGAACAACCTAATATTAATCGTGCACACATTTTTTCTACTTTTTCGATCAAAAATATTCTAAAACAAAAATAAGTCACGTTACTTAACACTGCATACTCGTTATGACCTATAAAACATTGTTTTAGATCCTCCAAACCTTCACAAGTCGTCGTACTTTCACAAAATCTCGCTCAAACTATTCTTTCGAACTCGAGAATCGTATGTCCCTGTCAGAGCTAACATGCCCTGAAGGTGTGTTATTGAATCGAGGAAAGCTCATTTTACAAATCATGTTCAGGCCAATTGTTTAAGCCCAAGTCATGTTCAGGCCAATTGTATAGGCCACAATTTGTGATATAATACGGATTATATTGTATGTTATAATTGATTTGGCTCAAAAAAATGTAAATAAAACTGGCATAATGAGGTTTTTTTTCATTTTTTTGTAAAAAATAGATAGATACAGCGCACAAAACAAAAAAAAGGTAATACAATTGCGATCGCAACCCGCAAAAAAAGACAATAAAGGGGATAAAAATAACTAAAAACATCAGAAAAATAGGGATAAACACACTTCAGCGGAACAAAATGTAATTTATAGCTTACAACTCAAGAAAAATCCCCTCCCCCAGAGCCGATCCGAAATAAATTACCTGTGGACAAAAAATTTTTTTTCGACCTCCTCCTCCCTCAGAGAAAATCCGTAGCGACGTCCCTGATCTAGATTAAAAGCAAAAACGCCATCGATACCTACAAACCCTAACTTAATCATCGCCAATACCTGTATAATCAAAAACATAGCATTTAAGCTCCCAAACTACAAAAAAAATTGCCATCAACACCTTCGATCCTAATCAAAACAACCATCAAATCTAAAATTTTAAATTTAATGCCTTAAAGCTCTATTTACAAACACCTGATATGTACAATAACATTGTGATAAGACCCTAAAATGCCATAAGAATAACTTATTCCTCCATTTTCTCCTCCCCCTGCCAAACGTAGAATTTGTGTCCAGCAGCACTTAAAACCAGTCCATTATTCGTTGGATGAGCCGAAACACTGTGAACGAATTTGTTTGGAGAATGGTCTAGCCTAGCCAAGACTTTTGAGTCAATCAGATCGTATATGTAAAGACATCCATCTTCAGATCCTGAAGCTATTTGGTCGCCTGTTGCTAGGAACGTGGATTCTACACGGTATTCCTTGTTCTTGTGAGCTGTGTAACTGAAAATAGATAACATTAGGTAATAAACACACAATTTTTTATTCAAAAATAGTTTTTAAAGACTATATAGTCCTTTTTAATCCCATTGTTACCTAAATTTTCTATTACTTTACCCATTTTAGCCCATACCTCCCAATCTTCCCCTACCATTTCAAGGTCCAATCTTCATCTAACTTTATATAAAAAAAGCCAAACGTACTCATTAAGCAAGGTTCCATTACATTTCTCAAACAATCTAACAAAGCCATCCATTGATGATACTAAACAAGTTTGATTGTCGTCAGCCAATGTTACACTTGTCACTGATTCACCAACAAAGTCTATCAGCAATCGACCTTCTCGTATGTCATATAAACGTAGATGACCATCAGCTGATCCTGTAGCAATTTCATGGTTTGACACTGACAAGCTAAGTACGTTGTCCGTAGCTTCGTCTAGTATCTAAAACAAGGCATTTTATATAGTAAAAAAGAAAAAAAAATCAAACTTGCTTTAATCACAACTTTTTTAAAAAGGCAGATATAAATTTGAAGATTTAAACAAATTTACATTATTTATTTAGGCAACCTATCATCAGAACAACTTTTGAAAATTTAGATAAAATTTAAAACCACAGTAGTTTTAACAGTACCAAATTTTCCAAAAATACACAAATAAAAATCAAAACAAAACGTTTTGAAACTAATATAACTTCAAACTCCTACCTGAAAAGCCGCAGCCCTAGACCGAACATCGAAGCATCTGACAGTTCCGTCTTGAGACCCGCTCATTGCCACCCGGCTGTCTTCGTTAAACTGAACAGCATTAATAGGTCCTCCATGATCTCGCCATCGCTTCAACATCTTTCCTGATTCCACATCAAAGATCGTAGGCTGTTTATCACGTCCTCCAACAAGAATCATAGAATTGTCGCAAGATCCACACGCATCTAGAAGCTCACTTCCACATCCACGATATTGCTTTAGACACAAAGGTCTTAACGGGTTCCACAAAGCTACTGTCTTGTCTGAGCCACAAATTAATGCGTAGTTACCATCAACTAAAATAACATAACGTTATCTCCATTTTAGATCCAAGTTCATAGCTATTAGCTTCTATATTCCCATTATATTAGCTTCGACACCAAAAATATCCTTAGCTAATCAAAAACAATATTTAAAGAAGTAGATGCCTTCAAGATTGTAGAATAATACCTAAAAATTAAAACCAAATATAAAATATAACTTACCATTCCATCTGACAGCTCGTACAGCTCCTTGTTTGCTGTCAAACGCATGTAATAGTCTTGTAGGTATACCTTGAATGGCTTCATCTTGTGTTGGAGCTCTAGGCTTCTTCGATTCCATTCTAAAAATTAGTAGAATTAACGATTAACCTTTGAAAACATATTAGACTAGATTTCAAGAAGAATTGAACCTTAACTTAACAAAACTAATAGAAAAAGTCCAATTCTTTTTGACGCGCTCAGTGTAAGTTAACAAAATTGCTTTAAATTATATAAAACAGCTTTAATCAAAGCTTCTATCATAAAATATAAACAAAACAATATCTCTACAACATTTTGACATTAATTTAAAAACACTTATTCTATCCAAAACCCTTCAATTACCTAAATCGCGCACATCCAACACCTTTTATCCCCGTTCAAGCCCTTGAACCGCGTTTAAACGTCTCATTATATCAAAGTTGAAACGCATCCCAATTATGTTCTTTTACGTTCAACACATTAAACACATGTTCATCTACGGATATTATAGTCAAAATCGTGTATACGATCAAAAATTGAGAGGTTTTTCCACTAAAACCGATATTATACATAATAAAAAAGGGGGATTTTAAAGTCAATCGCAATATAATCGTATTTACAAATCTTTTTGTATGAATATTGTGGTATATCATACAGAAAAAGGTTTGTGAATTTCAATGTGAAACATCAAGAAATATTATTCTTAAAAAAATTTTATTTTATAGAAAATAGACATGTTATACGGCGAAAGATATGTGAGGAACAATAGCTCATAAAGCAAGTTCGAATAGCCAAAAAATAAAAATTTAGCAATTATCTCTACGTGTTTGGTAATTGCAAGCATATACCTACAGTGTCAAAGTTTATACACCTTTTCTGATATATTATTCATGATAAGCAGTTGAAATGATTGCAAGAAGTCTGCCAATCGAACATGAATCAGGCTTTTAAGCCTTGTTACAAACTTACGTAAATATAGTGAAAATAGATTTTAAAGTGTTTTTAAGCTTCTTTTTTATTTTTAATTATTATAATTATATATCACTAATATTGTCCTAAATTAAGATTGCATTTTTTGATCACCTTAACAATAAATGAAGGCTTCCCTCCTTATATTTGTTGTGATAACTATAATATATGCTGTAAAACTACCAGTAAAGAACTGGAAAAATAATTCAAGTTCAACCAGTGATGATTCAAATAAATCGTATGTTTTTAATTTTACTTTTTCAATTTTGAAAAATTTTCAATTCATTTGACAAATGCCTCAGGGTCGATAAAATACCCATCATGACATTATTGTTAGATAAATATAAGGTTACTTTAGGAAAAAATTTCTCAAGTCAAAACAAAAATAACTTTGTTTACAGCATCATAACCTTCTTCCAATGCGTTTCAATACAACACCAACTTGGCCACATAAAAGACATTGACGACAAATGGTAAGAAAATCGGTAAATCACTCAGTTACTACGGTTGTCTAGCTACACCATGTACATTATCTTTTTATTATCTATCGCTAAAAATAGACATTATGATAGCAGTAGATGACATCGATCATCTGTTAACTATAACAAGCGCTTCATTATAGGTATATGACTATAACAAAACTCATGGTTTATAAAATCACAATTAAACTTGCAGGGTTGAAGAAATGATAAAATGTGCACGTTCAGTACAATCAGCGCCATTTACTGCGGTTGCTAACGTTTTATACGGAACACATTTACATTACAGTAAAAATACGAAACAATGTAAGTACAATATTATACATAAAAGATAATTTTAGAGTATCAAAGCTATTTTTATTGATCTAACAGCCGAGAACATACTATAATATATTTAAATATTCCAAATTCTTGATTTTCTTATGTTTTCAAATTTTCTAGTTGAAGAAGACGCTGACTGTGTGTATCGTCGTACAAATAACCATAAGCACCAACAGTATCTTCAGCTGATGAAAGAACCTATCAAATTTGACAATGAACAAACAGCTTGTCTGTAAGTTATATTACTTTTTGTTTTTGGTCTATCTTTGGCATATTATTATTTTGTTCAAATAATTCTCTGCCTCACTCCCGCTATCCAACCAAATTTTTGAAAAAATATTAATTTTCTTGTATTCATCCTGCATAGGTTCCTAGAACAAGCTGCGATTTCATACTGTGATGTTGTAACTAATTGTGAAGGCTCTGAAGTATTAGCTGAATCTGCGTATATTAGTGCGGTAGTAAGAACACAATTGGATTTGGAACATTCAGACAGTCTATTGAAGTAAGATAATTTTCAATACTATTAGCAGTGTTGATACCATTTTTGATGTATAGTATTATCAGAATTTACAGATGCTCTAAAATAAAAATTGATGTAAATCCAATGTTATTTACGGATAAATTCAACCCGGAACTGGATTCATTTCTACTTTCTTCTCAATGTGATGTTACAATTTAAATCTGATGTTACTAGCAAATAAGCATTACATTATACCCTTATACATATATACGTACGTTACTCAAACATTTCAGTACTTTTCGTTATCTATTCAACGTAAAATACCTAGGTAAGTGATACCTAGTTGTTTTACGTTGAATTATAGGAAGCTATACCTTCTTAGAATTACCCTTTCAAAGTAAACCCATCGATAATATACATTTGTAAACATCAGATACATACTACAATATAAAATAATTTAATTTCCGACCAAATAATTACATTAATTCATAAGTTATGACTACAAAAGGGCACTTGGGACTAGGTACAATCACTCGAGTTTCTACAGGTGTTTCATGGCGCCGCGGCACTCGGAGCAGTGAAGGCATGGGTCGAAGGGTTCGGGAGCCTCGTGTAGGAGTTGCGAGAACTGGTTTAGGGTTTCTGTCGATGGTACAGAATCCTCTTTTATCGTCAGAAGGAAATGGACCAGTTTGTGAACGACACATGCTCTACTGTCTCGTACTGGTAAGCTTTGACCATCGGATGGTAGTTTTGAGCCTTCAACATGATGATCATGGTGGCATTCATGTTGATGTCCATCTTGACTTTGGCCGCTATCATGACTATGTTGGTGACCATCATGCCCATGTTGATGTCCATGCTGAACACCATGTTGATGACCATGTTGATGAACATGTTGTTGACCATGTTCAGTTTCCCTATCATCCGGACATACCAAGCCAGCTTCCACTAGAGATTGATGTAGTTGTTCATCATTTTGATCCGTCTTCCTTTCATTTTCATCTCCTTTTTGTTCATCTTCTTTGGTAATCAATCCAGCTTCAATCAAAGACTCTTGGATTTGTCCTTGTTCATCTACTGTTTCCACTGTATCACTTTGCTTTATTTCATCATCGTATTTTAGGGTATCTTTGTAAGTGTCACGTATCGTTTGAAGCAGAATTGACACAAAGTTCGACAGTTTTTCCTGAAAATAGTCCATTGTATATTTGTAATCGTATTGAACCAAAAGTAGCGCGACAGTTTTCAATTATTTTTCAACTAAAAAGTGTCCCGCTACTTTTGGTTCAGCCTAATATACAATATTTTTAAGTGTAATATGGTAAAAGAATGTTATAACGCCTTTTGTTCAACATAAAGTCCTTCTAATAGTCTTACCTTTGAATTTTGACTGCTTTCCCTCCACTCATCCATTGTTTTCTCCTGCTCCTTTAGCTTTTCCTTGATCTTCTCCCTTTGAATTCGGTATAACTGAATGTAATCTCCAATACTTTCATTTTCACTTTCTACGTGTGTCAACCAGTACTGTAGCTGCTTATTCTTCTCGGTCAAAGATTGAACTTCTGATTTCAACGTCTCGTTTTCGGCTACCAATTCAGGTGGAATGTGGAATTGATCATGTTGATGAACATGATGGCCGTCTCCACCTTGTTTTTGAACTTGATGACCGTCTCCACCTTGCGGATAAACTGCTTGACCTTGATGACGAGCAACTGCTTGTTGATCATATTGAGCTTGACCATAACCTTGTTGTTGAGAACTCACTCCACCTTGTTGATAAACTTCATGATGTTGATGCTCTTCATCGTCTGAATCCGAACTTATCGTGCCTTCAGTAACATCAGACTCTGATTCCGAGTCATCTATTTGAACTAGTGGGGGGTAAAGTTGTCGTATGTTCTGAGACTGCTCAAATTGATGTTGTTGGTTATTTTGAGCTGAATATTCTTGTCGATATTGACCTTCTTGGCCATGTTGATGCTGATATTGACCCTGTTGTCCTTCAATCGTTTGTGGATAGTTATTAGCATTTTGCGGTGGATAACCTTGTTGTGGATGCCCGCCTGCTTCTTGGTAACCTCCTAGAGCTCCTTGATACCCTTGCTGACCATCATGATAACCCCGTTGTCCATCACAATAACCATGAGCTTCTCCTTGCTCTGCTTGAACAATTCCTTTCAATTCGGCTTCCTTTACCGCTGTTTCCAACGCTTTCTCCAGCTTGTCTGGCGATGGAAGATGTAATGCAATATCTTTGTGGTCTACCATCGTTGAGGCGTCATTTTTGGGCGTGGGTGGGGGTGGTACTGATCCATTTTGTTGAGGACTAGCCAAATGACTTGAGTTTATTTCGGGTAGTTCTGGTACTTGATCTCTTTCTTCATGGTGGTGTTTTAGCTAAAATAGGTAACAAGTTATTGCAAAAAGACATTGTAAACCTTACTTGTCGTTACAAAAGAAACTCAAAATCGTAAAAATTTGAAAATCATGTTCAAAAAGTAAATAGAAAAAGCAAAACAAGTCCAGACATGGTCTTCAAAATTAGTTTTTGATTCAAAACGGTCCTAAAAATCAACAAAAATTACCATTTTCCGTAAAATTGTATGAATATCGTGTAGTTTTAGAAGCTGTTTTTCTTTCTCCTGGTCTGGCAAGGTCTTCACATCATTAATGTATTTGTTTAGAGCTTCCACGGTAATCACATTATTATTTTCTTTAATTTCATTTCCATCTGCTTCTGGCGTCGGCGTTCGTGAATCCTACAAAAAACAATGTCATACTATAAAGCTAACAGCACTTTAATCAAAATTGTAGTATTGTTTTAATCAAACTTCAGAACTCTAACTCAATACTCCATGTTAACGTAAAATCATCCTTTATTTAAAAAAAACCATAGTAATCCCCAAAAACCTACCATTTCCTCCAGCTTTTTGCTCAGATTCCTAACCGTAGCCAGCGCTCGTTGTTTCTCATCCTCCTGTTCAGCACATCTGTTCGTAATCTCAACCAGTCGATCTTGTAGCTCACCCAGCTGATCCTTCAATTCTATATTCTGTGCTACAGCCCTAGATACGGTAGCTCTTTCATTTTGAAGTTGTTCAGCTAGAGCCTTAAAGTCCGCATTCAACTTGTCATCTCTTTTTAGGTCCTCACTCAATCTTGATATTGTTCTTGACTTTTCCTCCAGACTAGTGTTGACCTCTTCCAACTTCTGATCCTTTAGTGCCAAAGCTTTATTCAGCTCGCTGATAAACGCCGCCTGATTGTTGAATTCTTGCTCCAATTTGTAGAAACTGTTCTTCAAGGCATCGTGGTCTTCTTTGGCAACTGTTTCTTTGCCATTTGTTTCTGTATTCACTAAGACAACTTCTGAATCTGCGTCTTTTTGAACGATAGATTGTTGGGTTTGTCTTCGGAACATTTCCAGCTCTTCTTGTAGGTAACATTTGGCAGTTTCCGCGTTTTGTAGACGTTGTTTTTGATCGCTGAGCTGAAAAATTATAACTTTTAACTAAAAACATGCGTTTTTTAACCATTTTTAAGTTGTTTTACAGCCAAAAATCGACCACTTTAAAAAGTTTCTTTAACTCAGAAATACTTTTCTATATTTAAAAAAAATTTCTGTCAAAAACCATTAGAAAATCAATTTGAACTTATAAAAACAGCAACATCTTCTACCCGTAATTTTAAAAACAATATTTATCCACCCCAACAAAAACCATCCCAAAGTCCTACCTCCTCCTCCAAAACCTTTATCCTTTGCCGATTTTGCTCCAAACAATCGTTGTAGTACTGTTTAGCACCATTACTTTCTTCCGTCAGCTTCTGAATCGTTATATTATTGTTCGCAATCTGCGCTTCCAGATGTTTTTTCTCTTCCACAAATGTCTCAATCGTTTGATGAGCTGAATTGTCTGATAGGTTTTTGGACAACTGTCTAATGTAGATTTCTTTCATGCTCAATTCATGTTTTAGTTGACTTAGAGATTGTTGCAGAGTCTCTTTTTCTTGGTATACGTAACGGAGGCGGTTCTAAAAGATTGGATTTTAGTTTTTTTGATTGTTCACCTAAATATACATTAAAAAAGTAAAAATTACCTGAACATCGTTCTTGTCTTGGTTTAGAACAACAATTTTCGCTTCCAAATCGCTGTTTTCTCTCCTTTGTTCAGATAAGGCTTCAGCTTGTGCTGTTACTCGTTCTCCCAACTTTTTGTTCTCTTCTTGTAGGTTTAATAATTTAAAGTTGTCACTTGCATTACCTAAAATAACACTTGATACACTTCCGTAAAATTTATTTTTTGTTTTAAATTCTAAAGTTTAATTAGAACCAGAGCATAAGAATATATGCTTTCAAATGAAAAACAGTATTTTACAATCTTCGTACTTCATAAGAACACGCCTTATTTCAAAAAAAGTCATACCCGTAATTCCTCTCGTTCTAAACATATCCAACTCGGCCTCCACAGCTTTCGAATGTGCCTTAACGTTCCGACATTCCGTTTGCAAAGCCGTTTTCTCCTGCACAGCTACTGTTAAAGCTGTTTGTAACTGCACAATCTGCCTGTTTGTATCGTCACTTTTGTTGCTAGATTGAGAGTTTGGTTCCACCAACTTGTTATAGGCTTCATATATTTGAACGTAATGGTTGTGCTAAAAAGGTACATTACAACATACGTATCATTACTAGTGTAAAATTTTTAACCAAATAGCATGTTAAAGAAAAAAATATGACGAATATTCTTTAAAACTCTGTAATACGGTATAAAACATGATTATTCAAGAGTTTATCACGATATATGATTCTTCTAAAACCTTTTACTAAAGTTTATCAACCTTAAAAGCAAGTTATAAGTCTTTTCTTTAACATTGTAACAATTTGAAGCTAATAACTTACCAAAGAATTAAGCTTTGTCGTTGTTTCCGCTATATACTTGTCCTTTTCAGCTAACGACGACTTTAAATTCGCGATTTCGGCATTCTGAAACAATAAAGTAAAAACCACGAAAAAAGATGTAAAATTCTTTTCTATATCTTTAACAAGCATTTACAGCTCGTATAAACTATCAAAAACTTCATATATAACCAAATCTTCACCAAGGTCCATACCTAAATTCGAAAAACAACAAAAAGAAATAAACTTACCATATTACCCTCGGCCGATGAATGTTCAATATTTACAAACGACGAGCTCCTAGATGAATGTAGTGATCCGTTCAGCGAATTGACAAAGATCGCTGAACTCTGATTGGAATGTTGTGATACCTGTTGTTCTGGAGTGCAACTGTCAGTGGTACGAGTTGAACTCTCTTCCTTTTGTTCGTTTTGCCTGTTTTGGAATTTTGACAACTGAAAATGATAACATTAGATTTTAAAAGTGTCACTTGGGTTCAAAAAAGCAAAAATTTTGAAGACATAAAGAAACACTTTGAAATTGCCCAGTACAACATCAATATTTAAAATTTTTTACAATAAAAACAACATAAACTGCTTCCAAACCATATCTTTAACCCCAAAATTGATTATTCAAATAAAAACCTTTGTCAATCGATGAGCAAAGAATACTTACAAGCTTTTTGGCGTGCGCCAGTCGAGCTTCCGCTTCTTGATTTACAGCACTATCCATAGCATTAACAAAATACCAAAAAAAATTAACAAATTAGCATACTCTCGAAACACTTGAAACCGGACTTTATCAAGCTTTTGTTTTTCAATCCAAATTCCACGTCGAAATTCGCAAAACTCTCTTTATTTGTGGCGGAATGCCAAGAAAAATACGTGGATGCAAAAAGCGCGGAAGATTTGGAAAAGAGGAGGATTGGGGATTATACGATGAATATGTAGCTTGTTGAATATAACAAAGGAGGAAAATTAAGTATTTTTTGCAGTTTTTGTTATTTTTCAGTATTTTATTTAAATATTTTTTAAAAAAGCTTTGACTATGGTTTAAACTACAGGGTGTCCTAACTTTTCTGAAGGAAAGTAAAAGCTCCGTTCTCAAAAACTACTGGTCCGATCTAGACGATTTTTTTTGCACTAGACTAGAAATTGCTTGCGGATTTGGTATTGGTACATTGTTTTTGATTATTCGGCGGAGGCTCGGCGGAGGTCGGCGGAGACTGAATTTTTTATGTTTCGGCCAAAAAGTATGTAATTTTGTTTTCGCATGCTGCCCAAACATTTCTCAAAACATTTTCTTTCAATGAAGAACTTTTTTGCTATGTCGGCGGACGATTGGCGGAGAAATTCGGCGAAGGCCATAACTCGGCCAGTTCTTAAGATTTTTGAACCGGACAAAAACCAGTGGTGTTCTGCAGCTTTTTTCTATAAAATCGACCAAACTTTGTAAAAAAATGGTGATTTTAAAAAATTCGGCGGAGACACCTAATTTCGGCGGAGACCATAACCCGGCCAGTTCTTAAGATTTTTGAACCAGACAAAAGACAGTGGTGTTCATTGGCATTTTTCTCCAACATGTCACAATTTTATAAATTATCAACAATTTTTGACAAATCGGCAGAGACACCTAATCTCGGCGAAGACCATAACTCGGTCAGATCTTAATATTTTTGAAACGGACGAAAACTAGTGGTGTTCTGAAGCATTTTTCTAAGAAACCGACCATCTTTGTACAAAATTGGTAACTTTTAAAATGAGTTATGGTCTCCGCCGAAATCTGGTGTCTCCGCTGATTTGTTAAAAATTGTTGGTACTTTATTAAACTTTGACAGTTTAAAGAACAATGGCAATGAATACCATTGGTTCTTGTCCGGTTCAAAAATATTAAGAACTGGCTGAGTTATGGCCTTCGCCGAAATCTGGTGTCTCGGCCGATTTGTCAAACATTGTTGATAATTTATAAAATTGTGACATTTTGAAGAAAAATGACAATGAATACGATTGGTTTTTGTGCGGTTCGAAAATATTAAGAGCTGGCCGAGTTATGGTCTCCGCCGAAATTAGGTGTCTCCGCCGAATCTTTGAAAATTACCAATTTTTTATAAAGTATGGCAGGTTTTGTAGAAAAATGCTTTAGAACACAACTGGTTTTTGTCCGGTTCAAAAATATTAAGAACTGGCCGAGTTATGGCCTTCGCCGAATTTCTCCGCCGGTCGTCCGCCGACATAGCAAAAAAGTTTTTCATTGAAAGAAAATGTTTTTGAAAAATGTTTGGGCAGCATGCGAAAACAAAATTACATATTTTTTGGCCGAGACATAAAAAAATCAGTCTCCGCCGACCTCCGCCGAGTCTCCGCCGAATACTCAAAAACCATGTACCAATACCAAATCCGCAAGCATTTTCTAGTCTAGTGCAAAAAAAATCGTTCAAATCGGACCAGTACTTTTCGAGAACGAAGCTTTTACTTTCCTTCAGAAAAGTTAGGACACCCTGTATAGCAAACATAACTTAAATGATTAAATAAGGTAACTTACAGTAATCCAGTGAAAAAACGTAGTATTACCAAAATGTTAGGCATAGTCACAAGTATGTTGACACTAATCTTCAAACACCAATAACTGTTCGTTTTTGCAAACGACGGCTTCCTTTCTACTGCTTACCAAAAATAATCCCACAATGTCATACTATTCTTTAGATTTTATTCCTTATTACTAAGTAAAATTAAAAAGTTGATAAAAATTTTATTTAAACGTATGTATAGTACCGCGTTTCTCGTATTTAATTCGTTTTCTTCTTCTTGTCCACCTTGGGCTTCTTGTTGAAAGCCAAACGCCACAAAGTGACCAATCCCCATACGATGGCTTTGACCAACAATCGTATCGTATGATGAATGATATATACAATAATAAAGACTGAAGATAACAAAAATGCAATTACGTCAACAAGGAAGTACTGGAGAATGTTCAAGTCATCGGCTCCTGATCTGGCGTGAGGGATTTCTTGATGGCGAATGATGAACTCGACCCAGAAAGCGGCGTGAGTTAGCTCTGTGTATGGTACATCGGTTACCATGTCCTAGAATATACTTTTTGTTACCTCAGTTGTATTGTAAATTGATTATTAGTCTTTTAGCTACAATATACCCAAAATTTAAGATTTTCTGTGTTATACTTTAAAAGTTATGACATCTCAAAATGAGCCTACCTGGAAAATCAATGCCTCATCCTTGAAGCTCTGAACATAAATCCTGTTCAAAGCCGACACTATTTGCTTTTCAGCAGGCCTCTTCGTACTCAACATGAGCCCAGCATGTCGTGCTGTCACTCTCAACAAGTTATCCTTGTTGTTTACGTTCAACGGCCATCCAATCACCGGTACTCCATGCCAAACACTCTCCATGATACTATTCAGACCTCCATGAGAAATGTGAGCTTTGCAAAGTTTGTGGCCAAGTAAATCTTGTAATGGCAGCCATTTTGATGTGATTAGATTCTTTGGAGCATTCTTGAGGGTGCCATCGTATTGGAAGATGAACTTGATGTTAGGTTTGGATTTGATGGCAGCAAGAAGGTTGTCCACGACATCTTGTGGGGCATGTTTCCATTGGGATGAGTGACCGGAACTGATGACTATGAATCCGTTTTCTTCGTTTGCTGTAGAGATAAAGTCAGAGTACTTCTAAAATAATAGTTTTGTAATTCTAGTGTCATCAATAGGTTTGAAAGCCTAAAAAAACAAAATATTAACTTTTTTTAAACAAAATAGTGCTCGATTACAACAAAAATGACCATAAAACGCTCCAAACTTACCTTTTCTAACCCCTGAGCCTTCCTGCAATGAGTGCATCCGACAAAGTTCACCCTAGGCATATACGGTCTGGCAAAGTCGAAGATAGGGAAATGGTTGACAAAGTTCAAACTGGCATTTCTCTCCATGTAAAAGGCTTCGTGAAGTTTGTGGCTTCCAAAATGCTTCTTAGTCAAACCATCAATTAGTGGTAGAACAACACGATGATGAGTGTACAGGTTCTGCGAATATTGTAGTAGGTTTCGACTTCTTTCGAAGAAATCCATCTCTTCTGTTAAGCCGGATCCTGGAGCTGGGATGTAACTTGGTGGACTGGGAGAGTGATGAGACCAAGCGGATTCTGTACGCAGGCCAGTGATGCTGTAGTAGACGAATACTGATTTTTGAAGGGCTAAAACATTAAAGTTGTTACCTAATTTTATCAAAAAAAAGCAAAAAAATTTAAATTTGATAAAAAACTTGATTATTTTGAGATAGATCGTCCAAGACAAATAAAAATTCATTTAGTCTTGATTATAAAAAACTTTCTATTACCTATTCACTTCATCTTTCATCAAAAGTTCCTTCTAAAACATCAAAAGCCAAAGAAAACCTTACCAGTATGAATAAGTCCACAAGGATTGTAAAGATCATCAATAACAACAGCGTCAAACTTCGTATCGACCAGTTGATCAAACACAGCACGATCCTTCTTACTGCTCAATAACGTATCACACAGTTTTACAGAGTGAATCCAATGATCACGTCTCTCGTTGTCGTTCCAGTATTCAGAATCCCATTGTCGCTTCAAATCGGAATGATTCTGTCGTACGTAGAGATCATAGAGCGACTGGTCGACTAATGGCACTTGAACGTATATTTGCTTTACTTTTGAGGGTAATTGGTCGGTTGGCTGTAAGTTTAGGTAATAAGAAACATGCAAACTTAACTTTACAAGCGTTGTAGTTAAAGAATGGTTAATTTAAGTATTTTACTAAGAAAAAAATGTCGATTTAGGTATACTAGCAAAAAAACCTTTTATTTATCAATAAACTAATACCTTAAAAAATTTTAAATTAGTTTCATCATCAAAAAAAGTGATCCGGTATTTTACCCTACCTTTTTGAGACCATACTCAAACCAGGTGACTTGATGTCCTCTTTTGATCAACTCTTCAGCCAATGGCTTCATCGTCTGTCGATGAACTGGCTCCAACGAGCTGGGACTAATAAAGACATGACCAGCTTCACTTGATATCGTTATTGCCAACAGAATTATCAACCCAGTCGGCTTCATTTTGCTAAAACATGTAAATTAGATTAAAACGAACGTATTTTACCAAATTCGCACGTATTTTACAACAAGTACATAACATTATAATTAACACTTTTTAAAATTTAAAAGTCGCAAAAGTCTTGTCATCAGTTTATACGGTTTTGCACGTAAAAAAGCGACAAAACTTTTGTATAATATCAATTATTGTCATCATAACATAAGAAACCAAAGAAAGGTGCAATGTATAGATAACACGAACCTGTGTAAAATAAATCTAACACCTCAATACTATACATAAAGTGGCCCCCTGTATAAGGAACTCCTGTATAACAAAACCCCTGCATAACCAACTACTTTCGAATCCTCGGCTAACACTGCACAGTGCATTTAAAACGTCTGTATAACATTTCACTGTATCTAAATTAAGCCTAAAGCCCCTCCTTACCCCCATTTTTGAGAGTTCAACAAAAAAAAAACAAAAAAGAAGGTATTGAACAAAAATCGTCAAGATCGTAAACCGCGCTCGTCTACTTACAGAGGTCTTCTTCTCTATTACAATAGAGAAAGGGCATCCGAAAAGTCTGCCGAACTTTTGAAAACCAAAAGTCTGCAAAATTTTGCAATATTGAAAGAAGGTCAGTGTAATACGAGAAAAATAAAAAAGAATAATAGTAGTTTCATCAATGGTTTATGGTTTCATTATTTATAATACCCTTCCCAGCCTAACCTACCCTACCGTTCTATACCCTAGCCTACTCTTCTCTACCCTACCCTACCCTAACCAACTTGACCCCACCCTACCTTACCCTACTCTACCACACCATGTTCTGCCTTATCCAGCCCTACTCAACGCAACCAAACCCTACCTTGCCTTACCTACGTTCCTTGACTTGCCCTGTCTTGTCAGGCCTTGGCTCCTACACTACCCTATTCTGAATTTTCATACCTTACCTTTTCCAACATTTTCTCTCTAAACTACTCAAGATAAACCTTAATTTCTACCACAAAGACTCTATTTTTATAAAATATTACCTAATATTTACAAACTCAGAGTTTTTTTTATTATTCTACCAAAACAATTGACATTCAATGAAGAAAGCAAAAACGTACTTCTAACGTATTTTTAGTTCCTTGAACCACAAGATAATTTCGAATTTTCCGTCATAACATTCACGTTCTCTCATCAAACCGCAAAAGACAACGAACTTTTAGTAATTTGATCTGTTAGGCTTAACATTTAACACTGAAACTTTAAAACAACAATAAAACGAGTTCGCACTAGCTTTAGAGGCAAAATATAGTCTTATGATTTAAAAATTTTGAAGGCTAGAGCAAAAATAACGATGGGAAATTTAAAAAAAATTAACCTTGAAGACCTAAAGCAACCAGATCATTATAAAATTAAAAAGCAAAGCAATTTCTATATTACCAAAAAGTTAGCCAAAGAGATACGCTATCACATCATGAAAGGTTATTACACCACCACCAAGATAACCACAGTTTACACTGTCCTTACCACAGAATGGTTGATTTATGTAAGTTGAAAACGCAAAATTTACGAGTAAAGAGCTGTAATTATTTAGCGCTTTTCTCGACACAAACTAGATGAAGATCAAACCAAAATAGAGAAGAAGGAGTTTGATTAGATCAAAATGGTCGCATCTGAAAGTAGCGACACACAAATTACGCAAAAAAGTTAGAAGTTTGATGTTAACGTACTTTTAACTTTGAAATCATTGTAAAAATTGCGTCTAAGTGCGTGAAAAACATAAAAATATCTTTCGGGAGTATAATTAGACCAATGAAACGTTAATTTGTACTTAAACTGAAGAGAGAAAACATTCTGTTTGCTATAGGACCTATGTTAACATACAATTAAATCATTTTTGAATAAAAAATAAAGAAAAAAATTATTACAGTTCAGAACCCTTTCAAAACATCCCCTTGCTAAAAAGTTCAATATTGTAATTTACAATTTGTAACAAAGAAATATTTCTATTTAAATATGTACAATAAATTGTCTTGCGAATAACTTCCCGCCGCAGTCTGCAACTTCCACCGAACCCTTCGGGTGCACTTATCCGAATGTAAGTTGTTTTCTCGCGAACGTAAACAAATTTTTGTTTGTAACTCGGCAAAAAGAGAACGTTGGGAACGTGAGAGAGTGTTTAGTGGGCACATCAAGGTCAACGTTCCGTTTTTCTGCACTGTTTCACTTGTTTCTCTTCTATCTTTTGGAAAATGGACGTTTTTAACTCGATTCTGGGCTATTTCAAGGTATGCACTGGTTTTTTCATGTTCATTTTGTTGTTTGATTGGATTTAGATTGCTTTTGTGGTTTTGGAAGTTTGTTACGAGTTATAACAGGAGTTTATTGGCAACAATTTCGTTTTGTTTTGAGAGGTATTTGCAAGTGTTACGATTGATGGCTGGTTTAGGTTGTTTATTTGATTGTTCTTGCTGTTTTGTGGAGGTGGAAATGTAAAATAAGGGTTCAGAAACCTTCCAGAGTGTCTTCAGCTACTGTTTCATAAATTCTTTGCTAAATTGGAGCGTTCTTTCAAAAGGACTGTTGTTTCATAGATAATATCACTATAATCTTTGAAAATCGGTATTTCTATTACAAAATCACTTGTTTTTCTGTGAATTTCAAATACGTATCTACTCTAAAATTATGAAAGTTGTTTTACACACTACATTAAAGCCTGCAGAAGCTTGAAAACTATTTTTGGTTGTTTAAGGGCAGCTTTATCAACATTTTTGTTTATCGTTCCTTTTGGAGAATAATAAAAAGAAAACAGAAATGTGTGTGGTTTTGTTTAGGTTGAGAGATGTTTGCAATGGGTTTTTGTTTTCATTCTTTGGTAAAATCGTTAATGTTTTATAGGTAGTAAATTATAAGATTTTTGGAGTTGATGTCGTAGTATATTAGGTTTAAGCGATTTTTTGTCTGTTATGTGACAATGAGAGGTTGGCTTTGGGGTTTTCACGGTTTTTAAGCTTGGCTATGATCTATTAGTACGTGTTATGTTCAGATATACTGTGCCACAGGGTCGGACTGATTTTTAGTCTAGGCTAGAAAGCTTGGTCTGTTCAGACTTTACTGAAGAGCTAAGAGAGTTCAGAAGATCAAAAAATACTGTTCTATTATTATCTGCTTGTTATGCTTTATGAATGCAATTCTGTTTATATCGACCTTTTTTTGATAGGTCGCTCTGTTAATACGCTATAGATTAAATCAACATAGAGAAAGAAATATACATTGATGGAGAGGTAGTGTGTAGCAGAGATAGTGCGCTTTTTTTGTTTACAACAAAACTTTTACTGCCCCAATCTGTGTAGTTTGTTTCAAAAGGAGGGGGAAAGATGATTATAAATGTGGAAAAGTGTTCGTTGATTGTTTAATTCAATGTGCGTTCTTGATTTTTCTAAAATGTACGTGACTTTGTACAAGTTTTTTAGTTTAAATTAACTTTAACAGCATTTTCATAAAACTAATTTTATGCTTTTACTGTTTGAAAGCGTTTGACCTTATCATTCTGAAATAATTTTAAAATCCGGAGGGCAAAAGTTTAATTTTGACGTTTGAAATGTTTTTTTATAACGAAACTAACCAACTCTTTGTTATATGTTATAATACGATCGTTTTTATTAAAATGTTTACTAAATCAAGGTTTTATCTTAATGTTAATTTATCTTGTTATAGGTGAGTGCAGCAACTATGTCAAACAGAGCCGTAGCCATCCTTCAAGGCGATCAAGGAGTCACTGGGACCGTCTGGTTTACTCAGGTATGGCATATTAATAGGTTGTTCAAATAAATATGTGCCGTGCCTTAAAAATGAAAATTTGCTTTGGGCGGTACAGAAGTATTTTAACAAGACTAATCTGGTCTAATACTTTGATACTGATATGCATCTTTCAGCAAGATGGTGGAGTTTTGGTCAACGGAGAGATCAAGGGCCTCTCGGAAGGACAACATGGTTTCCACGTCCATCAATGGGGAGATCGTACTAATGGATGTGTCAGCGCCGGACCGCACTTCAATCCTTACAAAAAGACGCACGGTGGACCAGAAGTAAATTTTTTGTCTTGTTATTGTGTTTTTGGTTTAGATAACATAGTCCAAGTTTTAAAAAAACAGAAATTTACAAAAAATTTGCTATACTTCACATTTGTTACCTAAATTTGTACTTGATTCCTAAAGTTACCGTTGATCTTTTTTTCAAGAGTAACATATACCTTTCAGGACTCGGAACGTCACGTTGGAGATCTGGGCAACGTGAAGGCCGATTCCAGCGGAGTCGCCAAGTTCTCCTTCGTCGACAAATTCATCTCGTTGAGCGGCGAAACCAACGTCGTCGGCCGTTCCCTCGTCGTCCACGCTGGTCAAGATGATCTCGGAAAGGGCGAAGGCGACAAGAAGGAGGAATCGCTCAAGACCGGTAACGCTGGAGCCCGTGCCGCCTGTGGCGTCATCGGATTGGCCGAACCACAATGACTCAAGGCATCCTTGTGAATCTAAAGTATACCAAATTCTAAGAATTATTCAGAAATGTATCTTGTTTTTTTATTATAATAGTAAAAGGTTTGTAAAATACGATTATGAACATTATAAATAAAGTTTTGTAAACTTGATTTACGTATGAATTCAAATCTGGTAAACAGTGCATCTCACAATCAGGTAGAATTTTATTCTAAAAAAGCGAAAGAACCCAATTTTGGAGACAAGGCTAAAATTACGGTACCTTAAAGTTGTACAGAAAGTATGCTCAATTTCGGAAATTTTCTTTTGGTTATTTTGTACCTGCAGTGAGCGCAGTTTTCTTACGTATAAAATCGTTAGCGCGTTTTGCGGATTGGTCGGACGCAGCCTTCACGGCTAAAATAATTTTCTTTTCTTATTTTCTTGATCTGATGGATAAAACAATATTTATCACGGGTGTTTTTCCATTATCGTTAGACTTTTTTTCGCGGCGGGCCGCTGTGTCCCGCGAGTGACAAGTTATACGAAGAAACGTTTGCTCTATTATTCACATGCAGCTTATGAACTTTTTATAATAAAAAAAATAATAAAAAAGACGTAAAATGAAAATATTATAGGTTTGTTTACAAACAATTTGTTGCTGATGGCAACTTTTTAAAACTTAACGAACTGCAATTTGCAATGGGATTAAAGAACTGTTAGCTGTAGGGAATTTCATTATATCCGGATTTTTTAGTCAAGAATTAATGAAACATTTTTTCTTGGGATTTAAAAAATTTCGCTATATCGGGGGTTTTTAAGCGGAATCCTATTAGCGAATTTTGCTGTATTTTTTTAAACTGGCATTTGTATTTAAGGATTTTTAATAAGAGAAGGAACAAAACGTAGATATAGGTCTGCTTTACACGGCTTTAGACAATATTAATTTTTGCAAAATAGCTAAAAATGCCAATTTTCTATCGATTAGGCTGGAAATGGATAGCAGGTTAGCTTCAAACGCAGTTATTAATTAATTGAAACATTATATTTGCATCGCGCTAAGCATTATCTGAACAAACATAAAATTTAGTTTTTGAATACAGTATTACTTTCTTTAATGCCATGTTAACTCCTTCACAATCTTTAAAAGGTTTGGGTCACTTTCCGGAATAGTGACACCTCCGGAACAAACCCTAACATACTATACCCTATGCTACCTACTATATCGTACTCATCCTACTTGGCATACCATACTCTATCCTAATTACTATGCTATACTATACCATTATATCGTATGTTATCTATTCTCTACCTTGCCTACCTACTATACCATATCATACTTTATTCTACCTAACATATCATACCCTACCGTATACTGTACTACCATACTCTATACTAACTAACATTCCATACCCTACCATACTTTATACTACTATATTGTACCATATCACACCCTATACTACCTATCCTACCCTACTCTACCATACTAAACCAAAAAATACTATATCATATTATACTCTAACATACCCTACACTACCTACAGTACCATATCTACCATACCATACCATGACATATTTGTCTATACTAAACCACTTATCTTGCTTTACATACCTGCACTGAAATCTTACCAATGGGTAAATATTATAGTATACGGTACTGTCGTAAATATAAGATTAGACAAGGTAAGATATGATATTGTTTGGCAGATACAATGAGGTAGGTATGGTATGTGATACTATGGTATAGTAGGTAGTAAAGGGTTTGGTATGGTTTGATTTAGTATAGTATGGTATATAAGATAGTGTAGGGTATGTAAATATAAGGTATGGTAGTACAGGATACGGTAGAGTATTGTACGGTAGGTAGTATAGAATATGGTATGGTAGGTAAGGTAGAGAATAGTAGACAACATACAATTTAATATGATATGGTATAATACGATATGGCAAAGCATAGTAGGTAGGGTAGGGTATGGTATGTCAGGTAAGGTAAAAATGCACTTTTCACTATATTTTTCCTCAATGGGTGTACTTTGAATGCCAATTGTGAGAAAATAAAACATTATTTTGACATAGAGCTAAACAGTATCTAAAACAGCATAAAAAGTAGTACTGAAATAAGGTTTTAATTCGTTTTTAGCGGTGTTAACTTTTTCACTATACTCTAAAATGTCAGTTTTCACTGTGTTTTTACCCCATGTGCAGTCTTTGAATGCAAATTGTAGGAAAACGAAACATTATCTTAACATAGAGCTAAATAGTATCTGAAAGAGCATAAACTCTAGTTTTTGAATACTTTATTACTTTGTTTTTTGCGGTGTTAACTTTGTCAGTATATTCGAAAATGTCATTTCCCCTTATAATTTTTCCGACTTGCGCCCTGGCCCGAAAAAATGAATTTCTTAGCGATAATCGTTCTTTTGCGTCAAAACACCCGTGTTATTGAAGATTCTTAGTCGTTTTACTATCTTTTTACGTGTATTTAACATTCATAATATTTTTAATGTTTTATTGTTGTTATGTTTTTAATTTTTCAGATGTCAGGCATCAGGCTGGCCGGAACAGCTCTTCGTGAGCTTCGGATTCATCTCTGCCAAAAATCTGAGGCCAGCAAAGGTGTACGCGACTTCCTGAACAAGGAATATGTTCCATTGAAGAAGAGCAACACTGATTTTCCTATTTTAGTCAGGGAATGCTCTGGAATTTTGCCAAAAGTGTGGGCGAGGTAAGGTTTTCTTTATTTTCTTGTATTTAGGTAATACCAGCAGTTTCGTAAGACAATCTTCCCGTTATAATGAAGTTTTAGTAGCTTTTGACTCTTACTATCGATAATAAAGGCATACGTTGTTTTTTCTATTGAAATAATTGTATTTTAAACTTATCAACGTTTTGTTCAGTATTTTTGAAGTTCATAACGTTTTCAATCAAAAGACATGTAACCTTTTGACCCAGAGCTTCGACAGTTAATTTTTAAGGTATTTTTGACTAATTTTACGTATTTTCAGGTACGAATTTGGAGTTGAACGAGTTGTAGAACTGGAGAACCAGTCGGCCGACCAGGTCAAGAGTGTCATCAGTGAGTTGGCCGCTACTCGATGAGTTTTTAGATATTCTGTAGAAATATTAACTGAAAAATAAAGTTTATATAGGATAATTTGATTAATATTATTTTATTTTGTCCTTTGAAGTAAGGGAGTGGTATAACTCGTACTTTTAGAAGTTTAACTTTAGAAAGCTGGGATTATTGGAATTGAAGAATCGAAATTATTTTTGAAGCGCTGGTTTAAAACACTGAGACAATTTTTGGCCATTTTTTAGTAATAGAGTAAAATTCGGCTAGATTTTTAGTTTATTGTAGTAAAAACCATCATTCACATTCAATTCCTCATCCGAAAACTACTAGAACGTCAATATCCTCGTTTGTTTACAAAACCGACTGTTACTCAATCACTACGACAATAATGCGTTACTTCATCTTTTGTAATAAGTAACCAGTTTTTTGTAATCAATTAACTATCAAATCCTTTTTAACACTTTACGCCCGACTTTTTGCGAATTCGTCGCCGGATCAATTTTTTGATTTGCCAAAAAGTCAACAGGATATTGGTTGACATCTTCCCCTTCTTTTAACATAAACTAAAAAACGTTTAATGTTGAATTAGAGTCAACGTCAAGATGATACTGGAAGCTCTGGAAGAGGCGTTATCACTTGATTCGGTCGATTTCTTTCGTTATACCTCTTGGTGTCGCTTTCTATATCTCTTGCTGTTTTCAGCGTTTTACCGTATCTTCTTTTACTACACTTCTTGGTATGTTTTCCTCTATATCTCTACGTCTCTACTTTATATCCTAACATCTTTTGCGAAACAACCGTATCTTCCCTTTACTCAGTAATTCCATCTGCCTAAACAACGTTGATCTCTTCGCTATCACTGATAACGCAACGTCTTTATCCGTGAATTGTTCGCTCGGACTAGTTCGCAAGCTTTCGTTGATGAGTTCATCGACGAAACCCCCACTCTCCGCCGACGCAACGATGTCTGCGTTCTGGCTAAAGGCGGTTTGCAAAAAACGGCTGAAACGGGATTTGGATGCGTGTTAGAAAAAAGAAACTAAACTCCTCAACACCCGCCTTGGGCGGGGTATAAAAGCGGAGGGTCGGAAGTGGTAAGGGCATCAGCTAGCTTGTGTAATCACCGCTTTAAATCCATTTTGGGTATAAAGTGGTTTGGATGTACTTTTTGGGATCAAAAGTAGTTTGTTTTTGGTTATAAGATGGTTTTGATTGATTTAGGTATAAGACGGTTTTGGTTTAGGCTTAATTTTTTATGTGTGAATGGGTTACGGTTAATCTTTTATATTTTTAAGTCTAGAAAGTTGGGGTAAGTAAGCTGGTTTAAACATCTTTTTTATACAGTAGCTTTTTAATTGTAGGCCTTATGACGGGTTAACTTTTTCAATTTTTTTATCACTTCATAACGTTATTTTGTCAAAAAAGTTAAAATAACCCTAAGGCTGAACTTTAAAATTCAAAAAATCATTAAAATCTAGCGTTTTTCTTATATTTTGCTCTATAACAACAACACTTTACAAGCCAATTTTCCTTCTAAAGTTTCGATTTATTCCGCGGCCAATAAACCCTCCGTATACTGTAACATTTTCACAATCCAGCGCACTTTTAGCCGTTCGCACACAGGCGCACCGGACTCAGAATGGAGTATAAACAGCCGATCGTGGCTGCCGAATACGGCAGCGGAGAAACCGAAGAGCACCGTCAATTGAGACGCGTCGCCTTCTTCGCCATCGTCGTCTCCACCGCCGCTGTGATCGCTTCGATCGTCACGCTCCCACTCCTGTACAGCTATGTGGCAAACTTCCAGAGCCACCTGATCATCGAAACCGACTTCTGCAAGGGTCGCGCCCGTGACATGTGGACCGAAATGTCCATCCTCCACAAGCAAGGCCTCGGCTCCGTCCGTGCCAAGCGTCAGTACAGCGGTGCCGGCGGCCCAAGCGGCGGACCAAGCGGCGGATCCTCGCCAAACAACGGCTACGGACCAGTCATTGCTGCTGAAGCCCCACCAGCTTGCTGTCCATGCCAACAAGGCCCACCTGGACCACCAGGCCCACCTGGAGATGCCGGAGACGCCGGACAAGATGGACGTGACGGTCAAGACGGTTTGGAGGGACGCGATGGTCAAATCCTCAAGAGCGCCATCCCACAAGAGCCATGCATCATCTGCCCACCTGGCCCACCAGGAAGCCAAGGATCCCCAGGACAAAAGGGACCACGCGGACCAAAGGGAGCTCCAGGAGACAATGGAAAGGACGGCAACAAGGGTGAAGCCGGTCTTCAAGGCCCACTTGGTCTCCAAGGCCCAGTCGGACCACCAGGTCCAGCCGGACCAGTCGGTGCTCCAGGTCGCCTCGTCCAGGTCAACGGCCCAGCCGGACCGCAAGGAGAACAAGGACCACCAGGTCAACCCGGTCCAAAGGGTATCCCAGGCCAAGACGGTACCAACTCCGTTGGACCAAGCGGTGCTCCAGGAGCTCCAGGAAACGCCGGACCACAAGGAAACCCAGGCCCAGCTGGACCACCCGGATCATCCGGCGAATCTGGAGAACAAGGCAGCTGTACCCACTGTCCTCCACCACGTACCCCACCAGGCTACTAAACAGTACCATCAACGGGTGTCCGTTCGGCTTCAGAATTCGTTTTCTGAAGCTTCTACCATGGTTGCTACTGTATTTTCTACTCTGGAGGCTATGGTATCTTACACTATGGACTCTATTGTATCTAATATTACGGCTTTCATGGCCCACAAACTCGGTTATTACTACTCTAACACTCTTCTCCTCCTCCTGTTCATACGACCCCTGCCGACTGAAACGTTTACGCCACACCCAATGGTCCACTTTAATTGTTTGTAAATAATGTTAATTCCGCGGGATTCAGAAGCAGCACAAAACACGAAACCACAACGACGGGAAACGCAGCGGTGGTTCAACAACAATTTCGACGGATAAATACATTGACTCTCATTATTAATTAGTTCTCAAACTTGCGGGTGAAAATAAACGGCTTGGAAGGTGTGTAAATGTGTTGGCATTGATCTGGGTGGACAATATGACTGTTTTTAATCTAAACATTTTTAAAAGAAAATTCGCTTTTATTGGCATGAAAATCAATTTTTCAAACAAAAAATGGCCAGAAAATTTGGTAATAAGACTGTAATTTAGAATTTTTGTTGGAATTATTGGAAAATTGGAAAAAAGTGATTATAATGCTTGATAAGTTAGAACTCTCCTAAGAACATTTGATATTAAAAATTTAAAAAGAAGGTCCCAAAGGGCATTTCTCACCAAAACTCTAAATTTTTAAGTACAAACTGCACTAAACAGTGGATTTTAAAGTGTTTGGGATAAACAGTCTTTTCTAATTTTGAAAATCAGTACATCATGCCATTTTTTATCATAAAATTTCCATATAATGAATTTTATAATAGCCAGAAGGCATTCACACTGTATTGTACTTTGTGTCTCGTACTAGGCATTATTTCTCGTACCATTCAGTCTTTCCTGGTACCAAGCAGTATTTTTGGCAGAAGGCTGTATTTCTTGTACTAGGCAGTTTTTTGTCGTACTAGGCAGTCTTTTCATGTACTAGGCAATATTTCTCGTACTAGGCAGAATTTTTTTGTACTAAGCAGTATTGACTTTGCTAAATATTTTTTATATCAAAATTTTATAAATGCCAAGCCAAACTTCAAAAAAGTTTCAAAAATCCACCCTTGCCAATATTTTTCAACCTTTTTCTTAACCTTAGCAACCCCTTCCTGACCTTGTTAACGAACCGTTCAGGATGTATCATTCTCGGTTTATTAATCAACCCGTTTCGTAAGACGGATTTGAAACAAGAACCCATCGCTGGAAAAAAGAAACGTTATCTCGCCCGCCAATCTCTTGTCGCAAGTTTCACTTATCCCCCGCCGAACCGGTTTGTGATAAGCGCTATGATTAGCTGTAACGAACAATACATAACGATTCGCGGAGGTGATTTGATTAAAGGAAGAAACGTTACATACACATAGATTTGGACGGGGTTGTTTTGGTGTGGTCAACGTCATCAAAAATAGAAAAAAGGTGTTGAAAGACGTTGTAAAAGCCATGCTATTTTAAATCAATATGATCTTATTAATTAATACTGAATTCAAAATTAATATCAATAAGTCTACAGAAGCAATAAAGCTAAAAATTCAAAAATATTTGGTTGTTCAAAAAATATGTGCCCCTAACCCCGAAAAATTGTTTTAAGCGGGGCACAGAATTAGTTGAACAACCTAATAAATACCCAATCCACACATACAGTTAGAAAATGCAAATACTAAACTTTCGAAAAAGTTTCAGCATAAAAATTTATGTACTTTGACGACAAGTTTCCAGTCACCAAAGCTCTGATAGTCCGAGTAAATCCAGAAAATAAAAAGAAATTCAAGTATTATATTTTCAATAATTTATCTTTACAATATATTAGGTTTTGCAAATAATTACGTGCCCCCTAACGAGGAAAATTAAGTTAAATTATGTTCAAATAATGACGTGCCCCCTAACCCCAAAAATTTTCTTTAATAGAGGGCGCAGAATTATTTGAAGAGTCTAATATCTTCATTACAGTTCTTGTAATGCCACAACAATTTCAGAAAATGAAGGTCGTTTTAGTCGATCTTCCACAGAAGCTTGAGATCCTAGATGTAGAAGCTTTTTGAAAATTGCAGCTTCTGGAACTGAAATAAGTAAATGAAGGTAAAACACGGAGTCGTAACTTTCTAGCTTTAAATTTTTGAAAAAAAGTCCACATTGAATGCCCACTGACAAAAAATTTTGTCCTTTATCTCCTATACGCCAAAATTGCCTGTTTGGCACTGATGCCACGTTCAAATTTAAGGAACATTAAAAAGTAGCCTTACCATCTTTAGTAATCGGCACCCTTTTGTCAGACAACTCCTTGAATAGCTCCTCTTCAAAATTCGACCGTCTTCTGAGTTCATTGTATCGTTTGGCTACAAAATTGACTAATCCATGAGGTTCTCTGTTGTCCGAGTAGGCTCTTTGACCTGAAATATAAAGTTTTAAAAGCAGAACAATGTTTATTTACAACAACATGACAATATTTATGTAAAAGCAAAGAAAATACCATATCATCACACATTTAGAGACAAATGACAAGTTTTTTTCAAGTTTTTGGGTGAAAACCTGTCTAAAATCATAATTTTCAAATAAAAATTTAAAAAAGTAAACGAACCTGTAGCGACTTCCAACAAAACAACTCCAAAGCTATAGACATCAAGTTTAGTGGTCAATATTTTACTAAAAATCATTTAATGAATTAACAGGTTGTTCAAGTAATTATGTGCTCCCTCTCAAAGCAAATTGTCGGAGTTTAAAGGCACAGAATTATTTGAGCAACCTAATATCAGCTAAACTAAAAAAGACCCCCAAAACCACTATTCAATCCCTAAAAACCCTTACTATAATATTAGGTTGAAACAAAAGTAGCGGGACACTTTTAAGTTGAAAAATAAATGAAGTGTCCCGCTACTTTTGGTTCAACCTGATATAACACACTCACCTCCTAGTAAACTCCGGTGGCAGATAAGCCAACGTTCCTTTGATGTGCGACGCTATCATAGGTGATTTGTCGCTAGCATCTAACTCAACTTGACCATCTCTGCTCAATCCAAAATCTCCCAACTTTGGCTCCAAATGTTTGTCCAACAAGATATTGGCACATTTCACGTCACCGTGAATTATTGGGGCTGTTCCTATTGTATGTAAGAAGTGAAGGCCTAAGGCAGATCCTAAGCAAATCGACTTTTTCGTGTCCCAGGATAAGGGAGAAGTGTTATTCTGAAAATATTAGGTTGTCCGGAAAGTTCTGCAATATTTATTCACTTTTGAACTAACAATAATAACAATATAATTAACAACTACAATCAATCAAAGTAATTACCGTCTGAATCAATACAGTCTTGCCGACGATTTACAAGCTTTTTTATTCCACGATTGTAGAATTCCGGGTTTCTGGAGTTGATGAATTTCTTGAAGGCAGTCTTGGCATCGTCTGGAGTTTTGAAGATTCTTCCATTAAGAAACGAAGACAAGTGTTTAAAAAGGTGAAAGTCCGTTGGAACCAAGTCTGGAGAATAAGGAGGGTGCTCCAAGACTTCGTATCCCAGTTCCCTGAATTTTGCCACGGTCTTCTTTGCAGCATGGGGCCGTGCGTTATCCTGCAGAATGATCGGACCCCTTCTTCTGACCATTGTTGGAAGATTGTGTCGCAGTTTGTCAATCTGGGCACAGTAGGTGTCGGCCGTAATACTTTGGCCAGGTTTCATGAAATCGTACTGGATCACTCCAGAGCTACACCACCAGACAGTCACCATAAGCTTCGTTTAGTGCAATTCTGGCTTCGGAACGTGCTTAGGAGCTTCTCCACGCTTACACCAACTTGTAGATCTTCTAGTATTGTTAAACGAGATCCACTTCTCGTCAATAGTTACAATTCGATCCAAGAATTCTTCGTTTTTGCAGCGTTGCAGAAGCTTTTCGGAAGCACATCGTCTCTTGGCTTTTTGCAGATCAGTCAAATTGTGAGGCACCCATTTGTCCAACTTTTTGACCATACCCATTGCCTTCAAATGATCACCAATGGTACTTTTTCCACAGTTTAGTAACTCTTCTAACTCCCGGATTGTAATATGTGGGTCATCTTCAATCTTGCGCCTCAGGGCATCTTTGTCAAGTTTGCTGGGTCTTCCTGCACGTGGTTTGTCTTCAAGCTTCTCATCGTCCACACGAAACTTTGCGAACCATCTGGTCACCGTAGAATAACTCACAACATTCTTACCCTCATTTTCGTTTATGATTCTGAAGGTTTCTGCCGCAGTATTTCCGCGTTTGAATTCATTCCATATAATCACGCGCAGGCGAGATTTCTCCATTTTTTTCTAATACCTAAAACAATACAAAAAAATGAAATTAAGTTATGTAACTTACCTTTTTGAATAATTTAGGTAACAAACAAACAAACAAAAAAGAATTTTTTCTTTCCGTCAATAAATAAATTTTTCCTGATTTTTCAAAGTTTACCTACTCAAATATTGCAGAACTTTCCGGACAACCTAATATAATACTTTATATATAATTTCTTGGTATTACAGAAAGATATGTATGTCATTGTAAGTAAAAATAAGGTTATGTAGAAGAGCTACGTCCATCGGAATGAAAGGAACGATTCCGCAGCTTTCCAGCATTTTTTAAACCTTTTCAACTGATACCCAACTTTTAAAACATACCCTACAGAGTAACCTATCTTCTAACGAGCCACTAGGCATAAACTGATACAATAAGCAAGGTTCTGGCCCGTCCATTGAATAGCCATATAAAGAAAGTATGTTATCATGCCTGAGCTTTGACAGATGCCGTAGTTCTTGTAAACTTTGTCTGATACGCTCTTTTTGATGCTAAAACAATTTATTTAAATGAAGTTCGATATAAAAAGCCCTATATAGAGTTTACAGCATTAAATGTAAGAAAATACCAAAATACTGCTTTTTCAAGAATTATTCTTCGTATTTTAAAAACTTCACAATTAACGTACTGTTAAGATCAATCTTACTGATAACACAATAAAGTTATAGCTATATAAGTTTAGTATATCGAGTAAAACAAAAGCCTACAACAACTTACCTCTAGCTGTCCACCTTTTCTAGCCTGAATCCGTTTCACAGCCACAGGCATATGTTTCCACATACCACGGTAAACAACACCGTACCCTCCTTTACCACAAACATTCTCCACTGCAAAGTTATTGGTCATGTCTTGGATATCCTCGTATTTTATAGCTGGAATTGTGTGTAGTCCACTAAAGATCTCGTTTGAACTTTGAACGGAGTCCCTGAAGTGATATTTTTTAATGTTACTTTCAAAAATTAATAAAATCATGTTTGATCACTGAATAAAGATCAATATGAATCTTGTACCATAAATCAGCAGTTAAAAATCCTGTTACTTTCCCCTAAAAAAACAATATAAAACAAATAATTAACTGACCCTTCACTTAACAGCAATGGTTCTATTTGGCTTTGAGCTCGTTTCGAATACACAGTTGAAGGTTGAGTATTGTCACCTTTATTGACAGATTCATTTGGAAATGTCGATCGTGGTGATAAAATACTCTTTTCTGTAGACATTGTGATGTTATGAAACTTTGGATCAACTAAAAAAATTTTTTTAAAGATTGAGTAAAGAAAATTGACGTTCTTCTGATAGCTGAAACAACATTAAACGAAATTAGACTAGCTCAATTATATAATTTAACTTTTTAAACTCCAACAGAATGTAAATAAAGACAGAAAAAAGACAAAAAGAACAGTTACCATAAGGTTTAAGAAGATCAACACATCTGACGAACTGGCAACGTCCAAATACTTTGAACAAGTCCAGTACTTTATACCCTTTACTACCCCACACTCGTAATAAACTCTCAGTAGGTTTCTCTGTTCTTCTACAACCTTCAATGTCAATCGTCTTTATGTCCGGCATCAATTGAGCTAAAATTTACATTATACTTTAAAACCTCGACATTGCCCTTGGCTTCTTTATGTTATTGCTTAATTTTTAGAAATATGTGCTGGTAACCGTATGAAAAACAAGTGAAACGTGTTTGTCTAACTAGTATCTAAAAGCAAAACACAAGAGAAACAACGTACCAATCTCTTCCCACAAATTTCCGCCATCTAACACATCTCCCAACTCGTAGACAACTTTTGGTGGTAATTCAAACACATACATTGACATATTTAGTTTTTCTATAGTAAAATATAAAAAATAATTTCAAAAATGCTATTTATACTTATTTACAGGACTAGATAACTATATAAATCTTTTATTTTAGAAGAATAATTTGGGCGCAGCTCCAAATGTTATACGAAGGAACATGCCCGAAGAATCTTGTCGGATTTTCGCAAAATGTAATAAAACTGATTTTTTAAGTATAATTTTTTATTATTTTTTTTAAAAAAAAGAAATTAAATGATAACTAACAATAAGTAATTAAAAAGTTTATACTAACGGGGCTTAATCCTTTAATTCCTTGCGACAAATCAAGTCATTGAATGGCCTTTAGCACAGTCATACTGAATTTGTTAAGATCAAGTATAAGACTAACTATCACTGTTAAAACTATTCTCAAATGGCTTGTAACTGTTTATTATATTAAGACCGTGGCAATATATCATTGTTTTCAGTTGACACACTGAAAAATCTATTGAAATCAGTTCCTGAAATAGGCTGGAATTTTTCCTTTTGCATCATGAAGCCGTGTGCCAAGTAAACCTGATAAGCTGAGAGACATTCCTTGTCTTCTGACATTTTTTCATTCAAGATGTAGTTTAAAGTGTTGACTCTTTGCTTGAAGTTTGGGTCTTTCTGATCCTGGATCCTTTTTTTTACTTGCATACAAACTGCTTTGTATTCCAGTTGAAATTTTTTTGACGTACTTGGGCATCTTTTCTTGGACAGTATTGGTGTAGGTCTTAATTCGATGTTATGTTCCTTTAGTTTGTCCAATAGCTGCTTAGAAAACGGTTGGTTGGGGTCGTTGTGAAAATCGTTGTTTTCCCTCGCATGGCAATATTTCAATATCAGGTCACTAATCTGCAAGAAAAAGTTTATCTTTTTGATTTTTTTTTCTGTTGGCATGAAAACGTAGTCCAGTAATTTGGGAGAGGTCTAGCCTTTGTCAACAAAAATATGGGTTTTTAATCTAAGTAAATAATCAGTATCATAACACAAAAATGTAACTATAATATTAGGTGTCGACATAAAGAAACCGCCATACTTTTCTTGTAATTTTCTGTAAAAAATGGCGGGTTGTTTATGTCATCGCTTAATGTTATTTTCAATTTAACAACAAAACTTTGTAAGTGATGCTCTTCATTAGCGATAGTTGGTATATTATAAAGTTAAGGTTACAAAAATTATACAAATACTCACCAATTCATTTGAGAGGGTTACTGAGGCTTTTAATAGTGCTGTTTTTACCCTTGCAGGCATACTGAACGTATAGGTAGTGCTACATTCATTAAGGTGATCATAGTGTAGTGTCTCGTATTTATGACAGTATATCGTGGTATTGTACGATGCGAACTGAAAGTGAGTGTGATGTACTTAAAGTTGATGTTAGTATAAAAAAATAAAGTTAATTTCCGAATTTAGATTTATTGAAACTAATGATATTAGGGGTTTTGGCTGTGATGGTAGTTGAACTGAAAAAGGTCAATTTGTTAATACAATAGAGATTTTTTACTATATGTTGTTTTTTATTTAGTAAAAAGTAAAATTATGTTGTTTTGAATAAGAAACTTACTGCATTATTACAGACGGTTTGGTCGGATTTTCCCATATCTAAAATTTTGAACTATTAATTTAAGAAGCGAATTTGGCGCTCATGCAAAATCATTCCCCCAAAACCAAAGAATCGTTCTCTACTCGTAAAGGCATAATCATTCCCCCATGTGAAAGTTATGCAAATTTTTATTTCACAGGTTTTTTTCAGTTTTGTCACGGCTTTTTATTCTTTTTTTTTCGGTGTTAAAATGTAAAAATGAATAAAAATTTGGGTACTGATTATGCACTGTTGGGAACGATAATGCACTGGGTAACAATTCTTCATTAGCCCCACGAACAGTGTTTTGCCCGGACCGGTCCGGAGCGTTTTTCACCGGTCCGGTGATTTTCGGGTCCGGTCCGCAAAAAAATTTTTTTTATTTTTAAAAAAAGCAAGGAGCGCTAAAACTGCTTTCTTTTTGCTTAAAAACTCATAAAAATACATTGTAATTGCAATTTTTAAATCAAATTCTAATTAAAATTTAAAAAAAATTTTCTTCCGGACCGGTCCGGAGCTTTTTCTTCGGTCCGGGTCCGCAGGTTTTTGGGTCCGGTCCGGTCCGGCAAAACACTGCCCACGAATTTTATAAAATCAAGTTTAAAATCTAAACCTCTGTCAAAATGCGTTCATGTTAAAAAATGAAAATTGCAAGTAGATATAAATATTATGTAAATCTTACTTTGGACGTTGCCAAAGACAAAGCCGTCGTTTTTGACCATGTTTGGCTTTACTTCGGGTTTCTCTTCTGGTTCATCCTCGACTACATCCGACAACAAAATTTTTTCTAAAATTTTTTCGTTCAATTTGGTTATATTTGTTTTATAACTAATGTTTGAAGTTATATGGTCTTAACAGACGCTTACGGAGACTGTGAAGCATCCTGAAACGGCCTTGTGCCCTAGAAATTTACCTCCGTTTTTATTTGATAAATCGATGACAAGGACTGTTCATTGGTAAAGCGTTTTCGGCTAAAATGCCGTTTTGGCACTTTTATGCTATTTTTGACATAAAACAGTTTAAATTTTGTAAAAATCCAATAATGCTCCAAAAGCTTTGAAAATGTGCATGCATACGTTTTCGACCATGCTGGACAAAATTGTAATTTAAAATTTTTTTCTGTTTACCGTAAACTACCGTAATCCAACTGATCGGTTATAAAAGTGCAAATATCTAAAAATTTAGCACGGATCTTCATTGGTAATTTTTACATATTCTACATGAAGCGTTATTAATAGACTATACGTTCACTTTTAGGGCCGCGTATTTTGGGGAGCTTTGGCCGTTTAAAAAATTACCTTACGGTCAAAATATTAAAAATTAATAACGATTTCACAAAACGCTAAATTTTAAAAAAACTTGTATATGTATGTTTTAAACTGTGCTAAACCGTAATAAAAATAAAAGTTTTTCATCATTACCATAACCTACCGTAATCCCTACAATAGTTTTTTTTGATAGCATTATTGAATTTTTACAAAATTTAAACTGTTTTATGTCAAAAAATGGCATAAAAATGCCAAAACGCCATTTTAGCCGAAAAGGCTTTACCATGCGTCTTAAAACAGTCCTTGTCATCGATTTATCAAATAAAAACAGGGGGTAAATTTCTAGGGCACACCGCGCTTCACGGTGTCAAACAGCGTCTTTCAAGATTAAAACAGGGTCAAAAAATGCTTCAGAACACGACTGCTTTTTGTCCGACTCAAAAATATTAAGAACGGGCCGTGTTATGGTCTCCGCCGACTTGTCAAAAATTGTTGATAATTTATTAAATTGTAACATTTTGCAGAAAAATGCCAATGAATACCATTGGTTTTTGTCCGGTTGGGCGGTTCAGAAATATTAAGAACTGGCCGAGTTATGGTCTCCGCCGAAATTTTTCAAAATTACCATTTTTTAACAAAGTATGGTCGATTTTATAGAAAAATGCTTCAAAACACCACTGCTTTTTGTCCGGTTAAAAAATCTTAAGAACTGGCCGAGTGGGGGAACCCACAGAAAAAAATTTTTGAACAAAGTTGGATGACTAACAGAAAATAAAAAAAAATTAAAGTTACCGTCTGAATCCGATTCGTTCTCTAACTTCGGCTCAACCGAAACCTCTTCGCTTAAGCTGGCGTTAGGAGTTGATATCGTCTGGAGTTCGTTCTTGAGTGCGGCCAAAGTTCCTTCTAATTGTGCGATCTTCTCTCTCGTCTCATTTACTCTGTCTTCCTAAATATTAACAGTATGACTATTTTGCAAAAAATGACTACATAAAGAATATTTTGAGAATAAATGTATATAAACATTAATTAAGTAATTAAAGGTACTTACAACGCCCATTTTTCTACGAAGAATATTTTTCAAACAGCAACCTCTTGCGGTATTTGAAACAACAGAAAATGAGTTCGAAAATTGGCCAATTTTGACTGAAATCAAATTTATGTAAATTCAAAGTAAAAATGGAAAATAAAACAGTTGCGTATGAGGATAGGGCATAAGCGCAATGTTAGCCTTGTCTTATCAGTTGTTTTACTGCTGTACTTAAGTCGTTTTACTATAATACTTACGCATTAATAAGAGCATTAAAGTGTAAAAAATTTTTGATGGCCGCTATAAAATTATCTTCACTTTGAATACAGGCTATTAGTAGTACTGAAATTTTTATTATGCAAAATATAATACAATTTGCTAAACTGTCCAATTCTTCGTCTTCTTTATATTGACGAATACATGTTTCTACTCGATTTATCAAATAAAAACGGAGGTAAATTTCTAGGACACAAGGCCGTTTCAGGATGCTTCACAGTCTCCGTAAGCGTCTGTTAAGACCATATAACTTCAAACATTAGTTATAAAACAAATATAACCAAATTGAACGAAAAAATTTTAGAAAAAATTTTGTTGTCGGATGTAGTCGAGGATGAACCAGAAGAGAAACCCGAAGTAAAGCCAAACATGGTCAAAAACGACGGCTTTGTCTTTGGCAACGTCCAAAGTAAGATTTACATAATATTTATATCTACTTGCAATTTTCATTTTTTAACATGAACGCATTTTGACAGAGGTTTAGATTTTAAACTTGATTTTATAAAATTCGTGGGCAGTGTTTTGCCGGACCGGACCGGACCCAAAAACCTGCGGACCCGGACCGAAGAAAAAGCTCCGGACCGGTCCGGAAGAAAAATTTTTTTTAAATTTTAATTAGAATTTGATTTAAAAATTGCAATTACAATGTATTTTTATGAGTTTTTAAGCAAAAAGAAAGCAGTTTTAGCGCTCCTTGCTTTTTTTAAAAATAAAAAAAATTTTTTTGCGGACCGGACCCGAAAATCGCCGGACCGGACCGGTGAAAAACGCTCCGGACCGGTCCGGGCAAAACACTGTTCGTGGGGCTAATGAAGAATTGTTACCCAGTGCATTATCGTTCCCAACAGTGCATAATCAGTACCCAAATTTTTATTCATTTTTACATTTTAACACCGAAAAAAAAAGAATAAAAAGCCGTGACAAAACTGAAAAAAACCTGTGAAATAAAAATTTGCATAACTTTCACATGGGGGAATGATTATGCCTTTACGAGTGGAGAACGATTCTTTGGTTTTGGGGGAATGATTTTGCATGAGCGCCAAATTCGCTTCTTAAATTAATAGTTCAAAATTTTAGATATGGGAAAATCCGACCAAACCGTCTGTAATAATGCAGTAAGTTTCTTATTCAAAACAACATAATTTTACTTTTTACTAAATAAAAAACAACATATAGTAAAAAATCTCTATTGTATTAACAAATTGACCTTTTTCAGTTCAACTACCATCACAGCCAAAACCCCTAATATCATTAGTTTCAATAAATCTAAATTCGGAAATTAACTTTATTTTTTTATACTAACATCAACTTTAAGTACATCACACTCACTTTCAGTTCGCATCGTACAATACCACGATATACTGTCATAAATACGAGACACTACACTATGATCACCTTAATGAATGTAGCACTACCTATACGTTCAGTATGCCTGCAAGGGTAAAAACAGCACTATTAAAAGCCTCAGTAACCCTCTCAAATGAATTGGTGAGTATTTGTATAATTTTTGTAACCTTAACTTTATAATATACCAACTATCGCTAATGAAGAGCATCACTTACAAAGTTTTGTTGTTAAATTGAAAATAACATTAAGTGATGACATAAACAACCCGCCATTTTTTACAGAAAATTACAAGAAATTTGTTCTCCTTTTGTTGTTTAAACTGAAAAATAATTAAATATATAACTAAAATCCAGTTTTTTAAGGTATATGTTTCACGTACTGTAACTAGCTAGCCAAGGCCATTTAATTATTTTAAAAAACGGGGATTCCGCTAACTTTTTATGCCTTTTTATTATATATCAGTCTCATTCTAAAAGCCGATGGATATATTTAGTGCAATTTGCTACTTAAACTAAAAGTTTATATGAATACATTAACTTACGAAACTTTCCTTTAGATTGGTTGTTTGTCCGTCACCTGAAATCGCAGTTTCTTTATATTAAAAGAAAGTAAAAATCAAAACAAAATTAAAAATTTTAAACACTATGCCAATTTGGCGGGAAATTTAAAACTCGATCTTTTGATCTTTTTCTCTTAAATCTGGACGCAAACCGCAACTTAGAATTTGGCATAAAAAATTACGTTTACATGGTCTTCCAATAAAAATGAACGAACTCTGAGCGTTGCCTGCCGGTTACCTTTTTTGTAAATTTTCTTAAAAATGTTAAAACTATGACTTACATAGTCCCAGGTGATTCCAGAAGTGTTGCTGGTTTTGGGAGCATTGTTGGTCACTGTAACGCTAACATTGGTATCATCTCTTTTTGAGCCTTCATCATCATCCGTATCTTCATTCTCACCATTATCATCACAGCTATCCTGATGTCATCTTCATTGTCGTTCAGTACCGGTTTTTCATTTGTATCTTTATGAGTACCGTCACTTGGTTCGACACTAGTTTCTTCACTAATGCAGTTGTATTGGTCTAGCTTCGTTGTTGTTCCTCGATAAGTTTTGTCATCTCCAAAATCTTTTCTCTCAATTTTTGCTTGTCCAAGATCTGTAAAGATAAAAAAGTAAAAGGTGATTTTAATTGCAATTTTACGTGCAATCTGGGTTTGTCTTACCGTAATAATAACGGGACAGCGCACATAAAAAAAGTTAAAAACTACAAATGCTTACCAGATCGTCGTCCATTTTATAACCAAAAATCAACCGTTTTATATTCCATGATAATGAATGCGGAAAGCGTGGCTGTCTGTAAAAAATAAAGTTGAATTGCGAGGAATATGCAAATTTAAGTTTTCAAAAATTTTTTCAATTGATAAACAACTTTTGAGATGTACCGTGCAGAGTAACCTATCTTCTAACGATCCACTAAGCATAATCTGGTACAATAAGCAAACGCTGGTTCATCCATTGAGTAACAATATAAATAAGGTATAGTATCATGCCGTATTTCTTGTAACCTTTGTTTGATACGCTTTTTTTATTAATTTTTTTTAAATGTAAATTAAGTCATATTTAATAAAAATTAGTTCATTAAAACGGAATATTTACATTACTGTAACTCGACAAATAATACGGTTACAAGAGCAAACAATACAGATTTTGAAAGCCCATGAAAAATGACATCTTATGTTGGTTTTGCCACAATAACTTTTAAAGAGTTTTTTTGTGGTACTCGATCGTATATTCATCATGTATAATATAGCATGGAAATATTTACATTACTGTAACTCGACGAGTAATGTAGCTACAATAGCATTCGATACAGATTCTGAAAGCCCACAAAAAAAGGCATCTTATGTTTGTTTTGCTACAATAACTTAAAAAGAGTTTTTTTGCGGTACTCGATCGTATATTCATCATGTATAATATAGCATGGAAATATTTACATTACTGTAACTCGACGAGTAATGGAGCTAGAACAGCAGTCGATACAGATTCTTAAAGCCCATCACAAATGACATTTTATGTTGGTTTTACCACAATAACTTATAAAGAGTCTTTTTGTGGTTCTCGATCGTATATTCATCATGTATAATATAGCAAGGAAATATTTACATTACTGGTCATAGTCAAACTTTTAAAGAATTTTTTTCAAAATTTATTAATAAACTGTATATTTCCATACGTTTTAGTTAAAGTACAACTATAAAAAATTTACACAAAGATCATAAATACGATGTACGGAATTATTTGAGAAAAAAAAACAAGTAATAACATACACAGACAGGCTTTTTAGCACCTGCTGGTTCTCCAAATTTGCTAGCTTGTTAGGCCTCACACTTTAAACGGTTGGTTTTGCCGTAATAACTTTTGTGGTACTCGAGCAAAGACATATGTACATTACTGTAACTCGACGAGTAATGGAGCTAAAATAGCATTCGATACAGATTCTGAAAGCCCATCACAAATGACATCTTAAGTTAGTTTTGCCACAATAACTTATAAAGAGTTTTTTTGCGGTACTCGATCGTATATTCATCATGTATAATATAGCATGGAAACATTTACATTACTGTAACTCGACGAATAATGGAGCTACAACAGCAGTCGATACAGATTCTTAAAGCCCACAAAAAATGACATCTTATGTTGGTTTTGCCACAATAACTTATAAAGAGTTTTTGAGTGATGTACACTTCGCGGGTGGACACTTCGCGGGGGCACCCGCGAGTTGGGATGTTCCACTTCGCGGGAACCAACGAAGTGTCCATAAAGTATGGACACTTCGCTTCAATATTACTAGGGTCTATTTAAGCCTAAACTAACATCAAAGTAATAGAAAAAAATTTTTTTTGTTAAATTTGGTTTTTTTTAACTTTTACATTTTTATGGTTAAAAAAGAGTGTATTTTTCGAAAACCGTGTCAACTACTATAGGAAACTGACGTGGACTTATAAAAATTATAATTTTGACAAAAATTAACTAAGTTTAAAATTTTAAAATGATTTTATATGCATTTCAACCTGAAAACTCCAAATCTGAAAACCGTTTTGTTTTATCATCACCTTAAATGGTAGAAAAACGCAATGCCAAGATTCGCCAATTTGGCGGGAATTTAAATTTTTGACAAAATTTTGTTTAAATGTTAATTGTGTTGGTTTTTGTATCGTATAAGTACCTCAACTACAAATTGTAGTAAAATTTTACCAACCGATAACAAAGTTACTGCATCTCAAGTCAAAAGATACCACAGTAACCCAGTAAATACACACGATAAAAAAAAGTTAAAATCAGAAATACGATTTTTGTTAGTGTTTATTTGTTAAGTTTTGCAATACTGCAAAGTTTGAAGTAATTTGGATAAGTCGTTTTAAAGTTACAAGTTTTAGGTTCAAAAAATGAGGTAAAATTCTATAGGAAAGTGATTTGGGCTTGTAAAAAATAGTAATTTTGGTAAAAGTTGACCAATTTAAAAATTTTAAAATGCTATAATATGCAGTTTGATCTGAAAAAGCTAAATTTAAAACAAATTATGTTTTATCTTTACTGTAAAAGCCCGAAAAACACAATGCCAAAATTTGCCAATTTGGTGGGAATTCAAATTTTTGTTAAAGTTTAATCAAAATATTGTCATTACTGTTTTTTACAGTGTATCAGTAGTATACATACAAAGTTTGGTGAATCTTTATCACCTGAAAACAAAGTTACTGTATGTAAAGTCAAAAGATACCACAGTAACTGAGTATATACGGATGATAACTAAAGTAAAAATTAAAAAATTGTGTTTATCTGTGTTTATGTGTCACGTTTTACAATTCTGCAAAGTTCGAAGTAATTTGGATAAGTAGTTTAAAAGTTACAAGTTTTAAGTTCAAAAAATTACTACAATAACTTTTAAAGAGTTTTTTTTGTGGTACTCGATCGTATATTCATCATGTATAATATAGCATGGAAATATTTACATTACTGCAACTCGACGAATAATAGAGCTACAATAGCATTTGATACAGATTCTGAAAGCCCACAAAAAATGACATCTTATGTTGGTTTTGCTACAATAACTTATAAAGAGTTTTTTGTGGTACTTGATCGTATATTCATCATGCATAATATAGCAAGGAAATATTTACATTACTGTAACTCGACGAATAAAATAGCTACAATAGCAGTCGATACAGATTCTGAAAGCCCACAAAAAATGACATTTTATGTTGGTTTTACCACAATAACTTATAAAGAGTCTTTTTGTGGTTCTCGATCGTATATTCATCATGTATAATATAGCAAGGAAATATTTACATTACTGTAACTCAACGAATAATGGAGCTACAATAGCAGTCGATACAGATTCTGAAAGCCCACAAAAAATGACATCTTATGTTGGAAATTTTCGGACCGGCCCGGCAAAACACTGCCTGTAGTCATCCGATTAGGATATGATTGCTATTAATTAAGCCTAAGGTAAATAGAATAATATTAATTTTGATATTTGGATTTTTTATTGTTCTGGACGTTTATATCAGCTTTAAAATACCTAAGCTGTTTATTCTTGGACTTTTATAAACGTGTGTGTTAAAACTATTCTCAAATGGCTTGTCAATGTTTATGATGTTAAGACCGTGGCAATATATCATTGTTATTCAGTTGACACACTGAAAAGTCTATTGAAATCAATTGCTGAAAAAGGCTGGAATTTTTCCTTTTGCATCATAAAGCCGTGTGCCAAGTAAACCTGATAAGCTGAGAGGCATTCCTTGTCTTCTGTCATTTTGCCATTCAAGATGTAATTTAAAGTGCTGACTCTTTGCTTGAAGTTTGGGTCTTTCTGATCCTGGATCCTTTTTTTTACTTGCATACAAATTACTTTATATTCCAGTTTAAATTTTACTGACAAACTTGTGCATCTTTTCTTGGATAGTATTGGTGTAGGTCTTAATTAGATGTTATGTTGCTTTAGTTTGTCCAGTAGCTGCTTAGAAAACGATTGACCAGGTTCGTTGGGCAAATTGTTATATTCTTTTCCATTACAATATTCCATGATCAGGTTGTTAATCTGCAAGACAACATATGATTTCGTTTTTACGCGTTTTTCTTTTATATTATATAATAAAAAAGTAAGTGCGTAAGTGCAAATTGTCGCTCTTTATTAGAGCTAGCCAGCTTTTATTTTATAAAATTGTTATAGAAGTCGTACAATTACTCACCAGATCATTAGTCAAATAAATTTTAGCTTTTTTAATTCATCCTTTACGCTAGTAGAAAGTTCGAACGAACAGATAGTGCTACTTTTGTCAGTCTTTGTGCCAAAAGATATGTTTCCGTAGTTGTATATGGCGCTAATGTACGTGGAGAACTGAAATTGAGTATGATTTTTATTTGCTCATACGTATTATTTTGGTAATCTTTTAATTCCTAACGATTTCATACACAATATGAGGTTATCTGGAAGTTAATATAAAAGTGAGGGCCCGGTTTTCACTATTTGATAAGAATAGACATGGGGAACCAAAAAAAATTTTATCTTAGAATTCGTAAACAGTTTTTGGGTTTTATGGGTTCTATAGCTAATAAATGATTTTACAGAGAAAGTAACCTACCTGTCCCACCCAGAATCAGCTCAAAATTTTTATATGAATCCCTTGTACTACCGATAGTATCTATCAAAAATTTTAGTTCGCATTTTTGAGTTTTAAAGTTGAATTATTTTGGTTTTCCGCTAATTTGACATTGTGTTTCAAGCACTTTTTTTACTTTTCAGACAAGCTATGCTTAAATTCAAAAATGTAGGTTCATCTAAATGTATTCTATTAGTATAACAAAAAAAATCCTTAAAGGTCGAAAATGACAAATTTATAAGCTTGAAACACAATGTCGACTTGGCTGGAAGAGTTGGACCTAGCACGAGCACACCCTTTGGGTCCCGCAACGACAACGAACAGCACTTGGCATTCCGCACCGCGTACGATCGCCAGCACGATAAAAGGAGAGGACGATCAAGCAACGGGACAGTTGGAGTGGAGTATTGGAGTCAGTAGTCGGTCAGGAGGCACGAGACAGTTGGGACGTCCGAAGGACGTCACACTATATATCTGGGATCTTATAGTTATCGGTTTATATTATATTGTTGAATGTTTAGGAAGGTAAATCATATAACCTTATCTTGTGGGCTTGTATTCTAGCTTATACCTGTAGGACCTCCCCACATTGAGATCCGAATGAAGGTAACTTTTTGATCTCGATTTTCGAGAGATTTCTTAGAGTCTCCCTCCCTCCCTTCTCTCTCTATATATATAGTAAACCGCCTATAACAAATCAAAATTTTATTCAAAGGAAAATAATGAGTTATCTGATCCTAGGAGCTTGGGCTTGGTGGAATTACTTGGGCTGGTTGACCCGTAATAAGTTTGTATTATATGAGTTCTACTATTAATACTAAAAATAAAGTTTTATAAAGTGTATTCTATATCGGCTTTAATTTAAAGATAACTTACATTATTCTGCGTGAATGTTTGAGTTTTACTGTACTGGAAGCTAAAATATGTATTCATTAGTTAACAAGTTAATTGTATAAAAAATATATTAATCGTAAATTAATTTGAAAATTAACATTAGCATAGGGTATTTTAAGCTTACACTTTAGGCTACCAATGAAGAGTCCGGTGTTGTTAACCTCTTTTGTTTCGTTGGTTTTGGGTAGTGTGTCTTGATTTGAAATTTCCGAACCTTCACCATCTTCATCGTCTACTAACTCTGATAACGGCACATAATCTAAAATTTATTTAACGTTTAAATAGAATCATTTTTATGGCTAGTTACTTATTTTACGTTAAGTAACCTTAAAATTGGGTAAAACTTGGTCATGATAAAACTTAATAATGACTTACTATCAGCTTTGGCCACTTGACTTTTGGGAACTTCACCGTCGCCTGGTTCCACAGTGGTTTCTGTGCTTAGACTTCTGGATTCGAAATTGCTTTTAATTTTTGAAGCTCTGAATCCATCTGGTCAATTTGTTTTTTAGCTCCTCATCAGTCAATTTCTAAATATCATCGTTATAGTTTAATAAAAAAAGCATATCACTACAAAAACTTGAAATACATACGTGTAAATGAACATACCGACTTGTCGTCATTCTTACACTGCCTTATTTACTTCTTCCATTGATTCTTCCTTCTTTTCATCTTCGCTTCTTTTTCTTTCTTTCCTCTCTTACTCCCTCTCGACGCTTTCTTGCCCTTCTTCTTTTTACTCGCCTTTTCTCGGCTAGCACACATCTCTTTTTCTTTATGAATCTTTCTTCCTTTTCCTCCTTTCTCTCCACTCTTCTTCTTCTCCTTCTCCTCCTTCTTCTCCTTCTTCTCCTCCTTCTTCTCCTTCTTCTCCTTCTCCATTTGTTTCTCCTTCTCCTCTTTTTTCTCTGAGCTTTTTTTTGCTCTTGATTGAAGCGTTTCATCTGAAGTAGGTTTTAAAAATAGCAAAAACTTTCTTTACAAAAACCTAAATTATTTTTCATAACCAAATTTTATTTTATTGAAAATTAATGTGTTTTGTTGATTTTTCCTGTTTTAGGTGGTTTAATTATGAATACGCGGCGCCTTAAGTAAGATTTACTAGTAGTTTCAGTTACTTATAAAGGAAGTGTTTTGGTTTGACTTGCGCTATTTTCATGATGTGAGTTTTTTACATCTTGTGTTTTTCAAAATCAGAAGTTGCTAGAGAGTGGGCCAGAATTCTTTAAAACTTGTTCGGAAAAATTATTATAATAGCAAAAATTTTTTATCAAAACCATTTTGCATTTCTTTATTAATGTTTATTCATTAATAAAGAATACAATACAATCGCATTTTTAAGTTAAGAAAATATTTTAAAGACAAAAATGGCAACCACTTTAAAAAAAATATTCACTTACTTTTCGGCAGAAATGCCCCTCATCTATGTTTAAAACACAGTGGATACACGTGTATCCCGGGTATGCCTTGGCCTCAGGCAGTGACATTTCTAAACAAATAGGATAACAAAATAATTATTTTTTTTGCTTTTTTTCCTTTTTGATCATAGGTAATTATTTTTGTACTTGTGCGTTCATTTTAGTGCTTTTGGGCCACAAAACTGGCTTAGTTTTTTGCCGTTTTTGTAATTTTCAACGGTGTTACCACGGCCGGGCGGACTGGAGGGGGTGTCTCAGAATAAACAGTTGAACTTATCCCTTTCTATTGGTTTTTCAGTAAAAAAAATTTTTAAATTTATAGGCCCTACTTGTAGACGAAAATATATTATAAACCTTCTCTAAAACATCATTCAAAATAACATACAAAATTTCAATTACCCGACCGATCAAAAAAGCAAAAAAAAAATATTTGATAATTATTTTAATTTTTTAAATATTTTTAATGTTATGCAAATTAGAAGATTGTTTTTTGAAAGTTCCAATTAAAAGCGCTTTTTTAAAATTTTATTTTTATGCAAATTGAAAGTCATTTTTTCAAATTTAGCTAATATTTTTAATGTTTATTTCGCATATTTTTTTGACGTCTCACGCCAAGAAATTCTTTATCAAAAAATGGGCATGAGGTCGGGTCTCAACATTTGATTAACGAAGTGTCAAAATAATTATAAAAATTGCGAAAAATAATTCGCGATATTGTTTTAGATTGTGATTTTTGTGGTGTTTTCGGGGAAATTGCGCGAGTTTTTTGTTTAATTAGTTTAATTATTTTATGTTTTATTTTAGATATTTAAATGGGGAAAGAAGACGTTACAGAGGCCAAGTTTCCGGCCGGTCAAAAAGAAGAAGAAAAGTCGGAAAGAACAGGAAAGGTCGGACAAATGGTAAGGTATTTCTTATTTTTGGACTGTATTTAGGTAAAACATGTCATAGGTTGTATGGAGAATGAAGTTGCGCATCTTTTGCGTCCAAATTTGCAAAAATTTGTACAAGAAGGATTTTTTTTCTTACAAGCTTTATGATGTTATTTTAGGACTTTCGACTGAACAACCTTGCGAAGGCCAAGGAAGCCAAGAGAAAGCAGCGATTGAAGATGGAAAAGCTTTCTGACTGTAAAAGGAGGAGTTTGGTACAATCTAAAGCAGTAGCAGGATCAATTGAACATGAAGAGCAGCTGAATGTTGAGGATGATAGGTCAGTCGGAAAAATGGTAAGTTATTGCTTGTGTTTGGACTGTATTTAGGAAAATGGTTTTGGATTATATGGAGAATAGAATTGCGCATCTTTTAAGCACAAATTCATACTAGTTTGTTTTGAAACATTGTTTTTCAGTCGTTTAGTAAGATATTGTTCTAGGATAACCAGCTCGACGAACCCGTGGCTTCAACCTCGGCTCTCCCTCTAATCCCTCAGTCAATAAAGATGCCCTGTGACCTGCTGAAAGAGAAGGACATCACAATTCAAGAACTTCAAGCTGAAATCAAGAAGCTGAAGAAGAAGAATACAGAATTGACGAGGCTACTTGCTCTATGTTCTCCACAGAAACGCAAGTCAATAAATTATTGATCTCATACTATTTTTATATAATTTATAATGTTTTAATGTTCATTTAATCTTTTTGTCCATTATTAACAATATTTTTTACGCTTCGTATAACTTGGACTTTCCCTTGTTTTCGAAAAATTCAGTCCGAGTTGCGCCCGACCGCGAAAATCTCTATTTCCCTTTTTTTCTTGGCGTGCGTCTGTGGAATAAAGGATCGATTTCACAAGGAAAGTGTCAAAAGGTGTACCTAACGCCCAGACATGTGATATAGCTCAAAAAAATTCTGTGGTTTTCCTAATTAAGGATCTGTTTTCAAAAGTTGCTAAATTTTTGTCTATTTATAATTGAATGATCTTATTGGTATGACAAGAAGTATAATATATTCTACTCAAACGTAAAAGGCTGGAAACAACAGCAATGATTCTACAATACCCTTGTAACTGCCTTTTAAAGATTAAACATAATTTTAAAATTTAAACTACAAGTATTATATCAACAAGTTTTTTTGAAATTCAAATATTATTCAACCACTGATGCTTGATCAAACCAGACATTGTAAATATTATAATTTTTCAATAATTTTTCATAAAATTCACAAAATTTTCTTGGATTTTTAAGAGATATATTCAAATGAAACAGTTGCAAATTTAAATTTTTGTAGCTTCACCTGCCACAAAACATCTGACAAGGAAAGTGTCAAAAGGTGTACCTAACGCCCAGACATGTGATATAGCCCAAAAAAATTCTGTCATCGTCCTGATTAAGGATCTGTTTTCACAAGTTGCTAAATTTTTGTCTTGACCGAGTTATGGTCGTTTAAAGTTTGCACTGATTCCCTATTAAATTCCCGAAAAGGCCATGAAGAGAAACGAACGAAAAAGTGAGCGTGACCAAGTGGCCGAATGGATAAAGCGTTATCCTTCGGAAATGCCGCAGCAGGTTCGAATCTGGGTGCGTGCAAACGCTTTTGCAATTTTATTTTGCATTTGAAAACTGTACCAAGTGTACCATTAATAAAATAAAATTGTTATTTTTTAAATGAAGTTGTATTTTATTGAATGTTATGTTATAATATGGTTGATTAATTGTTTTTTAAAAAACTTGAAACCATTTACCAGCTCAGGGAAAGTTAGACAAAAAAGTTAACGGTAACATTATGACCAGAGTTCCCAAATTTAAAATTTCCAGCTCCAAAATCTCCGCCTTTTTTTAAATTTTAGCTCCGGCTCCAGGTCCTTAATATTAGCTTAATATTAACAACTTACTGTGGCAAAGTACACACGAAGGGTTTACTACCTTTGGAAAATATGCCTGGTGAGGTAGTCGAAGTACGACATATTGATTGCGTTTAATATTTTTGTAGCGTATAATAACATACTATTCAATAAAATACAATTTTACTTAAAAAAATAACAATTTTATTTTATTAATGGTACACTTGGTACAGTTTTCAAATGCAAAATAAAATTGCAAAAGCGTTTGCACGCACCCAGATTCGAACCTGCTGCGGCATTTCCGAAGGATAACGCTTTATCCATTCGGCCACTTGGTCACGCTCACTTTTTCGTTCGTTTCTCTTCATGGCCTTTTCGGGAATTTAATAGGGAATCAGTGCAAACTTTAAACGACCATAACTCGGTCAAGACAAAAATTTAGCAACTTGTGAAAACAGATCCTTAATCAGGACGATCACAGAATTTTTTTGGGCTATATCACATGTCTGGGCGTTAGGTACACCTTTTGACACTTTCCTTGTCAGATGTTTTGTGGCAGGTGAAGCTACAAAAATTTAAATTTGCAACTGTTTCATTTGAATATATCTCTTAAAATCCAAGAAAATTTTGTGAATTTTATGAAAAATTATTGAAAAATTATAATATTTACAATGTCTGGTTTGATCAAGCATCAGTGGTTGAATAATATTTGAATTTCAATAAAACTTGTTGATATAATACTTGTAGTTTAAATTTTAAAATTATGTTTAATCTTTAAAAGGCAGTTACAAGGGTATTGTAGAATCATTGCTGTTGTTTCCAGCCTTTTATGTTTGAGTAGAATATATTATACTTCTTGTCATACCAATAAGATCATTCAATTATACTTGAAATTCGAAAATTAATTTCAAGTTTAAAAAAGCAACAATCATAAAGCATGGAAGAACACATCAATGCTACCGGAAGATATATCATAGAACAACTCCTAACTGTAGTAAATTCAAAAGATAGACCGGCCATAGCTAAGCCAGCAGAAGTGACGGCAATATATTTACTGTATCCTAAAATACATTGATTATAAGATACATCTTTTTCGAGCAAATTTATCTTAATATTTACTTTTTTTAATTGATGTCATGTGAATAGTGTGCACATTACAAGTCTTGCATCTCCTTTACCATAAGCTAAAAAAATCCTACAGTACCTTCTTACCTTGATGCCACAGTACCAACATGCCACTTTCACCTTGAGATGGCTCATCATCAAAAAAGTCACCGTACCTTGACTCAATCGTCCAACACGGCTTTTTACAATTATAAAAACTGCTCTACAACTGTTTCGAATGCAATTTTCATTGATATTGCGCTACAATTCGGGTTTTCTTTATTCTGCAACTTAAACCGGCTTTGAACTACAATTTACAATTATAAACATACTTGTTGTAGTAGGCTGTTCAAAATGTCTGCCTTGCCAACAACTTTTGGCCAATCTTCGGTCATAGTCAAACTTTTAAAGAATTTTTTTCAAAATTTATTAATAAACTGTATATTTCCATACGTTTTAGTTAAAGTACAACTATAAAAAATTTACACAAAGATCATAAATACGATGTACGGAATTATTTGAGAAAAAAAAACAAGTAATAACATACACAGACAGGCTTTTTAGCACCTGCTGGTTCTCCAAATTTGCTAGCTTGTTAGGCCTCACACTTTAAACGGTTGGTTTTGCCGTAATAACTTTTGTGGTACTCGAGCAAAGACATATGTACATTACTGTAACTCGAGAGTCATGGAGCTACAATAGCAGTTGATACATATTCTGAAAGCCCATGAAAAATAACATCTTATGTTAATTTTGTTGCGATAACTTCAAACAAGTTTTTTTGTGGTACTCGATCGTATATTCAACATGTGATATATAGCAAGGACATATGTACATTACTGTAACTCGAGAGTCATGGAGCTACAATAGCAGTTGATACAGATTCTGAAAGCTCATAAAAAGTGACATCTTATGATGGTTTCGTTGCGATAACTTATAACAAGTTTTTTTGTGGTACTCGATCGTATATTCAACATGTGTAATATAGCACGGACATATTTACATTACTGTAACTCGACGAGTCATGGAGCTACAACAGCATTTGATACAGATTCTGAAAGCCCACAAAAAATGACATCTTATGTTGGTTTTGCTACAATAACTTATAAAGAGTTTTTTGTGGTACTTGATCGTATATTCATCATGCATAATATAGCAAGGAAATATTTACATTACTGGTCATAGTCAAACTTTTAAAGAATTTTTTTCAAAATTTATTAATAAACTGTATATTTCCATACGTTTTAGTTAAAGTACAACTATAAAAAATTTACACAAAGATCATAAATACGATGTACGGAATTATTTGAGAAAAAAAAACAAGTAATAACATACACAGACAGGCTTTTTAGCACCTGCTGGTTCTCCAAATTTGCTAGCTTGTTAGGCCTCACACTTTAAACGGTTGGTTTTGCCGTAATAACTTTTGTGGTACTCGAGCAAAGACATATGTACATTACTGTAACTCGAGAGTCATGGAGCTACAATAGCAGTTGATACATATTCTGAAAGCCCATGAAAAATAACATCTTATGTTAATTTTGTTGCGATAACTTCAAACAAGTTTTTTTGTGGTACTCGATCGTATATTCAACATGTGATATATAGCAAGGACATATGTACATTACTGTAACTCGAGAGTCATGGAGCTACAATAGCAGTTGATACAGATTCTGAAAGCTCATAAAAAGTGACATCTTATGATGGTTTCGTTGCGATAACTTATAACAAGTTTTTTTGTGGTACTCGATCGTATATTCAACATGTGTAATATAGCACGGACATATTTACATTACTGTAACTCGACGAGTCATGGAGCTACGATAGCAGTCGATACAGATTTTGAAAGATTCTGAAAAGTGGGGTGACCTATTCCTGTGGGTGACCTATTCCACCCGGGTGACCTATTCCCAGGCGACGCTTCTGCCATTTTTGAAATCAAAATGATTTCCCACCAAAATTTCTAAACTGCGTAATTTAAAAAGTTCAGGAATTTGAGGAAACGGCCGAAAAGCTTGTCATTCTCAATTTTGGTTATGATAAAAGCCGGCCGCTGCTATGGTGGATGCAACACAGTTCATTGGCTCCGTGGTGACAACGTTGTTGGCATGTACCTCGTTCAAGGGCATGTTTGATAACACCGAACAACTGCGGTTTGAGTTTGTGACATTTGTTTATGACCGCACAACTAATCAGGTATACGAACATGAGGTGTTTTATCCGAGCAAGAAAACTAGGTAAGTTGGTACGCATGGTACTTTTTTGCTTTAAAAGTATCAAGTTGGTACTGTTTTAGTCTTTAAAGTGATAAGTTGACACTTTTTGGGTTTTAGAGTACTTTTTTAAATTTTTTATTATTAATTTGGTACGAATGGTACGTATTCGCTTTTAAAATGATAAGCTGGTACTTTTGGGGCTTTTGAGTACTTTTTTTAAAGTCGCGGGTAATATCGGAAGATCTTTGTACTTTTGAAACATACGGTACTATTTTGTACACTTCGATCTTTTTGGTACTTTCTAGTACCTTTTTATGAAAAGTTTTAGCATTTTTAGGCAATATTGGTTTATATAAGTACTATTTTTGTTTTTGGTACTGTTTAGTTTATACATAGCCTTATAAGTACTTTTAATTTGTTTTTGGTACTATTAAGTACTTTTACATTACATGTTTCTTAATTTTAGCGTTGTTGAGTATATGAGATTCAAAAGTGACGTGGATTCTCTAGTCATTCTTCAGTCCCAAAACTTTCGTTACGTTGGTGGTTATGTTCGAAAGAAAAAAGAGCGGCAATGTTGTGTAAGTTAATATACCTAAGTTAGTATGTTATTACTACTTTTTGAATAAGCTTTTTTTAAATTTTAGTTTAACATTTTGAAATGTTAAGATATTTACAATATCTATTGATATGCCTATCTTTTCAGAGTATGTCGCTTCTACAACAAGAACTACAAGTCATCGAAGGATCGCGAGCGCTGCGAACCGGAAGGACAATATATTGTAGCGAAGGAACACTTTCTCTACCTTCCTTCTAGACATGATATACCATCCCGAATGTTCAGGACGCACGATTCTGTGGAAAAGGATAATATACAACTGTTCGACATACCAGCGGGGGTGAACGAAGACTCGGATACATTTGCATATGTAAAGAATGGAGAATGTAGTGAAGTACAGTTTGCGACAAACGTCTGGAAACAACTGCCATGTGATAAAACGAAGTTCAGTATCAAATATGGAAAAACAAACTATTATAGCTTGGTAGGTTCATAACATAATGTAAAGGTTGTTATTTGAAGGCTTTAATTATTCTGGGTAAGGCTACGAAAGTTTTTGGCCTATAAGGTAGGGGTAGTGCTGATAATTCTGGCCTGGAGAAGGGAAGGGGTAGATTAAATGTTAATCTTTAGACTCTGCTCGTTTTAACTTTAGCTTAAGACCGGCCCGGCTCGATCGTAGGACGGGGCTGGGCTGAGTCCAGCCTACACGACCCGTTTCTCATCACTATCAGTGTGTACAGGGTTAAGAAAAATTTAAAATAAATTATTGAACGTAATGTCATGTTTTTAGACTTACATTGCTGCCCGCACCGGCTGTGAATTCAACATTGACAGGGATCAATTACTGAATACCTACGTTAGGTTCCGTACATCTGATTATTCTGAAGAGTGGGTTTTGAACTCTGATAAGTTTGATTTTGTTAATGAACGTTTGTCTTTGTTTTTTACAATTTTTTCATAAGTTTTAGGTCTATTTTAACATTTTTTGCTAATTTAGGTAACAAAGAAAAAATTATATTTATGATAAATTTTTGTCATTATAAGTACAGTAAAAATTTTGTAGTATGATACTCAAGAGACTGGTTATACCTGTCTTTATAAAGAGAATGTCATTTACCCAGGTACATTTTGGTAGGAGTTTTATTACAAAGGGCGTTCAGAAAGCTGTCATTATAAGGAGAGTGTGACATTATCTAGGGTCATATTAAGAGGTTTCACTGTACTTGAAATGATATGTTTGCTATGGTTGCTTAATTGCAATTTACAGTTAATCGTTGGTTAATAATGCCCAATTTCAGGACGGATTTATCCATACTTTACATTTGTATTGGTGTAATTGCTGGTATTGTTTTACTGTGCGTCGTTTGCGTTGTATGCTGTAAATGTATCTCATGGAAGAAGAAGAAGGCTGGGGTAGGTGTCTGGTTTTTAAATGTTTTTTTTACTTAAACTTCTTGATTTATCCATCTGTAGATCGGCTACAGCAAAATTTTTGGCATGTTGTATTTTTTTACTTTATGTTTTTGCTGAGTTAAAGTACCTTTTTAAGGTCGTTTAACGTATTAAAAATGCTTTTATAAACTTTATTTTGAATTTACGTTTGCCCTTGTATAACGTATTTGTTTAAGGCTCCAAAGAAAAAGAAGAAGAGCAAGGAAAAGAAGAAGAAGAAGAAGAAACCTAAGAAGGAAACGACAGAAGTAGAAGAAACAGAATCCCAAACGGTAGAAAAGAAAAAGAAGAAACCGAAAAAGAAAAAGAAGACCAAGAAAGAAACGACAGAACAAGAAGAGACAGAATCACAATCGCAAACAGCAGAAAAGAAGTCGAAAAAGAAGAAAGATGAGACGAATAATGAAGAAACCAATGAAAAGGGAGAGACTGAAAAGAGCAAAAGCAAGGTAGGGCATTATATTATATAAGGACACATCTTTGGGGAAGTATACTTTTTTTGGGGGAGGGGGCAGCGTAGAATATGGCTTTAAAACAGTTTTTAGCTGATGGTAGGTGACTGGAGGGTAAGGTAAGGTAGAATAAAAATGCATGGTAGGGTAGGGTACGGTAGGGTAGGATAGGATAGGATAAGGTGGGGTAGAGTAGAGTACGGTTGGGTATGGTATGCTAGCACAGGGAAGGATAGATCAAATACAAGAAGAGTAGATCAAAGTAAAATATATTTATTGCCAATTCATGTACAGAGCGGTAAAAGTGGTCAAAGTGGTTCGAATCCTCCTCAATCACCTAAACAGCAAAGTTCAAATCCAAAAAAGAGGACCGTTCATGATGTGATACCACCATACGAAGGACTCGGCAAAGCTGTTGGTAAATCTCCGTCTAAGTCCAAAGACAGTAAGACCAAGAACTCGAAGGACAAAGACGGCTTCTCAATGCAAACCTTCTGATCAGGTGGATAAGGTTCTGTTCGACGGATTCTTTATTGTATCATTATGAAAATAAATAGAAGTCGTACGATTACTCACCAGATCATTAGTCAAATTAATTTTAGCTTTTTTAATTCATCCTTTACGCTAGTAGAAAGTTCGAACGAACAGATAGTGCTACTTTTGTCAGTCTCTGTGCCAAAAGATATGTTTCCGTAGTTGTATATGGCGCTAATGTACGAGGAGAACTGAAATTGAGTATGATTTTTATTTGCTCATACGTATTAGTTTGGTAATCTTTTAATTCCTAACGATTTCATACACAATATGAGGTTATCTGGAAGTTAATATAAAAGTGAGGGCCCGGTTTTCACTATTTGATAAGAATAGACACGGGCAACCAAAAAAATTTCGGGGTTAATGTAGTGTAATACACCCCGTAATATAATACACTACATGGGAATATAATACACCTAGATGAATTTATTCAAATTTTGATTTGAATAAATTCATATCATTTCCAAATTATATCTACGACCGAATTGGTCGTAAAACAGTCGAATAACATCCACCATAGCAAAAAAAGCGTACCTAAGTAAAATGGGGTGTACCTAAGTAAAATGGGGTGTACCTAAGTAAAATGGAGTGTACCTAAGTAAAATGGAGGATACCTAAGTAAAATAGAGTGTACCTAAGTAAAATGGAGTGTACCTAAGTAAAATGGGGTGTGCCTAAGTAAAATGGAGTGTACCTAAGTAAAATGGGCTGAACCTAGGTAAAAAGTAATATAACCGAAGAATGACTTACCTAGCGTTTTTGTGAAAAAAACTAAAATAACCTGAGTTGAATCGAATACCATCACATTGGGCGTGCTATTAGACCGTCTTCTATCATGTTGTTGATCAGTCCATCGCATACGTGCAAAGATTGACGCCGGAAGATGGTAACCATAACATCATGGTGTCCGTTTGCCAACACAATAAAATAAGCGACCACTCGCCAAGTATAAAAATCAAATAATGAAAACGCTTTTGCTTTCGACCATTCTTAAAAATTTGCATAACCGGGTAGTGTATTATATTCCCAAAGGATGTGTATTTCTTTACATTAGCACCAAAATTTTTATCTTAGAATTCGTAAACAGTTTTTGGGTTTTATGGGTTCTATAGCTAATAAATGATTTTACAGAGAAAGTAACCTACCTGTCCCACCCAGAATCAGCCCAAAATTTTTATATGAACTCCTTGTACTACCGATAGTATCTATCAAAAATTTTAGTTCGCGTTTTTGAGTTTTAAAGTTGAATTATTTTGGTTTTCCGCTAATTTGGCATTGTGTTTCAAGCACTTTTTTTTCCGACAAACTACGCTTACAAATTTAAAAATGTAGGTTCATCTAAAGGTATTCTATTATATATTAGTATATCAAAAAAATTCTTAAATGTCGAAAATGACAAAGTTATAAGCTTGAAACACAATGCCGACTTGGCTAAAAGGTAATTTTTTGATCTCGATTTTTGAGAGATTTCTTAGAGTCTCCCTTCCTTCTCTCTCTCTCTATATAGTAAACCGCCTATAACAAAGTACAAAATTTTATTCAATTTCAAAGGAAAATAATGAGTTCTTGATCCTAAGAGCTTGGTGATAAAGGTCGGAGTTGAACTACTTCGGTTGGTTGGCCTGTAATAAGTTTGTATTATATGAGTTCTACTATTATTTTATACTTAAAATAAAGTCTTATAAAGTGTATTCTATATCGACTTTAATTTAAATTTAACTTACATTATTTTGGGTGAATGATTGGGTTTTTGTACCGGAAGCTAAAACATTTATTCATTATTTAAAAAGTTAATTTATTCATTAGTTAACAAGGAAATTGAATAAAAAATATATTAATCGTAAATTAATTTGAAAATAAACATTGCATCTTACTCTGTAGGCTACCAATATAGAGTCCGGTGTTGTTAACGCCTTTGGTTTCGTTGGTTTGCGTGTGTGCGTCTTGATTTGAAATTTCCGGATCTTCATCATCTTCATCGTCCACTAACGCGGATAACGGCACAAAATCTAAAACTTAACGTTTAAATAGAATCATTTTTATGGCTAGTTATTTATTTTAAGGAACCTTAAAATTGGGTAAAACTTGATCATGCTAAAACTTAATAATGACTTACTGTCAGCTTTGGACACTTGACGTTTGGGAACTTCATTGTCTCCTGGTTCCACAGTGGTTTCTGAGCTTAGACTTCTGGCTTCGAGGCTGGCTTTTAGTGTTTGGAGCTTTGAATCCATCTGAGCAATTTTTTTCTTCAGTTCCTTATCACTCAATTTCTAAATATCATCGTTATAGTTTAATAAAAAAGCATATCACTACAAAAAATTAAAATATAAGACTGTAAATGAACATACAGAGTTTTCGTCATTGTTCAAACTCAATGACGATTTGGCGGGGGCAAAACAAAAAACTGACCGGTCTTTTACACGGAGGATGGCTGTAATGTGGCTGTAAATGCAAGAGCCGTGGCGTCATGTGAGCAAAAAGCGAAAATCGGTAAAGGGCAAGTGAGAGAGTCATGCAAATTTGTATAAAAATAAAAAATAAGTTTTTAAAAAAAAAAGAAAGAAACCGGCCTGTTTTATCTCATATCTGTCTCAGCTAGTCCCTCACTATATCGCAATTTACCTGTTTTTTTCATAAACGTATTAACATCACTTTTAAAATAAAAAGTAAAAGAAAAATAAATTTCAAAGTTCACTTATGATATATTATAGTTTGACCAAAGAGATACATTTGCATATGTAAAGGATGGAGGATGCAGTGAAGTACGGTTTGCGACAAACGTCTGAAAACAAGTGCCATGTGATATAAAGAAGTTCAATATCAAATATGGAAAAACAAAGTATTATAGCTTGGTAGGTTGATAAGATAATGTAAAGGTTGTTACTTGAAGGCTTTAACTACCGTAGGTGAGGCTACGCAGGTTTTTGGGCTATAAGGCAGAGGTAGTGCGGATAATTTTGGCCTGGAGAAGAGGAGGGGTAGATTAGATGTTAATCTTCAGACCCGGTCCGTTTCAACTTTATCTTTAGGTCGGCCCGTTTTGACCGTAGGACCGGGCTGCAGCGGGCTGAGTCTAGCCCACACGATCCGTTTCTCATCACTATTAGTGTGTACATGGTTAAGAAAAATTTAAAATAAATTATTGAACGTAATGTCATGTTTTTAGACTTACATTGCTGCCCGCGCCGGCTGTGAATTCAACATTGATATTGATCAATTACTGAATACCTACGTTAGGTTCCGTACATCTGATTATTCCGAAGAGTGGGTTTTGAACGTTTTCACCCTTTTATAAGTTTTATTTTGTTTAAAATTTTTTTTGATAGTTTATTTTTTTTGGATATTTTTTAATATTTTAGGTAACAAAACGAAATTTGTGATACATTTAGTCATAATAAGTACAGTTTAACCTTTTTAGTATGACACTCAAGGGACTGGCCTATAATTGTCTTTATAAACAGGGTACTACCCAGGTACTTTTCGGTAGGGGTTCTATTACTAAAGGCGGCCAATAAGTTGTAATGAAGGTGTCACGCTATTAAGAGTCATACTAAAGGTCTTTTTCTGTATTTGAAATGAAAAATAGTATAATGCCAAATTTCAGGACGGATTTATCTATACTTTACATTTGTATTGGTGTAATTGCTAGTATTGTTTTACTGTGCGTCTTTGGTGTTGTCTGCTGTAAATGTATCTCATGGAAGAGGAAGAAGTCTAGGGTAGGTATCTGGTTTTAAAACGACTTTTTTAATTTAAATTTTATGGTTTGCCATCTCTAGGTGAGCATGGGCAACTTTAATATTTTTGTATTTTTTTACTTTATGCTTTTGCTGATGTTAAAGTGCCCTTTTGAAGTATTAAAAATGTTTTTTTAAACTTTATTTATGTTTGATTTTACTTTTGCCCTTGTATAACATATTTGTTCAAGACTCCAAAGAAAAAGAAGAAGAGCAAGGAAAAGAAGAAGAAGAAGAAGAAGAAACCTAAGAAGGAAACGACAGAAGTAGAAGAGACAGAATCCCAAACTGTGGAAAAGAAAAAAAGAAGAAACCGAAGAAGAAAAAAGAAGACCAAGAAAGAAACGACAAAACAAGAAGAGACCAGTGTTTTGCCGGACCGGACCGTTGAAAAACGCTCCGGACCGGTCCGGGCAAAACACTGGAAGAGACAGAATCACAATCGCAAACAGCAGAAAAGAAGTCGAAAAAGAAGAAAGATGAGACGAATAATGAAGAAACCAATGAAAAGGGAGAGACTGAAAAAAAGGAAAAGCAAGGTAGGACAGTATATTGTATAAGGGCATATATTGCGCATACCTTTGGGGAAGTATAACAGGTAGAATGAGGCTTTAAGACTGTTTTTACCTGAAATTAGGGTACTGGAAGGTAAGGTAGGGTAGAATATAAAGGCATGGTAGGGCAGGGCAGGGCAGGGCAGGGCAGGGCAGGGCAGGGCAGGGCAGGGCAGGGCAGGGCAGGGCAGGGCAGGGCTGGGCAGGGTAGGGTAGGGTAGGAAAGGAGTGAAGCATGAGACTATTGTACGTAATTTGTTGGGTCGTTTAACACCAAGACAAATATGAAATAAAGTCAAGAAAATGTTTTCTAATTTCTCTTAGGATATTTTGGTAGGGATAAGGTTGGGGGTAGGGTAGGGTAGGGTAGGCTAGGCTAGGCTAGGCTAGGCTAGGCTAGGGTAGGGTAGAGTAGGGTAGGGTAGGATAGGGTAGGGTAGGGTAGGGTAGAGCAAAAATATCACGTTTTCGATTTTTTTTGTTGTTAAACGAAGTAAAAGAAGAAATACGTTAAAATTTTAAAGTTATTTGTGCAATTTACAAAATAAACATAAAAGACTTGAACTTTAAGCTCAGCATCAGTCAAGATAGCCTTGATAATTCTAAAACTAATAATTTTTGTTTCATGTCTTTACGTTATGTTTCAAGCGAGTTATGCCCTGCGCCGATAATTTTAAGCGTCCGCCGAGTCTCCGCCGATACTCCGCCGACGATTGAAAATCAAAAACTTTGTCAAAAATGTCATTTTCAACCAAAAAGTTGACAAAAACTTAGAAAATTTTACCAAAAAAAGCATTTCCAACTGAAAACATGTGTAATTCGGGGAAAATGACTATTTTTTGAAAAATCATAGTGCCCTTAGTATGCACTTGAAAAATCTGAAATTTTGGGACAAAAAACCGCATGTGCCAATCTTTGACAGTGCCAAGTTTGGCATTTTTAGCGTTTTTTTCAATTAAAATATAACGTTTTAGTTTTTTTCGTTTTTCTTGGGACACCCTGTAAAAAACCTCATTTTATCATGGTCTTTATTTTTATGGACTTTTATGTTGAAATAGAAGAATTTAGAGTAAAATTCAGCGAATTTCAGCAAGTACAAACTAAAATAATGTCAAGATTTGACTTGTAAGTTGTTTGTCTTGTTTTTTTTCTTGGTTTAGGTAAACGAATATATATTTAAACGATTTGGCAACTTAATCATCAGTTTCTGTAGGTTATTTACTCAGGTCAAGCCCTTGAAATTGTTTTACATTATTTTTAGGTAACAATTGATAGCTTGCTCTTGTTTTGAAGCCAATAACATGGATAATCAGTAGGTAAGTAGTTTAGTTCATTTGATTTTTGTTTATTTAGGTGGAAAGTTTGATTTTTTAATAAATTGGACATTTTTCTTGATACTTGCTCATGTTAACGTCTTGGAATTGTTTTAGTTGAATGTTTAGGTAACAATTGAGGATTTTCATTTTGTTTTGAAGTCAATAACATGGAGAACAGATAGGAAAGTTTCTGTTTTGTATTTTTAGAGTTTTAGGTATAAATTTAGCTTATAAAACATGCTAAACACCACTATTATCCTTGGAAATATTGTTTTAGGTTAGTTTTCGGACATGTACTTGATCATTTCATTGTACGTTTGACTTGATGTTAGACTTTGAATGTTAAAATCGTAAGAATTGTCATTTTTGTATATTTTCAACCGGGTGGGCGGTGTGTCGCCGATGAAAACGTACGAGTTTTTAAAGAATCTATCGAATGCTCTGTTGCTATGCAATTACGTGGTGGAGATGTTCGACGAAAAGCCGCAGGCAGTGAGGATGATGACCTTTACCTTTGATAGTCGTGCTGGCTCTGTTACTAAGCATCAAATGACTTATCCAGTGTTTGAGAGCGGCGATTATGTTAAGTAAGGAAGGGGTAGGGCGTTAGGGGTGGTGGTTTGGGGAATTACAGTGGGAGTAATTTTACTTTAAGGAGGGGCTGCTTACAATAAATCATTTTTTGAGAATGTGAGCTTACTGTAGAGGTAAATTACTGTAAGTTTAATCCTAATTCTTTAGGCTATTGCGCTTTTCTAAAAAATGCTTTTCCGATGTTACTATAGCTATAGGTATGAAACTGATCTTTTTTATTCTAATCAATGACGTTTTAGACGTGAACACTACATGACCTTTCCAACTGATGAAGATATTAAAAGTGTCGTCATTTTGCAGCACAATTACACTTCTTTTGGAGGTTATATCACCAAGAACAACAAAGTATGCCACTTCGACAACAAACATTACGACGCATCAAAAGAGTCAGAGCGATGTCTGAACGATGGCCATATCTACGTCTTCAATGGTAAATTTGCATATATTCCAAAAGACTTGGAGGATAATATCACGCTTATTGAAAACGGAAGAAATAGGATTGTAAACGATGTCGAAGGCCTTAAAACACCACTTGGAGTGGTACAAGAGCAAAAAATGTTTGTTTATAAAGATAGTGGGAACAAGTGTAAGCAGATATGGTATGATAAAAGTGTTTGGAAATCGGTAGATTGTGAACGAAAGAAGTTATTGTACGTCGACAACAAGGGAAGGGATATGTGGTACTCTTTGGTAGGTTTTAATAACTTTGAGTTTTTCGAACGGAGCTAAAGTAGTATGGTATTGATACTTATGCTATTATTACTAGTACTGATCCTGATGTTAGTAGTAGTTGTCATTACTAGCATTGATACTGATGTCGTTAGTAATAGTATACTAGTATTGCTACTGATTTTCTTCGTAATAGTTAGTTTTAATACGGCTATTGATGGTATTAGTACTAATGCTGGTATTGATGTTATTGGTAACAGTTAGTGCTGTAACAACACCAGTATCAATATATACTAGTATTGATACTGGTGTTGTTACTAATACTTAGTACTATTACTGCTACTGATGTTATCAGTAATAGTATTATAGATAACTACGTTATTGGGGCTGTTACTGGTTCTGGGTTACTAGTATTAGGTGCCGGCAAAAGTTTTTCCACGATTTTTGTTTTTACCAAAATTTAATATTTAAAAAAAGAACATCAACTAATGAACAAATATATGTACCATTATTATCAACGACCTGTTGCCATTCCTTCGGCAGCATTTGGATTCAACTTCTATAGAAACCTGGAGTTTGAGAATGAGAGCAGGAGTTTTCGTGTAGGGACATTTCGGGTAGCGACTTTTCGGGTAGGACATTTCGGGTAATGGACTTTTTGGGTAGGGACTTTTCGGGTAAGGACTTTTCGGGTCATGAATATTTCGGGCAATGGTAATTTCGGGTAGGGATTGTTCGGGTAGCTACTTTTCGGGTTATCGACATTTCGGGTAGGAACTTTTCGTATAATTTAAAATATTAAGTTATGGATAATTACCGGCACGGTACGCTAACGTTCACAGTATTCTAGTTACCATGCGACCTTTCTTTTTTTCACTTTTTATAAAAAAATTATAACTACGATTTTTAACATTGCAAGTCATAATTTTAAGTCTGGAAATTTTATTGTAATTATCCATAACTTAATATTTTAAATTATACGAAAAGTTCCTACCCGAAATGTCGGTAACCCGAAAAGTAGCTACCCGAACAATCCCTACCCGAAATTACCATTGCCCGAAATATCCATCACCCGAAAAGTCCTTACCCGAAAAGTCCCTACCCGAAAAATCCATTACCCGAAATGTCCTACCCGAAAAGTCGCTACCCGAAATGTCCCTACCCGAAAAGTCACTAACCCACCATTATTATCAACGACCTGTTGCCATTCCTTCGGCAGCATTTGGATTCAACTTCTATAGAAACCTGGAGTTTGAGAATTGAAAAAGTTAGCCCACCATCTCTTGCGGTACTCTCGATTGTTAAAGTGTGTTGCTTTCAGGTGGTTTTGAAGAGAGTCGAACATATTATAATCTGTAGGCACAACATCAGTTGAGTACCGTGCATATAGCATCACAGCCCAGCCAAAGCTTTTCAGCTTGTGCTGGGTCAACTTTTTCATATAGGCGCGAGCAGTATCATGAATGAAGAAGGTTCGATTCTATTCACTATGCAATGCCGCCGCAACAGATTTAATTTGTCTACAGTAGACAACTACAGGAATCGTAGTTCAATGTGGTACCATTTCCTAGAACACAATATCTGTTGAGTTCCAGCTAACGCTGATCATCCTATACAGTGGGTGAAGATCAGGTTTTGGGGTTGGTGTACCTTGTTCTCCACGTGCAAGCCATTGTTCCTTCCTGGTGTGATTAACATACAGTACCCACTCCTCATCCCCATTAATCAAATTGTCAAGCCATTCAAAGTTCCTTGGGAATATAAACAAGTGCAACTTCCACTTAGCGTTTCAGGTGGTCGCTGTTCAAATCATGTGGAACCCCTTGACCATATTTCCATGATCTTCCAAGGTCGTGAAGTCTAGTTAATATAATAGAAGGATCACACTGAAGCTCTACAGTCAAATGAGTGCAGGTTTGTCTGGGGTCTTCTTCAATCAGCTTCAGAAGGTTGGGTTTCTTCAACGCTGATGATCTACCATATCGAACTTTTCGGACGTGTCAAAGTCACCGTTTCTGAACTTGTGGAACCAAACTTTCGTGGTGTCGTAAGAGACAACTGAAGGCCCTACAGCACTGCATATTTCCTTCGTCGCTCTTGTTGCGTTGCCGGGATTGCGGAATTTGAGAAGCAACACTGCCCAAACATGGTCATGTTTCACCTTGATTTCCTGAACCATCGTAAACAACAGAATGCTTGAACATGCAATAGTTTTTAGTCCTTGCACAACTCTTTATATAGGTTATCAACAGAAACTTCTAGAACTGTCTATAATTTTTTGGTAAATTTTAGAAAAATTGTGGAAAAACTTTTGCCGGCACCTAATACATATACTAGAAGTTATCTTTAGTAATTACGATAAGTATATGATGAGTACTAACACTGAGATTTTTATTACTATTCTTAGTACTTTTCAGGCATACATCAGCCTGGTTTCCAACTGTAAAATTAAAGCGACAGAGTCGGAATTAGCCAATACTTATGTATTGTTTGTTAAACCTCGGTCTTCGTAAGTTTAAAATTAAATTTTTTAAATGAAATTGATGCCTGTATGGTGTATTATGTACAATATTGTTTATATATAGGGTAAAATACGTCCTCCATTCTTAGCCTTGTTAAAATAAAGTCTGCTTCAGGGTGTACATAATCTTGATGGTCGCCGTACCATGCTCACTGTTCATAATCATAATAAAGTTTGTTGTCGTGTTTGTCTGCTTACATACGAAGTTCAAGAAACGCGATTCCTTGACGCAAAAACGACTTTTGGTAAGTTTTTGGGAATTTAATGGTCGTTTTAACAATTTCTTTGATAATTTCAAAAATTTAGTTAAAAATATTGTAAAACATATAAAAAGGCAACTATATTCAAGGCTTCATGTTAGTATCTTGACTTACAGAAACGGTATACGACTTTGAAATCGCTAAAAATCGAAAACCGTTTGACTCTTTTTTTCTTACAGGCTAACTTAATATGATACTCTGCAGATGCTCTGTAGTAAAACATTGAAAGCAGATTAGACAGACAATACATATTTTTTTGTTTTAGACAATCGACGAAGAGAGGTCGGATTGCTCGGGCGACTACTTGACTAGTACTTCATCAGGCCAGTCAAAGCCCAAAAAGACAAATTGGAAGAAGCTAAAGATGCCTAAGGTCATGAAGAAGAATAAAGACGACTTGTCTTTTGATGACAGTGCTAAAAATGTAAATTTTTCTTTCTTATACACTTTGCAACTATTGATTTTTTAAAAATCGGATTTAAAAAGATGTTTTTTTAAATTTTATCACGTTTTGTTTAAAAAATGACATGTTATAGGAGGCTTTTGAATAAAAGATCTTGAAAAAGTTATAAAACTTTCATTTTTAGAGATTTTGAATTACAATATTAACAAAGATTTTATTACTTAAAATTTCAGACAGACAATCCTCTGGGAAAACAAAAGAAACCGAAAATGCCTAAGGGTGAAAAAAAGAAAAAGAAGCCAAAAGCGAACGGTTCTCCGAAGAAACCGAAGGATCCCAAAAAGAATGGTAATAATGGTACAGGAAATGCAAGCCCGATTGATAAGAAGAAAGCAAAAAGAAAGGCTAACAACAATAATATCATTGGAGGATCAGAAGAGTAGGTCAGAATGTAGGGTGAGTGTTTGTAAAATACGTGGGTTCTTGTTTTTTCTAAATAAGAATTTTCATGTTTTTGGTCCTAAAATACGAGGTTTGGTCTTGAATTATTATTTTTTTTGTATTTAAAATACGATTTTTGATTACAATGTACCATTTCATTTTTTGATTTCAGGAAGCCAGCGCCATTTCAGAGCCAATCATTTGGACTAGGTCATACTTCAATTCATCATATAGTCGTAGAATCAACTCATGTTTATGACTTTAACGAATAAAAATGTTAGGACTAAATATGTTGATTTTTATTGGTTTTCCTATCATGTTTGATCATTTCTTTGTTGTAAAATACGATGTCGCTATTTATTGTTGTAAAGGTTTTTGATAAATATTGATTGAACCCAATATATCGACCGTTTTTGGCCGAAAATATCGTATCGAAAGCCTTGTTTGTGACGGATTACATGTTATTGTAGGCTTTTGATATGGAAAATGCTCAAGGAGTAATATTTCTTGTTTACTATAGCCAAAAACGTACCCTATAAGGCTGTCAAAAAAGTCTTGTCGTGATTTTACGTTTGTTTACACGTCAAAAAACGACAAAACTTTTAAAAACCTTGATTACAAAGAGTAATATACCCACTAGAACAACATAATCGAATATTTATTACAATATCTATCCTCTACACATTCTTTTTTTAAGTTTACAACGGGAAAACAGGGCAACAAAGCACCGGTCGGATGAGAGTTCACAAGAAACACACGAGAGATTGAAGAGAGAGCAGAGAAAACAGAGAGAAGACTTTCATTGTATTTCAAGAATAACATTAGTGGAGGCGAGGGTTTTTGGTACTGTAGCTTTGGTTATTACTGTCATCTTAAATTTTTTGATTTTTTTTGAAATTTGGAAAATTTTGTTTTGGAAACGAAGTTTTTTCATCATGAATAACCAAAATCGTATTTTACAAAACTATAACTCCTTTTTGTAAAAATATAACTAAAAACTACTGAAAAATATACCTGAATTAGTATTTTTTCGAAAAAAACACAGTAACCCCCAAAGTACAGTAACCCTCGTATCCATTGTAACAACAAAGTCAATTTTAGTTAGATTAATGTTTTCATAATCGAAAAAACCAATACTTATGATGAATATTAAAACAATATAGTCTAGCGGGTTTATGAATGGATACTGGCTGGTGACAACACTGGTATACTGTAACTTTCGAAACGTTCGATTTCAAATCGAATTTTGCCGCGATTTTCGTGTTTTTGGGGTGGAATGTCATTGTTTATTGTACTTTAAGTACATCATAGGTTTGAAAATAAGGGGTCAAGTCTAGTTTTTTTGTTGTTATATTGTTATTGGTCCAAAAAAGAATGGCAATTTTCAAAAAAAAAATAAAAAACAAAAAAAAATAAAATATTTCAAAAAATTTTTAAAATTTTTAATTTTGACTCTGGGAACCATGTTTTTAAATCCAGCCCAAAATTCTAAGATTTTACCCCGCCCAACCAGCGAAACACGAAAATCTTAGCATAACGTTTCAGGTGCGAAAAACGACAAAATCTGACCGGTTGATGATGGGGGTAAGGTTAAGATTGGACGGGAAACAATGAAAAATGCTTTGGCATTTGCAAAACGATATCAATTAGGCTTAAGCGCAGTTATTAAAGGTGGCGGCGTTGTTCTGGTTGAAGGTCTTGATGTTCTCCAATGGCGTGATCATGTTGAAACTGCAATGGGTTGGGTGTAAGTAAAGTTTTGGAGCAGTAAAGTGATATTTTTTTAATTTTTGATAATGCTGCTCTTAAAAATTATTTTTTTTATTAATTTACCTCGCCCTTACACACCCGAAATGCCATTTATAAAATTTACCCTGCCCTTACTTGCTGAAAATGCCTTTTTTTAAATTTACCCTTTCCGTACATGCCCAAAATGCAATTTATGAAATTTACCCCGCCCTTAAAATCCAAAAAGTCCTGACATATTCAATCACCCCTTAAATTTTTTTTTCAAAAATTTTACCACGCCCCCAAAAAAAATCAAAAAAATTACCCCGCTGTCCGTTCCTGACCGTTCATCCGTGCCTGAACGTTCTCCCTTTGGATGGAACGGTGAAAGAACTCGAGCGGGTTCATCGAGTTCCCGATCATCTGATTCGCCTGATTCGCGATATTCGAGTAGCCGTAGGAGGTGGCCGTCACGGTGGCGGTGGCACTGTTTTGGTTGGTCGACGTGGTACCGTTGGTGCCATTCGGGATGATATTGGCCGCTAATGCTTGACCGTTTTGGGTGTTGGTGGTGGCGGACGAGGTGGCTACGGCCGCCGCCGACGCCGCGATTTGAAATGAGCCAGAGACTGAAAGGTGGGTAATATAGGGTTGGTATAGTAAGTACTATAGAGTTTATAAAGTAAGTGATGACTTAGTTCTAAACTCAATAAAGTTTTGGCGTTTTTTCCCATGCAACACATAGCAATTTGACGACAAAACTTTTCTAACGCCTGAACAGTACAACATTTCTCTCCAGTTAGAACGGGTATGTACTGTATTACAAAGAAGTACTGTATTACAGTGAAGTACTGTATTATAAAAAAGTGCTACCTAAAAATCAACTTAATGTAATAAACTTACTCAGCGAGGTTTGTCCGAGATTATTAAGTTGATTAAAGTTGTTTAGTTGATTGAGACCTTCGATGCTTTCTGAGAAGTCGCTGTAGTTGTTGTACTTGCTGAAGAAGCAATATTTATATTATTTTTTGAAGCCAAGACTATACTTTTTAATGTTCTAGGTTTTGATTTTAAAAATATATAATATATACGAAAAATGTAACGAACTGCCACGATTTTAAAAAAATGTAACGAAATGTCACAATAATTACCGAATTTTCAAAAATTTAAATTTTTGTTTAAGAACGTCACTACTTTTTTTAAAAATTTGAAAAGTTTTACATTTTGTGTAAAAATGCAACGAAATGTCACAATATTTGTTTAAATGCAACGAAGTGTCAAATTATTTATCAATTTAAAAAAATTAAAATTTGTTAAAAACGGCATAACTTTTAGTAAAAATAGAAAAATTTTACATTTTCTGTAAAAATGCAACGAAATGTCACAAATTTTTAAAAATGTAACAAAGTTTTACATTTTTTATCGAATTTTTAAAAATCTACCGTAGAAAACAATCAAAGTTAAATTTGCTTTAAAAATGATAAATTATAGTAAGAAAAACAAAAGATTACCTAAATCTAGGCCGATCCGCATGTTTGGCCATGTGTTTCTCCAGGTACAGCGCTTGAGTGTAGGATTTGCCACAAAACGAGCAAATGTGCACCTTCAAGTGTTTCGACTCTTTGTGCTTGGGAATGTGCTCCAATAAAGCTGCTTCGTCGTTAAAACATTTGTAACAACTGAAATGGCAGTTTTTAAAAATTTTAAAATAGGTCCCTTTTTTATTATTGTCTATGTCATATAGGTATACTATGGCATGTCTTTCTTGTGCCATAGCTTCTATTAGGTCGTTCAAATAATTCTGTGCTCTCAATTTTGTTTATGATTTTAAACATAAACTAAAGGGCACAGAATGACTTGAACAACCTAATAATACTAAACTATAATATATGAAGACTATCTACTGAATCAAAGTAAATAGAAAGTGTACTACACAGAAAGTATATAGAAAATAGAAAAAGTAAAGTAGACTTACGAATTGCATTTGAATGGCTTGTCAGCCTGATGACAACGTGAATGCGACTGTAGATTCGACAGCTGACTGAATGATTTGTCACAGCCAGCGATTTTACACTAAAAAAATCAATAATTGAGCGGAATGTCACATTTTTAACAAAATATATTAAATTTTAAAACAAGCATTTTAAAATAGCATGGCTTTTATATAAGCGTGTTTTTAATTCTAGAAAGCCAAAAGTTGACATTTCGTCATCGGTTTTTGAATAATTTTAGAAATTGATAGCAAAATGTCAAATAATGTAAAAAATTGTTTTTATCTGGGCTTAGTAACAACTTTTGTACCGTTTTTCATATTTTTTTATTTTTAAAATAACAGAAAATTTGAAAACTTAAAAAACCAATAACAAAATGTCACAAAAAAATTTTATTTTGAATTTTAAAAAACTTAAAATTGAAGATTTTGTACTTTTATATTGATAACAATGACAAATTGACCAAAACACTTTACAATTGGACGAAATGTCAAAATCAATAACCATAAAAACCATCAAAACCCACTTTATAAGGCTTCTCGCCCGTGTGTGTCCGAATGTGTTGTTGAAGATGCGACAATTGTGTGAATTTTTTGTTGCAAAACTGGCACGGTCCAAACGGTTTGATGCCCAAATGGATCCGCATGTGCTGTGCCAGGTAGGAGTTGTTGGCGAAGGCCTTGACACAATGGGGACACTTGTACGGCTTGTTGTCCCCGCGCATGTTGCTCATCTGAGAGATCTCCTTTGATTCGAATCCCTGGAATGAAGAAATTTTGAAATGATTTTTTAAATAAAAAATGAAATTTTAAATTTTAAAAATTTTTTAATTTTGACAAATTATTTTAAATTTTTTTAAAAAAATTTTAAAATTCAAAAACTGATTGACTGGTTATGTTTCATTGGAATGTATTTTTGACTGTTTTACTAATTGTCGCTACTTTTCAAGAATATGCTACAGAACTGACAGAAAGAGTGGAAGATACGAAGGTAAGTATATAACTGTGCTATGCTATTACAATCTTTTTTTATTTACTTTTTTAAATGAAATTTTGGTTAAACTAAAGACTAGAAGAGCTAAGGCTACAGTTATGACCAATGCTGTGATTAGGGCTAGAGCTAAAGTTAGGGCTAGGGTTAAGAGTAGGGCCAAGGCTTGAGTTAGGAGTAGGATTAGGTTTAAGGTTAGGTTTAAAGTAGATCTAAAGTTAGGAATATGACTAGGGCTAAAACTAAGAAGACAGAGCCTATAAGATAACAAGAAAAATGTGTTTACCATAGTAAGAGCTTGCTTTACTATTTTACTCAGTAAACAAGTTAAGTAGACTTAGATAGTATAATATGTTTAATATATTAACTAAGCATAAGGCATATCTACTATTCCTGTTTACATAATTTTGTTTCAAGCAAATTTTTTGAAATTAGAAGGATGGTACTACTAGCCTCTACAAGCGTTCAAGTAGTCCTAGTGGCTTTATAGAGCCTTTGAATGATACTATTGATCTAAAATTGGAATTTGGTACTGATCATATTTTTGATGGAAACAAGGATAAAAATGGTACTACTAGTCTCTACAACATGACAAATCGTATTAATACGCTCTACATGATATCAAATGATACTAATGATCTCTACGGTGATTCAAACAGTACCAATGACTTCTACGATGATAATAGTACGGACATGCTCTTACAGCTAGATGATTCTCTATTCAATACAACTGATATGGTAATGGAAATATTTGGAAATGAAACTGACTATGAATACATCATTGAAAATGGCACTATACCGAATGGCACTATTCCAAATGGAACATATATAGAAGATTTGACTGACTTTAGCTACATGGGTATGGGTATACTTGGGTGGACTTCGTCCATTATGTAAGTTATGGTATTTTACTTGAATAATTATAAAAGTTATGATATTTTACTTATCCAATAGTACAAGTTATGGTATATTAATTGAACAATAATGTAAGACATTGTACTTTACATAAATTTTAAAACTAAAACTATTCATTTCCAGCTTAATACTAGGCTTTATCTTTTTGATCACAGCCGTGTTCCTATGGTGGTGCCGATATCAACAAGAATTGGACTGGGACTTCTACGAACGATATTATACTAGGGTCTTGATCAAGCTGAAACAAGAAGAAGAGCCCGAACCTCGTTCACGCTCAATGAGGATCGAATAAACATTCAATTACTATTTTGGGATTCAGTTTTTGATTCGAAATTTGCTGCGGATATCAATATAGATATTGTTATAGATTAGTAGTTGTCTTAAGCAAAGCTTTAGCCCTGGCTTTAGTACTAGATCCTCAGTTCTAGCTATAGCCCTAGCAATAGCCCTACTTTTAGTCCAAAGCCCTAACTAAGAGCCAAAGCCCTAGCGCTAGCCTTAGTCCTAGTCTGCCAGTCCTAGCAATAGCCCTAGCTCTTGCTGTAGTTCTCTCCTTAGCCCAAATTCCTAACCCTAGCCGTGGTTTTAATCCTAGCCCAGAGCCCTGACCGAGAGCCTTAGTTTTAGCTCTAGCCCACATCCCTAATCCTGGCCCTGGCTCTAACTCTAGTCCTAGCCCAGAACCTTAGCGCCATCCTTAGCTTTAGATTAACTTTTTGCTATAGTAGCCCTAGCTTTAGTCAAGAGCCCTAGCCCAAAGCCTTAGCTCAAAGCCTTATCGTAGAGCTCTAGTTTAGAACCGTAGCTTTAGTCCTTGCCCTAACCTAATTAACAACATGACTTTTTTGGCCTAAACCTCTCCACTTTTGCCCAAAAAAATCCAACAAAAATAAAGTTTCACCCAAAAAACCCCTTCCCAGAAATCACCCCGAAAATCGCCACCCAATACGGTAGGTATTGCGAAAGGTCTCGACATAACCACGACCACTTCGAAAGGCTGCAAAAAGTGGGAAAGCGAGAGACAAGTGCTGTCTAATCAGTCAACAAGCCCTCAGGCATTGTAAAAACTCGCTGATTGGAGGGAATGGGGAAAGTGTTATTTATGAGCGTTCGAATTCACCAAATTTCGCTTTTCGACGGTTACAAACGGGAAGAGTGGGGAAAAGTTGAAAAAAGGTGAAGATCGGGAAAGGAAAGGTTAAATGGTGATTAGTAGTTTAGGTTTAAGGGCCGGGGAAGAGGGGGGGGAGAAGAGAGGAGGGGTAACTTAAAAAGAGATAAAGAGGGGTGGTATAAGGAATAGGGAGATAAGAAAGAAGATAACGAGTATGGCAGCATAGAAAAGTCAATAAGAAGGGGTAGAGTAGAAAAAACACAAAAAATATTGTGGTAGTGGTATTTTATTTCTTTTCTAGAGGCATACCCTAGGGAAAGAGACGCTCTTGAGCCGGACCTACATTTCAAGCTTAACCTGCGGGACAAGCCTAACTTTTAGACCTGGCCTCTTTCAATTTTAGCTCAAGACTAGTCTGTTCTGTCCCGATCCGTCGAGCCAGGCCCGACTTGCACGCTTCGTTTCTTAAAGACCGTTTGTCAATTTTTTAAGATAGCTCTATCTTTAGGATTAGCAAGAAAAAGTTTTAAAACTTTTCTTTTTTTCTCTTCTAACGTCAATAATTAATTTTTTTTTCAAAAATTATAATAAGTTTCGCAGTAACTCTAAAGAAAATTATGGTAAAATACGTTACTTGCTGTGCTTCTTCTAATTTACTTTTTATTGACATTTAAAAAACATTATTTAAAAGGTTATTAAAAATAAATTGTCATGAGATTGTAGTGTAAAGCAAGGTACAACTGACTGTATGCTAACACATGATAGCTTTTTGATCACTTATTTTTTTATCAACTGGTAAGAAAGAATACATAAAAATAAAGGTGACACATCGGTTTACATTTAGATTTTTTTTGAAAAGAGAGTTTTTGAAAATTAAAAAGTAGAGTAGGAGTAGGATAAGGCAGGATAGGGCGGGGTACGGTAAGACAAGGAAAAGTAAGGTAAAGTATGATAGGGTAGGGTAAAGTTGGATAAGATGGAGTAAGGTAGGGTTGGGTAAAATTTTAAAACATTGAAATTAAAAGCCGAAAACTTACTGGGTACAGAAGATCAAGTGCCATATTTGAACCCAAGTCTCTAATAACAAGTACTGTAATATAAAATTTACTGTGCTTTCTACTATACATCTTATATTATAGTTAAAACGACATTGTAACGAAAATTCATTCAACTCAGCAAAAAAGGCTACTTTCTCTCTGTTTTCAATAGCGAGAGTCTACAATATGATGCTGTATAAAAATACCGTATGACTAGGATTCAGAAACGTAGGTTCAGTGCGGCTCATCCTGGCCTTACACTCGGGCCAGGGCGGGCTTGAGCAAAAGGTGAAAAAGGTTAGATTCGAGCCTGGACCGGCTTCAAAAGTAGTCCCAGGCTTAAGCCGGCTTCAAAAGTAGGCCCGGCCCGGAATCCTCTGTAGACCCCCTGTGTTATGTTAATTAAAAGCTACGTCAAATTTTAAAAAAAGTTTTAAACCCCCATTCCCATAGCTATTTATTTCGAAATTCAAATTCAAAAAATGTCACAAAAAACAGCTGGACACGAAATGTCACATACCCAAAAAAAGTCCAATAAAAAGTGGCGCTTTGAAGATTCGCGCGGAACCAATCCCTCCGCCCCCCTTTTGCCCCGCTCCCCGCGGATCACCCCGCCTTGGAAGGGCGATTTGTAATGCGTTTTGTGGGTTATATCAAAGGGGGATAGCTACACTAATATTTTTGATTATTAAACTAATATCGTTGTAGGTCGTTATACAGAAGTTAACCATTGTATAATCAAAATGAAACGATTTCTTGCACGTATTTTACAAAATAACAAAAAACCAAGTTAAAAATCTAATTCAAAATTTCAAATTGTACCTTTAAACTCAAAATTCAAAAACCTAAGCCCACTTCTTCACCGACTGGACACCGGTCACCCTCGCCCCCATAAAAAAAACGGCTGTCACTGTTTCGGAACACTTCGAACGCGTGTTTCAAAGCGCTTTTTTCGAAATTTTTTGTTTGAAATATGCAGATTAACGCGGACAAAAAATGGCTGAAAAACCATTGTCCAGCCGAGTGACCAAAATGGCTTGGAATTAGTAGGAAGTTAGGGGAAAGGGGTAAGAAGATTGAAACGTAAGGGGAGAAGGTAGAATTAGTAGAAAGGTAGAAGAAAAGAGTAAAAAAGTAAAAGAAGAGAATAGAAAAGCAAGTGTAAAAAGTAGAAAAGTAAGGCAAAAAGGAAGAAAAGTAAGGGAAGAAAGTCGAAAAGAAAAAGTAAAAGGCAGAAATGTAAGAGGAGAGAGTAAAAAATAAGACTAGATATTAGAAAAGTAGGAAGAAAGGGTAGAACTAGTAGAAAAGACAGGATAAAAAAAAGAAAAGTAAGAAAAAAAAGCAGAACTAGTAAAAAAATAAAAAGAAACGGTAGAAAAGTAAAGGAAAAAGGTAGAAAAATAAGGTGGAAAGGCAGAATTAGTAAGTGAAAGATGTAGCAAAGCAAGTTAAAAAGATAGGAAAGTAAGGGTAGGGGGTAGAAAGATAAGGCTAGAGAGTACAACTAGTAGAAAAGTAAAAGCGAAAGGCAGAAAGTTTGGAGAAGAAGGTAGAAAAGTAAGAGGAGAAGTTAAAAATCTAGAAACTCTCCCACTACTTCAATTGAACTACTAGTGCTAAGTGGTGTAAGCTGATAAGTATAATATAAAGTTAAGGTGAAATACGGTAACTATACTGTTTCTCAATAAAAATATAATTAATATTTAACTGTTACAGTGTACTTGTTGCCTATACCTAGCCTATTCTTCTAGACCCTTATAAGCTAAGTCTAGGCAACAAACCTTAAAGCCAATTCCAATACCAAACTCTGCCCCTTGATCTCCTACCCTCACCCACAAACAACAAACAATGTCCTTTTAGCGTTGACCTGTTAACCCGAAACAACAATAAATAAAAGCGTCGCTGTTCGCCGTTCCGTGCCTTTGTCCATAAACGGAACAGCAAAAAAAGGCTGTGCATCCTGGCTCTATTACCCAATTTTTATGCAGAATTAGTTTTTTTCTTGTGGTCAGCGACATCCTCTTTGCAATTTTGAAATAATCTGACAACAAATTTGAGAGAGTATAGAGATTGAAGAAGGTGTCAGGGAACAGTGAGGTAGATGTGGTCACAGAGGATAGTAGATTTTGATTTTGAGACAGGGTAGGGAGGGCAAAGGTGGTGATTGACAAGTATGAATATTAATGTACGATAAGATGATGACCAAAGGAAAATTTTTCTTATTTTAAAAATCTCCTAAAATGTAAATTTTGAATTATATTGAAAATTTAAACAATTTAAGGATAGGATCTGGTATAGTAAAGTATTTTTAAGGCAGTGTAAGAGAGAACCAGACTGGGCAGGGTAAGGTATTTTAGGATAGTGGAACGCAACACAGGGTGGTGTAGGATATATATATCCTACCCTACTAGGTAGGCTCTTATCCTAGTAGGGTAGGATAGGAGTCTACAAGAAGATGTAAGAATGAAACGGCAACAAATTTAAAAGAGATAGGTTACTTTTTCCTTACATCTCATGTTTAACCTAATCTACTTTCCAGGCTTAACTAAACTTTATAATTTTGTAATTTTATTTTTTTTTCAAAACCTGATCAACCTAAACTAATGTAACATGCTGACCATAAACTAGTTTGTCAAATTTGATAAAGATCGCTGAGAATCGCCAACTTTTCCCACTTTTTCACAATACAAAGTGTCATTTTCTAAAGAAACTGGGCAATTAATCAGTGCAGCGATACTTTACACTCGAACAATAATGTTTTATTGCTTGTATTGTTGTATTCTTACAAAGCAAATTTTTGCTTTTTGTCTAAAATTAACCTAAAATTATAAAAAACTCAAAACTTAAATTTTTTTTTGACAAAGCTGAATAGGCAGTACGGTAGAGTAGGGTTGCGCAATGTAGGGTAGGATAAGGCAAGCTAGGTTAGAGTAACATAAGAGAAGATAGGGTAGTATAAGGTATATTATGTAGGGTATAGTAGGGTAGGGTAGGGTAGGGTATAGCTTTTACCTTTCGATTGTTGTTTTCGTCAATATCCCTCTGGTTAAAGAAGGTCCGAGTTACGGTAACCATAGTACGAGGATCATTTTCATTTATCATCATTAGTTCGTCGTCTGCCATTTTCATTTTTATATT